TGCACCACAGTCGGGCTGCTGACAGCGTCAAACATCAAGCTGATGCAGGTTGGAACTGAAAATAAGGAACAAAACTTCGTATTGACTGTTTATTTTTGTATAGAGCAAGTGAGATCTGATCACTGTAGACACATTGTAACATCAGCTCTAAACTGGCTCTTTGTCTAAAAAAAGTTCATTATTGTAATATATTATTATATCACGTTACCTTGACGACACCAAAACACGTTACACAGCCTACAGTTGTGGGTTTGGAATTTTTTATTTTATATTTTTTACTTTCTTCAAGTCAAAGACACTTTATGGGACGTCTTCCAATGTGGATGAGAGCACCACACACTTACTAGCCCCCGTCCTTAACGTCACAAGACTATGAACTGTGGGTAATTGTTACAGAACGTTTGCATAAAGGGTTCAAAATGTCTGCTGTCATACACTTAGCGGGAACACTCCTCAGAGTCAGTGCTGATTGGAGCAGTAAAGGAAGTGGAACATTAGAACGTCGCGCTGCTCACAGTCATCGAGACAATAACAACACTAATGTGTAAGAATAAATACAAATAATACAATAAACAGTCGTTGAGAAATTAGTTTGATTTCCTGTTTTCTGTTGATTCCTTACATTCTCAGAGGGCGACGCAGCACAGACAGGCTGATGTTCGTGTCGTGTTAGAACTACTTTTGAATAATTTGCACTTTGTCTTTAATTAAAAAATTATAGATTATAAGAAGTCAGATTAACCAGAAGTGAATTCTCGTCACATTGATAAGAATCTTCAACGACTCTGTGATCAATGTGAACTTTATTTGTGATTAAATGAGTGAATAATGGAGGAATTATTATTAGTGATCATGTGAAGTGAAATTAGAACCAAATAAATGCAGGAAGTGAATGTTTTAGATGTTGGCGTTGATGAAGGAGGTAAAGCGGACAATGTTTCTCTACTATGTAACTTTAACATTCAGAGCTCTGATGAGTCCCTCATTGCCACGAGTTGGTCTTAAGTATAAAACAGGGTTATTGAAAGAGAGATCACCTTCTTTCACCGATGTTCTAGAAATACAAAGAGCACAAAAACAGCTGACAGGAAGTGACTTAAACGTGTGGAAGAGGTTAAAGCAGGTGACTTTGGTCAGATTTGGGCCAAGGAAACATTTTTACTTTGTTATTAAAAAGGATTCTTTATGTGATATAAAGTGATAATGTTACACGCAGCAGACACATTATCTGATGTGATATGATGGCAATATCAGATAAAAGGGTTAACTGTTCCTCATATTTCTATTCATAACCACATCAAATCATAAATTCAGTGCAACCAATAAAACAAAGTTAACATCATTCATATATTAATGTCACTGATAGAAGAGTCCTATTTAATTATGATCACTAGGTGGCGCTGAGGTCACATAGATGAACTCACAAACTGAAATCAAAGTGATGAGGAGACTCAAACCTTTAAACAGAGACAGGCAACAGAGGGACACCAGGTACAACTGTTAATGAGCTGTCCACCATTAAAACGCTGGAGGATGTGATTGGATGGTTGGATTTCAGATCAGGAGACAGCAGAAGTTATACTGGAATTGTCTTTATGAGATGGTAACTGTAATATTATTACTGTAATGTTACTGACATTTATTAGTAATTAGTTTCACTACTAGTTACTGTGGAAAGTAATATTATTACTAGTAATGCCTCACTGTCGGGTTAATGGGAAAGGTTTCTAACGTAGAAGAGCTCAGGAGGAAGATTTATCTGGTCGTCATTTGAGTGAGAGGTTGTGTTTATGTGCGTCTCCTCCTGAGAAAGATAATCCTTTATTGGAGGAAGGTGTGGACCCTTATGGGGGGATTGAGGGAACCGGCAGTCAATCAGACTTCAGAAGAAACAGCGGAGGAGCTGGAAAAGTGGCTCCTTTACTGTTGAGGGTTGTTAAGTTCCAGTGGTGGTGTCCCCTGCAGTGGCATTTCTAGACCCCCTGGGGGCCCTAGGCAAGGAGGACCATGGGCCCCCCCAGAATCATGATGAATGAAGTCCAGGATTACGGATCAATAAAGAAATCTTCTATTAAACAATTAACATATAAAATAAATAATAAATAACATAACTATCTGAATGCAAACTTTACATACAATATATAAATAACAGAAAAACAAACATAACTGAAATGTGTGAAATTTTCAGAATGATAAAAACGCAACCAAGCAAAAAAACAAACAAACAAGGAATTGAAGTGGAAAGGAAGAACTTAAGACTTGCTGTGACACCTTGTTCCTATATCCACATGATATATGTTAAATGGGAGAGCAAGTCACTGTAATCTTAACTTTAAAAAGGAAACTAAATAAGTTCCTACTTTGATGTGTAAAGGTCTGCTGTTGCTGCTGCTGTTGTTGTTGTTGTTGTTGTTGTGGGCCAAAAAACTTCAACAAAGCACCTTGAGGAAGAAAAAATAAAAGAGCACCATGTATTTGGTTGGCTTGCGTAAAGTAAAGTAAAGAACTGTGCATGCTACACAAACACAACATTTGAGATCTGTATGGAATAATTAATGAACATCCATTTGCAGAAACAACTTTGGAACTATGGATATATAGGATAGGATATACTTTATTTATCCCTGAAGGAAAATTCAGTTGTCCAGCAGCTCACATTTAAAAAACCTAATTCCAAATACAAATTAGCTCCAGTTTAAACAGACTAAACTGACAGCAGAACTGATGCTGGTATCAGTTTTAACATTTGACAACAAATGCTTTATTCTGGGAGAAAATATCATTGGCATTGGCAGCAAAGGACTAACTTACTGTATGGCTATGAATGTGTTTAGAAGAAAATGGCTGAATTCACTTTACACAGACTTTAATGTGCAGTAAACTTTTTTGGTGCTTGACTGGGAGTTTGGGATAAAGTGGCAAGCTGGCTGGCAGCACTACTTTTTTATAATGTAACACATATAGCTTACACATTCCCACTTACCACTGTCACGTTTTTTCTTTTCATCCTCTTCTTGTTTTTTTTTCTTTTCGTGTGCCCAGAGAGATATGTTCGCTTCATTTTTTCATCTGTGTGTTTGACCAGGACCGCACGTCGATGCCGGCTACTAAGGGGCCCCATTAGGGAGATTCCCGACGTGTCATTGCAGTGTCTACGGGGGTTTCAAGTTGTGTCGCAGATATGGAGCGATATCAGCCGTCTGTCGGGGCCCCCTACTAGCAACTAGGGGGCCCTGTGTGGGGATTTTCCGATGCGTTGTCGTTGCAGCGACTAAAGCAGTTCCGTTATTTTGTCATTGACATCAGCCGTCCCTCGGGGCCCCCTTCAGCTCGGGGCCCTAGACAATTGCCTGGGTTGCCTGCCCCATTGCGGTGTCTCTGGTCCCCTGCATCACTAAACTACAGCAGATAAACAAGAATCTCGCGCTGTTCGGACAGGCCTGCCGCCGCTACTAAAAAAAATCCTAGAGGAAACACTGAATACATACAATAGAAAATACAGTAGAGAGCAGGCGAGCATTCAGAGTCCTCTTCTATTTAAACTAACACACAATCACATTAATACTATAACACATAAATACACCAGCGAGCATCACACTGTGAGGTTCAAAGAATAAATACAGAAACTTACTTTATTAAACAACCCTGTTCTGGAAATCAAAATCACTGATTCTGATGAATCAGATATTAACTGCAGCGTCAATTTAGGGCCCTGTGATACAGTAAACACATCAGATTACAATGTGACTGACAATTAGAGGGAATGATTCTTTTTGCTTTGTAGATTTGCAGGTCAGAGCATGTACAATACTTCTGTTTGCATAATGCTCTTTCAATAATATTTAATATTAAAGGAGACATATTATGCCCCTTTTCAGGTTCATAATTGTATTTTGTGGCTCTCCTACAATAGGTTTAGATGTTTTAATGTTCAAAAAACACATTATTTTTCTCATACTGCCTATAGCTGAGCACCTCTTTTCAGCCTCTGTCTGAATCGCTCGGTTTTAGCTCCTGTCTCTTTAAGGCCCCCCTCCCGAAAAGCCCAGTCTGCTCTGCTCTGCTCCTCAGTGCTACTGAGTTTATCTGCATTTCTACCGTCAATATTAATTCAACAACTGCTTCTAAACCAAAAACTTCACCACCGGACATGTTAGAGCGGGAGTCTGACCTGAAATCACAGAGAAATGAACAACATCAACAATCAGGATTACAGCTTTTCCTCAGGTAAATACTGATATATTAATTATATATATATTTCCTCTATCTATCACATAATGTTAGTGTTTATACCTTAACTATGAGAACCAACACTGTTATTTATGCTTGTCTTTCCAGGTACAGCAGTGAGCAGTGACCTACAGTCTACACAGCCCAGTGAAGTTAAACATATTATATATTACATAATATTAACAACATTAGTCAAGCAGTTGTTTCTAGTGAAGAAACAGCCAGTAAATGTACCAAAGTAATCCGAGTAATAGTATAATGATTACTGTAACCTCCCATCTGTTATATTCTTTATACACATTAGTTTACTGAGACCATGGAAACAGAAACCTGGAATACTTTATCCTGTACAACATGTCAACATAACTGAAGGAATCACTCATCTAATAAAGTCAATTGTTTATGGGGTTGAAAAACTGCTAAGTAACCAACTGTACTGTACTGTATCCATATTTCATAGTCTGATATTTTAACTAAGTATTATTACCGAAGTTAACCTTCAGATATTTGTAAAAGCTGCAATTATGTTTTACATTTTATTTTATATATTATGATGTCATTTATCTTCCAACATAATAAAGTTTGAATGTGAGACAGTAATGTATTGTGTTGCTTACAGTCATTAATACAGGTTTAAATTCCACCTTTTCATATTGATTTATGCTTTTCAACTCTTCCACATGCAGGAAATCTTCATAAAACCTCTGTGAAATAACATGTTATTTATATAAAACCACACTTATTACTGAATTTAAAAATGACTAAAACTCTTCTTAAAAGTAAAACACTTTATTTATGTTTCATTCATATTCCAGTTACACATGTTGTAAGTAACAAAGCTATAACTTTTATGTAAACTGTGTAGATCCTTCAGACTGTCCTGATGCTGCAGCTGTCTCTGTCCTTCATCAGCTCACCTGTAAAACATGGAAGATTCACTGTTACTTTCAAGGCAATAATAATATACAGTGTAATATAATATCTCACGGTAGCTCTATCTTTACCTCTGGTAAATTTACACACACACACACACACACACACACCTGAGCGGAGCTGGAAAATGGCTTTGGAATAACAAAGCTAGCGGTAGCTGAAGTAACGTCAGCACGTACGTAGAAAGTTCCAGACAGGGTCTACACAAAAAGCAACATGAATAACAACCACCAGGCTCCTTAATTAATTAACGGCTAACTTCGGCTTATCGATCACACTGCCCCTCATATTACAACATAAAGTCTGACAGACTCAGTAACTATAGTAACACAGTGACATCACAGAGCTGCTGTAATCAAAGCTACAATGCTACCAAACTAATGACCTCCGCTGCTGAATTTATACACAGTACGGTGTCTTCTGATCACAGCTGTATTGATCCACACAGTGAACAGATACTGAGCTACCCAGCAGATAATAAGTTACCAGGTTAAAGACAATTAAACCTAACTAACGTTATCTTCCCGGTTCCATGCAGCTCAGCGAGCTAACAGCTGATGAGTGGCTACAGTTTGTTAGCTCGGAGGTTTTCTGTTCTTTCTAACAGCGACACAAACATATTACTGACTGAGCACTTTAACTAAATACAGACCAACATAAAGCCAATTACCCCCGGACACAAAACCCACAACAGTAACGGGTTACAAAGAGCCCCCGACACGAAATGGTTCAGACACGTTCCGGTTTTTCTGACGGACATTGCCGTCGAAAATAAAAATAAATCCACTGTGCTCATACATATGTAGATTTGTGTTGGGCTGTGCAACCAATGGCTGAACAGTTTGTCTGCTGAAGCCTTTGCCCAGACATCAGGCTGCAGGCTGGGCTCGCTTGCTTGTTTTCTGCTAGCTTGCGCTTTTATAGTAACAATGGTGGCGCTCCGCTAGTCAACAGGAAGTAAACTGCGGTGGGTGGCAACATGGAGCCAAAATGACGTCAAAAACTCTAAACATCTGAAATTGAGTGATTTATCTCCTGTATTCATTCAAGAGTAGCATTCAAGAGTAGGCTTAAGACATTCAAATCAAAATCAAATCAAATCAAGTTTATTTGTATAGCCCTTTACAATAGCCGAAAGGTACCCAAAGTGCTTTACAACAAAGCCATGAAACAATACATAATACATATATAATATACAAATACAATCCTCTTTGATAAAGCTTATAGTTAGGGGTGGATCAGGTGAGTCCTGAACCATCCCTTAGTTATGCTGCTATAGGCCTAGACTATCGGGGGATTTCCCATGGTGCACTGAGCTCCTCTCTTCCTCTCTCTTTCTGCACTCATTCATGTCCCATTAATGCATGTTACTAACTTCACTTCTTCCCCGGAGTTCTTGTGCTTTCTCGTCTCGCAGGTTCTTGTCGATCCTGGTGGAGCCTCCTGCCATGGTCCTGCTAGATTGCCATTGCCAATACTGTTGTTGCTGTGCACCTGTCTGTCTGTCTGTCTGTCTGTCTGTCTCTCTCTCTCTCTCTCTCTCTCTCTCTCTCTCACCCCAACTGGTCGAGACAGACGACCACCCACCTAGAGCCGGAGGATCTGTCCTAGGTTTCTGCCTTTTAACAGGCAGTTTTTCCTTGCCCTTGTCGCCAAGTGCTTGCTCATGGTGGTACTGTTGGGTCTCTGTAAATAATGTTATAAAGAGTTCGGTCTAGACCTGCTCTATTTGAAAAGTGTCCTGAGATAACTTCTGTTATGAATTGGCGCTATACAAATAAAATTGAATTGAATTGAATTGAATAATTCAATGCATAATATGCCAAAGTCCGCATATTTATGCAGGGGCCGCATTTTTTCAAATATGCCGCAATTTCGCCGCATAAATTGCCGATTTCCGCGCAAATAAGCGGGGCTTGCATGATTTCATAATCCCCGCATTTTCGTTGCAAAAAAGTCACATATATCTTAGCAGAAAGTTGAAAAATGTTGCATTTACTTCACACAAGAGAAGCCATTGTCCCCTGTTGCCATGGGAACGTTATGAAGTGACGTAATTACGCCACGTGAACGTCATCGAAAAGCTGCAAACCCCTCAATGAAGCCGCAATTTTTGCAAGTTCCCGCAATTTCAATGCATAAATTGCTGCATATTCCATTGCGTTTTTTAAGAAAATGTGCCGCATAATCAAGGATTTTGCCCCGCAACGATCACAAAAAAAAACACCGCACTTTTCTGGAGGGACTGTTTAGACATGTTTTTCTTTTCCTTTCTGACCCTGAAACCATTGTTTGAATAGTTTATGGTAAAGCCTCCCCTCCGGTCAGCTGAAGGATTTGTAGCTCAACATAGAGGTTGGTATCCTTCACGTTTGTGGAATATTTAATAAACCAACATGTATATTGAAAGCATTTATTAAAAAGATAAAGTATAAATACACAATATGATCAAACTACAATGCACTAAACTAAATAACAAAAACAGAATGTGTGTGTTGCACTGTATGTTGAGCTTGTTCAGCAGAGACAACGTTGAGTTTTAAAATTCCTCTCTGCTGTGTGTGGTTGTGTTAAAGGCTGAGGTGATCTTATATGAACAGTGGCAAGTTAAAAAGAGTTCGTTGTACAAAGACTGTTTCTGTGTGGAACATAACATTTAACTAAGATCACCATAGCAGTGTAGAACATGAGTAACACAGTAACCTAACATAAACCATTACAAAATTACAACAATAAAACCAGATCAATACATTACATTTACAAAAGTAAAGCAGTCCGGTGCTTAGTCATGAACACAGTTAAACTGTGCGTAGCTATTTATGCCCACTATGTTCAGTGGTGTAGTGGTTCCTGGAGAAATGGGTTAACTCTTGCTGAGTTGTTAGCCAGCGATCCCGTAAGCCAGGCAGGAGAAAGTTGTTTTCCATTGTCACATTGTCATCACTCACTCTGATTCAGAATAGTTACAGACCTAGCCGCCAGACACTGTTGTTCTGATGTCATGGTGCATCTCTGATGTCTAGTTTCTAGTCTGTAACAGCTGAACAGGATTCTTCATTTCATGCTGCTCTCTTGTGTGAGTTCTCATGTGTCTCTGCAGAGTACTCTTTTGTCCAAAGCTTTTATCACACACTGAGCAACTAAATGGTTTCTCACCAGTATGACTTCTCATGTGTTTCTGCAGATTAGTCTTTTGTCCAAAGCTTTTATGACACACTGAGCAACTGAATGGTTTCTCACCCGTGTGAGTTTGCATGTGTATCTGTAGATGACTCTTTCTATTGAAGCGTTTACTACACACTGAGCAGCTAAATGGTTTGTCTCCTTTGTGAGTTCCCATGTGTAACTGCAGATTACCCTTTCGTGCAAAGCTTTTATCACACACCGAGCAGCTGAATGGTTTCTCACCTGTGTGAGTTTCCATGTGTCTATATACACTTTGTCTCCATGAAAAGCATTCATAAACTGAACAGCTCAAAGGCTTCATATTGGTAACATCACCTGACTGAGGTTCCCTGATGTCTTTAAAATAATTGTCGCTATCATCAGTCTCAGATTCAGAAGAGTCTTCAGTCTTACCATCCGTATCAAGTTGTGAATGTTCATCTGGATCTGAGTTTCTGCCTGGTTCTATTCCTCCACAGTCCTCTCCATCATCTGTTTCCATCTGTTCAGTTAGTCTTTGATGAAGCTGTGAGGACTGAGGTTTCTCTTCATCATCATCATTTTCACTCTTCACAGGAACAGGAGTGAATGTGAACCCTTGAAGCTGCTCTCCCTCCTCACTGGTCCTGACTTCCTCCTGTTCCTCTTTAATGTGTGGGGGCTCTGGGTCCTCCTGGTCCAGACTGGGTCTCCACTCCTGCTGCTGCTCAGGGGGAACCTCTTCTTTAATCACTGACAGCTGCTGGACGTCTGCAGGACACAATAAACACAAAGATAGACATTATGGAAAACCACCACTTTCTGTTAAATCCAGACTGGATAACTGTGGGATCATCATCAGGTTGAAGATGACACTCAGTGGAAACACATTGGAACCAAGTTGAAATCTGTTGACAAGGTCTCACAAGGATTATCAGCAGAAGACTTCCTGGAAAGTAAGCAATGATGTGTGACGTGCTACGGTAAGTGTACTGACTCATTTCCGGCTTCTTCCTGCTCTGTGTACACTGTTTGGTGCTGTAGCTCTGTCCAGTGAACGCTAAATCTAAATTAGTTTTACTCATTACAGCGGTTATTTTCCCGCTTAACATTTAAACGTAGACTAGTTCTACCTAAACACTCAGAGCTACTCCTTCTTTTAGCTACTTTCAAAGTTTTCACTGACGCTAGCTTCATTCACATTAGCAGTTAACTATGGCTTCTCCCTGTCCCTCTGCTCTGTCCTGGTCAGTTTGCCAGATGTTTAGCTATTCCTCTGCCTCATTTATGTTTTGTGATATTGTGATAATGATACATGTATCAAGTGTCAGTCCCTCCAGAAAAACGCGATTATGAGATCGCATAATTCAATGCATAGTCAGCCATGGCAGTCCGCATATTCATGCAGGGGCCGCATTTTTTTTTTTTAAATTGCCGATTTCCACGCAAAATATGCGGGGCTTGCATGATTTCATAATCCCTGCATTTTCGTTGCAAAAAAAGTCACATATATCTTAGCAGAAAGTTGAAAAATGTTGTGTTTACTTCACACAAGAGCAGCCATTTTCCCATGTTGCCATGAGATAACTTCTGTTATGAATTGGCGCTATAGAAATAAAATTGAATTGAATTGAATTGAATGAGAACGTTATGAAGTGACATAATTACGCGATGCGAACATCATCGAAAAGCTGCAGTTTTTGTAAGTTCCCGCAATTTCATCGCATAAAATTGCATAAATATCCCGCATATTCCATTGCATAGTGAGAAACGTGAAGTTAGCGAAGCCAGCGGCCATAGTTAAATGTATCCCTGGGGCCAGAGCGGGCGACATTGAATCAAATTTAAAACTGCTGGCTAAAGATAAATGTAAATACAGTAAGATTGTTATCCACGTCGGAGGTCACTAAGATTAATGTGGAGTCGGTGTGTAACTATGCTAAAACAATGTCGGACTCCGTAGTTTTCTCTGGACCCCTGCCCAATGTGACCAGTGATGACATGTATAGCCGCATGTCGTCATTCCACCGCTGGCTGTCGAGGTGGTGTCCAGCAAACGATGTGGGCTTCATTGATAACTGGAAGCCTTTTTGGGGAAAACCTGGTCTGATTAGGAGAGACGGCATCCATCCCACTTTGGATGGAGCGGCTCTCTTATCGAGAAATATGGCAAAGTTTATTTCTAAAACCTGACAGTCAAGAGTTAGGACCAGGAAGCAGAGCTGCTGTCTTACACACTCCTCTGCTTTCTTTAGAACAGTCACCCACCCAAAACCCCATAGAGACTGTGTCTGTCCCCCAACCACCTACATTATTTAAAGAAATAAAAACAAGAGGAGTTCAACATAAAAATCTAATAAAAATTAAAACCAACTCCTCAGTAGCACAAAATAAGAGAATGAAATGTGGACTGTTAAATATCAGGTCTCTGTCCTCTAAAGTTGTTTTAGTGAATGAATTAATATCAGACTATGATATTGATTTACTTTGTCTTACTGAGACCTGGTTGTCCCACGAGGAGTATGTTAGCCTAAATGAATCCACCCCCCCCCAGTCATATTAATACTCACATTCCTCGAGGCACAGGCCGAGGAGGTGGAGTAGCAGCTATATATGATTCGAGCGTTTTAATGGACCCTAAACCTAAACTAAATTATAATTCATTTGAAAGCCTTGTTCTTAGTCTTTTCTCATCCATCATGGAAAACACTGCATGCATCAGATAAAGTAATTATTGTAAATATTCATGTGGATGTTAACAATGAAGGCTGTCATTGTCACGCATTTATCTCATTAATAGACTCAATTGGCTTCTGTCAGAGTGTAAATAAACCCACTCATCGTTTTAATCACACTCTTGACCTCGTTCTATCATATGGCATTGCTACACACAGGCTCAAATGCACACTTGTGGACATGCAAATGGAAGAGCGATGGTGGAGTGATGGGGCTGCTAAGTTACCGGCGCCCCATGAGCAGGTTTTGGGGTTAGGTTGCCTTGCTCAAGGGCACCTCGGCAGTGCACAGGAGGTGAAAACTGGCACCTCTCCAGCTACCAGTCCACACTCCATACCTTGTGGTCTGTGGGACTTGAACTGGCGACCCTCCGGTTCCCAAGCCAAGTCCCTACACACCCCAACAAAAGGAGGAGATTCCATCAATGTTTGAATCAATGCCATGTCTGAATTTAACAGAGTCCTATAAAAACTTTAGTCCCTCCCAAATTGATAACCTTGTTGATAGTGCTGCAGTCTCACTACGATCAACATTAGATTCTATCGCTCCTATAAAAAGGAAATTATTAAAACAGGAGCCTAGCACCCAGGATATAACTTCTGTTATGTATTGGCGATATACAAATAAAATTCAATTGAACTGAATTGAAAAAATTGATTAAAAGGATCAGAGTTTCTTCTGAACAAGGCAGAAGATTATTTAACCTTTAACAGTGCAGTCTGCTGCCACAGCAAGGGAGAGTTGGAGAACAGTAAAGGGTCAACATGCCGGTTGAAAGGATTCTGCCAGATTTGTTCCTGTTTACCAACGTAGGAGTGGACTATCCTGGAGAAATAAATGGGAACATCACCCAAAGATTCTTCATTGGTTCACTACGCATCAAGAACAATATTTTTCATTTTTCACTATGTTGGAACATTTTAATTGAATGGGTAGTCACAATAATACTTGTTAGCAGATACAGTCAACGGAATTTAATAGTTAATAATTTACTTTAAAGCCAAGATCCTAAATTAAATCTAAAGTATTATTTTTTGATAGATAGTTGAATAGATCAATTATATGTGGGGTTATTGGAAAGCAAAATCAATAATAGTCATAATCATCATTTTTGTCCAACTCTGACAGCCGTACTGCCTCCACACTCACACAGTGACGCACAGCATCAGGAGCAGTTCACACTTCATCTATGTGAAGAATGATAATATGAAATTTGATTGTAGCTTACAGTCAAATGCTCAGTTTGATGATGAAATGTATTTGTTGTTTATTTCTGACTTTTAGAGCTCGGTGGTTCTCACAGGACAAACATATGATGATCTTATAGAATCTGACACGTTGCTGTAGATTAAATAAAGTAGTTCAACATCTACATCCACATGAATGCAGCAGTAATATTGATCCATCAGATATAATAGTCCAACCTGTTCCTGCACTATCACTACTTTTCCTTTGAGTCCATTGTGCTGATCATCCTGTTACTGCAGTAAAGGCTGTGAATACTACTTCCAGCTCAGAGTGTGAACAGTGAGAGAAGAAGCAGTACAGTGAACCAACCTGCTCTGTGTAACCGAAGTTGAGGGTTGAAAACAGCGTCCAGTAGTTTCCGTTGTCGCTCGTTCTCCTCTTTTGAACGACAAAGTTCCTCCTCGTACTCTGCTATCGTTCTTTCAAACAGCCCAAATATCTCTTCAGCAGCCGCAGTTAGTCGCTGCTTCACCAACGCTCTCAGCATTTGGACTTTACACATTTTCACACAATCACACAAACTCCGTCAAAAACACTGTTTGCTCTCCATCAAACAGTCACTCTGACTAGCGCTGTGTTGCTAAGCTCCGCTCTGTTTACAGCTAGCATGCTAAGCTAACTTCTGTAGCTTTGTGGGTGACGTCAGAGCTTCCGGTGCAGCTCGGCTCTCTCGCGCTCTTACTAACTGCTCTTTGAATTATTATATTAATGAGATTATTAATGTTTAATTGCAGCAGCAGTAAAAACACTGACAACAATATTTACGTGAACAGCCAAAGAGCGAATCTACCTCCGCTGTAATACGGACCGTACGGGCCGCCGTACCAACGATCACTTCCGCTCCGGAGCCGGAAGTGGTCGTTGTTTTCCCGCTGGATGAAAACAGTGAAGTGGTTTGTAGAAAAGCGTCAGAGTTTAGTTTCCATCGCAAACTGCTGGATGTTGTTTTACCCGCTGAGATAAAGCTGCAGAGAGCAGGTTGGTTTCCTTTCTGCTGCTGTTTCCTCACACTCTATGCTAAGCTAACGTTAGCCTGTTAGCTGCTGTTAGCCTGTTAGCTGGGTTGCAGGAACTTCCCAACTTATTAGACCCTATGTTAACTGTGTGGTAACCATGGTAACTGGAGTTAGGACCCGATGGATGAACAGGATTGTTGTATCCGTGTTAGTTAACTTTCCGTCTGTACAGCTGCTCTTTACACAACCAGAAAGACTTCCGCCTGCGTTCTCTCTGAAACACCAACAGTTACAGAAGTTGTTTAACTCAGCAGGATGAGAAAAGTAGTGTCGGTTGCTAGGTAACAGAACAGTTAATATGCAGTGTTGGATTGACTATTGAGATAAAATAGTTTGGATTGTGTAATACCAAAGATCTTATTTTAACGTTCTAGTGTGTTCCCACCAAACGCAAAGTGAACTTTAACCTTACGTTTACTCACAGGATCATTTCTATTTACTCATGTTACAGTATCGTCCCTTTAAATAATCAGATATTAATGTCAATAAACGGATCAATATGATTCTGAAATAACAACATCACGATGTTTGTAAACAGTCTGAATTCAGACGTCGAGCTAACAACCGTTAAAATGCTTGTTTTCTGAATGGAGTTTGGTTGATTAGGGCTATGCTAACGTAGTTCTTAGTAAAGTGAAACCGACAGCTGGAACCAGGAACAGCTGTGTTGTGTAACAGTGTTCACCCCATTCACATTCACTCTGTATTCTGTTTCCGATGGGAACACACCACAAGACTTCAGTTAGGAAGGTTCTGTAATACGGCCCCTGAAACTTGTTGTACTTTGTCTTCTCAAATAAAGGTTCGGGAAAGTTTAAGCAGCATGGCACCCAGACGGAAATTTGATTTCAAGTTTAAAGAGCGAGTTTTGCAGTTTGCGGAGAAAACTTCAGGAGAGGAAGCTGCGAGGAACTTTAACATCGACTCCAAAAGAATCAGATACTGGAGAAAACAGAAGAGTGAGCTGCTCTTAGCGGACAAGAGGAGAGCGCGGCTAGCTGGAGGCGGGAGGAAGAAAGTCAGCGTGGAGCTTGAGAGGAAGCTTTCAGAGTGGATCTACTCGATGTGGGACCAACACAACCCAGTATCAGGAAAAATGATTCAAAATAAAGCGTTGGAGATCTACCCCTCAGTGAGGGACGGGGGCAAGGTGTTTGTGGCTAGCAGAAGTTGGCTACGAAGATTTCTACAGCGCAACAACCTCTCGCTTCAACATCGCACCACCGTGATCCAGAATGATCCAGATCAGCTCACCGAGAAACTGGTTTCCTTTGTCGACTACGTCGGCAAAGCTGTCAGCTCTAATGGGATTTTAGAGAGGGACATCATTGCAATGGACGAGACCGCCGTTTGGTTTGACACAGTGTCCCCCATTACTGTTGATACTCAAGGTAAGAGCAGCGAGGCAATGCCGGGACACGAGAACCTCACTGTCGTCCTCGCCGCCAAGGCTGACGGCACCAAACTGCAGCCTTACATCGTCTTCAGAGGGGCTGCTGGTGAAGTGCGGCAGCAGATCTCTGGCGCAGTCATCGCCAAGTCTGCGAATGGTTGGATGAATGACGCTCTCACTGCTGATTGGCTTCAGTCCGTGGTGGGACAATTCAACATGACCCCACGGCTCCTGGTGTGGGACTCATACCGCTGCCACATCGGCGCCGCCACCAAAGCTGAACTAAAACATGGCTACAATATCACGACGGCGGTGATCCCGGGAGGCTGCACTAAACATATCCAAGCCTCCAACATGATGTGGAACCAGATCTTCAAGCAGAGTCTATACGGCGCCTACAATCAGTGGTTGGCGGGGGACACAGATAAGGAATACACAGCCGGAGGGTATTTAAAGGCCCCCGCCCGCCACCTGCTGGTGGACTGGGTGGTCGCCGCCTGGGACAATCTGGATGAGGATTTGATCAGAGAGTCTTTCAAAGTTTGTGGACTGTCTGTGAAAAGTGATGGAAGCGAAGACGACCTCATCCTCTGCTTCCAGGAGGGACAGCCCTGCGACGCCGGACGGGAGGCTCTCGCCCAGGTTCGTCAGAGGAGCCTGGAGAACCAGTGCCAAACCGCCCAGGATGAGGAAGATGAAGAGGAGCTATTTAACAATGAACTTGTTGTTTTTGATGATGATGAGGAGGAGGACTTCGGGGAGGAGGATAGTGACCACATGTCATGGCACTGTTTCATTCATCAAGGTGAGCTGTATTGATGATCTTCTGATGTGTGACAGTGGAACATGGTTGCTGTGGTAAAGTTAACTTTTAAGAATAAGTTTTTAGGGTGGACTTCCTGCTACTGTTAACCAGCTCATTAACTTTAATGTAACTCTACTGGAATAGAAATGCTGTGCAGTATATAGAAACAAATCTCTGTTTAACAGGCTGTCATCAAATTTGTGGTTGGTTGAAGAAGCCAGAAGTAGTTATAATAATAACTATAATTAAAACTGTAAGCAGCGTTGGGCGGGACCTCGCACTCCACGCAACTCGGGGCGTGCTGCGGCCATGTCGCGTGCCGTCATAACACGTGCGGACCACAACATGAAAATCTGCCGTTAATCAGCTCAAAGTCGCCACGCAGTGCTTACTTCCTGTTGCCAGTAGGTGGCGCTATCACTGTCTGAATATTGTCATGTAGACGTGTTCAGGGTGGGACTGTTATCAAACACATGAAGTTTCATTGAGATTGGATCATGTACGCTGAAGTTATGAGGACGTGTTCAGGGTGGGACTGTACACTGAAGATATGAGTACTATCTGTTTGATGTCCAATCGGTGGAATTCGACACGTCGTCACGGGCACACGGTTAAACATACAGTCACAAATAGCACAACTTTAGATAACCAATGTGTGTAGATTGAAGTGATCGAATTTGAAGTCAATCTGATAAAATCTGTAGGAGGAGTTAGTTAAAGCAGAAGCCCTGAAATGCCGGAAATAGCATCACAGTTTGACATTCGATTCAACCTGGCCAACTTTGAGGGAACGCCACGGACACGCCGTTCAACGTACAAGCACAAATAGCTCAACTTTAGATAACCAATGTGTGTAGATTGAAGTGATTGAATTTGAAGTCAATCTGATAAAATCTGTAGGAGGAGTTAGTTAAAACAGAAGCCCTTAAATGCCGGAAATAGCATCACAGTTTGACATTCGATTCAACCTGGCCAACTTTGAGGGCACGCCACGGACACGCCGTTCAACGTACAAGCACAAATAGCTCAACTTTTAATCAGCACCATTTTTTGACTGTACTGACCAATTTTGAAGCAGATCCGTTAAATTCCCTAGGAGGAGTTCGTTCAAATACAACGGGAAAAGTTCGCAGAAATTGAAACTTTAAATCAAAATGGCCTACTTCCTGTGGGGTTTCGGGTATGGGTCCAAGAGGCTTTTTTGTACGTCCCGGCATGTTACACGTGCCTACCAAGTTTCGTACATATCGGTGAAACGTGGTGCCGGGGCTGCTTTTTTTTATCCTGTAGGGGGCGCTACACACACGACAAACACAATTTTTGGTATGTGAGCTTCAGGCACCACTCTACACGTGCCCTGTGAATTTCATATTCATAACTATTAAGGTCTCCGCACAGTGATTTACCATGCCACCAGAGCGCCACCTAGTGGCGGATTGTTGACACATTTTTTAGCGAGCCTCAGGGAGCCATGGGGAAGCATCGTATCAAGTTTCATCTTAATCACACATACCGTTGTAGAGATATAAACGTCTACATTTTAAAGAACGCCACCTAGTGGCGATGGCCTGAAATTGTGCACGATGCTTAAGGAAGACATGAGGAACTATGGAATCCAAGTTTGGTGTCAATCGGAGAAACCAATGTGGAGCAATGGTCCACTTTTTGACGAAAAATCTACAGGAAGTTGGAATTCTTATTTTTTGAAATTTCAAAAATGTTCAAATTACTCTTTTTGCCATGGTGGTCCCCAGGTGCTAGGTGAAAAATTTTGTGCGAATCAGACAAAGCGTGTAGGAGGAACACGAAAAAGTAGTTTAACGACATTTCACGCTCTAACGAAAAAAATTATTGGCAGAAGTGGGCGGGGCCTATATGGAGAGATTCAGCTCCATTCACCGAACGTGTGGATATAAGGTTTATGAATGTGCGACAAACTATGCAGAAGTTATTAGCCTAAACGCACTTTTTGGATAGTAGCGCCACCTAGTGGTCAACCCGAAAGCGACGCATAGAATATCCCCATTTTTACCAGGCGTGACAACTTTGCCAAATAAAATTGACTTTACGTATATGTTCAGGGGGGGAAAAACGCAGTCGAAGGGGTCTAAAAATAATAAGAATAGGTAAGAAATCGAGCAAAAACAATAGGGACCTCCAGTGGTCGCTGGCTCAGTCCCTAAATATCTTTTTAAAAAGGATTGTAACTCCACAGTCCAAACCACAACTATAAGGTGAACGATATCGTTGGGATCACCTACAGAGCGATATTGTGGTATACATATTAATCGTTTATGTAACATTTTTCTACAAATTACACACAAAAAAACATAATTATACCTGAGACATAATCCTTGTTTACCAAAGAATGAATCAGGTTTGTCGGGCTGCCCCCCACTAAAGGTTTTCCTAGTCAAACAGCAGTTGTTGGAGAAAGCCAACAGTCGACTAGTTGAATGTTTCTGATATCACTGTATTGATTATTGATTATAATCTGTTAAACAGCAGTAATGATTGTGAATCAGAACAAGCAGCAACACAGTGTAACATCACACAGTCTGCTTGTTCAATACCTTCCAACTTCACTGAAACTAATCCTGACTGATCGATACGATGGGTGATGGATAACCGTAACAACAAACCTCTCCCATTATTTCAAGCTTGCAACCAGGCAGGCTAGCTGACAGTCTTGCCTGGGCCCGGGACGAGATAATCTTAGATGGGCCCCCCCATGCCCAGATCTCTCCTTTTTCCTTGCTCATCTCCTCTACTCTTCCTCTCCTGTTCCTCTCCTCAGTGTTACATCCAGCAGCCACTTCAGTAGTGCTTTGTTTCTTTCGATTTCTCCATCAATTTTTGTTGTTAGCTGTCAATTCCAGAAGTCTGTAGGACAGAATGTTGTAGGTTCTTCCATTTCCGATAACAATGTTTGTGTGCATGGTTTCTTTCATGTTCTGGAAATCTCTCATAAAGCTTTCTGTATTTTATATTCGATATTTTCATCCCATCTGTGAAATTTAGTGCACTAGTTGACTCTTTCTCTACTTCAAAGGAGAACAGCAAGCATGGTAGGCAAAATAAGGCCTTTTTTGAGATGCTATATACTATCCAGTCCCTATCCATTTTCTCCCTTCCATTGTGGGATGTGGAATATGTCAAATAGTTTGGGAATTCCCTGCCCTCTGCATCTGCTGGCAATTCCTTTGCCCTCTCTGAGAAAGGCGTTCGTTTTGCCATCACACGTACGAGGTTCACTCTATCAGTGATTAGTCTCTGATCCATCCTGCTCAGACTCTCCGACGGGGCAGCAGGCCCCTCCCGCTCCACTGTGACTCTCTCTCTCTCTCTCTCTCTCTCTCTCACCGGTAGCCTGACTCTGTCCCTCCGCTCCAGGGCAGCGGGCCCCTCCTGTATCACTCTCTCTGTCACCTTACTGCAGCTGGATCTCTCCTCTCTGTCTCATCCTCTCTGACGGAGCTACCAAACTCAACTGTTTCTGTCGGAGATAACGTGTTGTGTCAGGCTTTTATACAAGCTGATGGACGTTAACATTAGAGCTGGCCTGTTAGGTTACGTTACAAGGCTGGTAAACGTTGGATGCGCTGTTTCTTACCTTGCTCTACGTTGACTTTACTAGTTCCAGCTTCACTGTCACCACCTTTTTTGAAATATTTGTTTAGAAAATCTCTAAGGCCTCTATTTTCTTCTTCTCTTTTCTTTCCTTTTCTGAGCACCAGACTCGTGCTGACCAGACATTTTGAGCGTACTGAACTTCAAATCAAATGACAACATCAAATTTTGATCAGTGGCCAAACCATTTTTGTGTTGGGGGTGGGGGGGGTTCTTGACCACTATTTCAAGGACAATTAGGAAGAAAACAAATAAAAAGCTTTTATGTAACTCAAATATTACATATTTTTTCAACAAACTATTTTAATTATTTTTTTAAATTATGCCATAATTTAATGAGGGCCCACTTTGTCCCCCCGTATCGTCGGGCGTGCAACCAGGTACAGTCAGCTAATAGGGCAGCTAACTAGCTTGTGCAGCACCTTCAATGACGACAACTTTCTGACAGTGTTGGATTCTCCTCACTCCTCCCGTCTTCATCCTTCTGGTTTTCTTTTTGTTTCTATGTACAGCAGCAACAGCTCATTAATAACTGCACACACAGCTGGAGCATGAAGGGGCCACTGTTTACTGTTGTTATCCGTATGAATGCTCACATCGCTATCGTTCTTGGTGTGGCCTTCACACATTCAATGGGTTATTAAATGTCCACATATACATAATATCTATATCCCTGTGTTTCAGCTTTACCCTCAAACGACATAAAACAGATTATTATTAAAGAAGAGCAGCAGGAGTGGAGCCCCAGTGAGCACCAGGAGGACCCAGAGCCCCCACACATTAAAGAGGAACAGGAGGAAGTCAGGACCAGTCAGGAGGGAGAGCAGCTTCAAGGGTTCACATTCACTCCTGTCCCTGTGAAGAGTGAAGATGATGATGATGAAGAGAAGCCTCAGTCCTCACAGCTTCATCAAATACAGTTTGAACAGATGGAAACAGACAATGGAGAAGACTGTGGAGGACCAGAACCAGCCAGGACCTCAGATCCAGATACACATTTAAAACCAGACAGTTCTCCAAACTCTTCTGACCCTGACACTGATGACAGTGAGGACTGGAAGAGGACCAGAGAACCTCAGTCAGCTTCAAACCATTTACAAGTCCCTTTGAGCTGTGTGCCATGTATCAGCCATGAAACACGGTTCCTGTTGCACAGCTGCTCTCAGTGTGGTAAAGGATTTGGCAACAAGACAAATCTGAAGGTCCACATGAGGACTCACACGGGAGAGAAACCGTTCAATTGCTTAGTTTGTGGTAAAACCTTTGCACAAGGAGAAGATCTGAGACAGCACATGGCGGTCCACAGAGGGAAAAGATTACGGTGCACTGTTTGTGACAGAAGGTTTATCTGGTACCAGCAGTTCAAAACACACAAGTGTGTCGGTCTTCAGTCCTCACAGCTTCATCAGAGACAGACTGAACGGATGAAAGCTGACGGAGAGGACTGTAAAGGACCAGAAGCAGCCAGAAACTCAGATCCAGATAGACATTTAGAACATGATACTGATGATATGACTGAAGACTCTTCTGAATCTGAGACTGACAACAGTGATGACGGTTGGAAGGAGACCAGAGATCCTCAGTCCGGTCACGAAGCCCCTGTAAGTTGTATCACACGTACTGGTGAAAACCAGCTGAACTGCTCTGAGTGCGGTAAAAGATTCGGCTACATGTCACTTCTGAAGAGACACGTGAGGATTCACACAGGAGAGAAACCGTTCAGCTGCTCAGTTTGTAGTAAACGCTTCATTCAGAAGAGCGATCTGCAGGTTCACAAGAGAACTCACACGTGGAGGAAAATATTCAGCTGCAGTGTTTGTGACCAAAGATTCTCTCGACGTTCACAGATAAAAATACATGAGTGTGATCACCGTAAAGCCTCGCAGCCTCAACACAACCAAGCTGACGAGTTCAACTGAACAGATAGAAACACACACTGATGGAGAGGGCTGTGGAGGACCAGAACAAGCCCGGAACTTGGATTATTTAACACCTCATACGACGACCAGAGAGACTCTCGGACGCTGTGGGTCCAGTTGCGTCCTCAACACAGACAGGAAGTGTGCAGCAGATCTATGTTAACAGCAGATCTGCATCGGTACTGCTCAATGCTGGCACACATTTACTGTTTTCATACTGTGATTGATTGTGCTATATAAGCTGTCTATGTAAGAAGCTTAGAAGCATGTGTGGATGCATTTAAACTCACCTAAAGAGCCAATCTGCAGAGCTGTGGCTCGCTAGGTAATATGTCTTTATATAGTTAGAATTATAGTTTACAATGTCATGATATATGTACAAGTGCAGAGCTCACAGTTTTTTATGCCTTTTTTTTTGCTGTGACAGCTTGATAGAAAGGGAGAAGAGAGAGTGAGACATGCATTAAAGGTCCACAGGTTGGAATCAAACCTGGGCTGCAGGGGGACTTACAGTACGTACATGGGGGGCAGGTTCTACCAGTGCATCCAATGTACTTTTTTTATTCTGATTTTATGCATATAGGAGTTTTTTTAAATTGCAATATATTGAATAGAAAATAAGGGCAGCTGTTTTGATGCAAGCTATTCAGCAGTGATGTGTTTTAGCCTGAAGTGCAGCCACATGTCTCAGGAAGAAGAAAAGTCTTTAAGCTGCCATATTAGATTCAGTTCAAGACTGATGAAACACAAGAGAAACGGTTCAGTTGCAGTAAAAGTTTTAATTTTAACTCACAAATCATAAACTGAGTTCCAACTGTTGATATGAATGTATGTTTTAAAGTGTAACATCTCCTCATTTAACAATGTATAAAGTCTATGTTCTATATGGAGTTGATTCCATAAATTATCAATAATCGATGGCGTCATATCCCCTCTGTGGCTGCATCAGCGCTGTGGTCGTCTGCCAGAAGCTGTCATACACTGACTGTTTACCATCCACTATTTAGATCTTGGTGCTTTTTAACTCTAGATTTGAACCGGATGAAGGATTTTAGTCATCGGACGTCTGGATCTTAAGTTATCAGAGAAACAAGCTGAGCTAACATTAGCATTAGCTCGGCTCGCCGCCCCTCCAGGACGTCCTCTGTCTGTCCAACAGCGTGGGAGAAGCAGTGATTTTTAAGGTGGAACTGCTTTATTCATTGTGTTTAGTGATTTTAATCAGTGGGTCTGTTTGTTTTGGAGAGGAGGAGACCTCTGTGGATCATTGGGCTCCCGGTAGAAACCTCCTGAACCATGAACACTGAAGGAATCCTAACCAGGAGAAGCTGACTGCAATGACGCCAATGGAGGTGAAGACAACAACTCCCATGATCCCACGCTGCTTCACCACCTCATCAAACTACATTCTTATTGTTTGGATGTGAGAAACCCCCCCCCAAATTATTTTGAGGCAAAAGTGATTATGAGAGAAGTATTTAATGAATAAAGGTGGAATACTTTTGATTAAATAAGATGTTTATTATCATGAAATCATGTATTAGTGCAGCTTTAATGTGGCGTCAGCAGATATAAACCTTTGTTGAAAGAGCGTTGGGTGTTGACGCATTGATTTTCCATCCTAACAGTTGATCAGCTGCTGACAGACTATCGTGAAAAGAAGTCATTCATTTATTAAGTTAAATATTAGAATTTGTAATGACCGTTTTACACTGGATGCTGTACATCACATGTTCCATAACACGGTCAAAACTCAAAGAAACCTCTGTTGACCTCTCCATGTTATTATTGATCAATAGTATCAATATTAAGTCTGATTGTTAAAATGATAAAAACACAGAATACTGACAGTTTACTGTTGGGTTCATTGTGTTATTGATCATTGGAACATACAGTCCGTTTACTGACTGATCGAGGAGGTTGGAAACAAACCATACAATATGAAAACAGCTTTAGCTACTAGAAACACATCAGTTTAGTCCTCTCAAAAATATACAATGAATGTTGAGTAAACTATAAATTATGAAATAAATGTGTAACTTAAGCAGCTCTAACAGAATGTGTTATGATTATATATTATTTATTACAATCTTTATTACTTTCAATGTGTCCACACTGATTCAGTTTAATCAGGAACCTTTTTATTCAGTTATTTACAGAAACAGAATTCACAGCAAAATATATAATAACAATAACAATGACAGACACCAGTACAGAATGAACATTACAAACCTCAGAAACAAGATAAATGGTTTCAGCATGTATATTATAAAAGAAAGTTTAAGCACTGTTAAGGAATCTGACTATATTACAGAATACTTTTAAATCCAGTTTTAGTCATGAATCCACAGAAGGGAGAGAACGAGTCCCTGCAGACGGATTCATTAGGTGTGCTGGATGTATGGTGGTAATGCACTTTGTTCTGGTTGGATGTAGTAATTTTTTGTTTTAATTTACTCGTTTTTATATTGTGCTGCTGCCTGTCAAAAGTTCAGATTATGTACTCAAACAGCAGTAAAATGTACTCATTGTACAAAATGTGTGTGATATGCACTGGTCTGGATGTTGGGAAGGTATTCAAAGTCAAAAAATAATACTAATAATAATCTAACACATTTGAACTACCTGAAGAAACTCACAAATGAAACTCAGCAGACGGCTGAAGCCGATGCTGCGAGTCCCGGTGTGTGTACGTAGTCAAAGCTGTGACCAACAGTACTTGCACGTGTTACATTCCAATATTTCGGACCTGATGCCACGCAGTCATTTCTCCACTAACCACATCATCAAGTTACCATATAAATCTACTTTTATGCTACTTTGTGCTCGTAAACAACAAGCTAGCTTGCAAATTAGGTACGTATGGTTATGAACAACATTCAACTTTCCACATCAGCCCAGCCTGTTGTTTTCCTTCACTAGTGAGTTTAAAGACCGTCTCTTGAAATGACAATATGGTTGTTAATCCTTTTAAATCCCCCCTGCGGGGGAATCCAGCACTTTGATTGGTCAAACGTTTTTCTTCTTTTGCTTGTGGGCGGGATATTTGCTGCTAATTGAACTCAGTGGCTTTTTGTGTAGTTCAGAACGAGAAATCTTACTTTTACGTCAGAATGCATAAAGGTTGGCCGGTCTGCAATTTCCTATTTCACATTAATGTAAAGAAAGTCTCCCGTTACGACGTCCTGAGAGCTTCCTGTTGGCAACACACAGGCTATAGTTCAATATTTATGAAGTTTTACATCAAACTAATAAAATGACATCTTCGTGTAGACCTAATTTGTCATCTGTCACCCTTCTTTGATACATTTATCTGGTTGAAAAAAAGACTAGAAATCAAGGTTGAGATCCCAGTCGGTGCTCACTGGGTTTTCTCATGTCTTCACTGGTTTTCATGGACCTGCGAGGACTCACCGGTACACTGATGGATTCTGAGCTGGGACAGCCAAGTGAACCCTTTGCCACAAACGCTACAGCTGTACCGTTTTTCTCCCGTGTGGATTGCCACATGCTGCGTCAGATATCGCTCAAATGCAAAACATTTACCACAGAACTGGCAGCTGAAGGGTGTCTCCGCGGTGTGAGTTCTCGTGTGCTGGGTCAGATATCTTTCCAGAGCAAACTCTTTACCGCAGACCGAGCAGCTGAACACTTTGTTCTCCGTGTGGATTCTCATGTGACGACTCAAGCTTTCCCTCCTGAAGAAGCTGTTCCCACAGACGGAGCAGCTGAAGGGTTTCTCTCCAGAGTGAGTCCTACGGTGCTTCGCGAGCTCTGAACTGCAGCTGAAATGTTTTTCACAAATGGAACAGCTTAACGGCTTCTCTTCATGAGAAAGCATGTGGCTCTGCATCGACCTCTTCTGAACAAACTCTTTCCCGCACTTGAAGCAGCTGTACGGTTTACTGCTGCTGTACCAAACCAGACCAGTACTGACCGAGTCCTGCCTCCCACTGGGACTTCTGTTCAGAGAGTTTAGACCCGACTGAGGCTCTCTGGTCCGGTTCCAGTCATCACTGTCATCAGTCTCAGGATCAGAAGAGTCTTCAGCCTCGTCAGCCTTCCTGGCTGGTTCTGGTCCTCCACAGTCCTCTCCATCAGCTTCTGTCTTTATCTGTTCAAACTGTATTTGATGAAGCTGAGGTTTCTCTTCATCATCATCTTCAGTCTTTACAGAGACGAGAGTGAATGTGAACCCTTGAAGCTGCTGTCCCTCCTGACTGGTCCCGACTTCCTCCTGTTCCTCTTTAACCCAGGGGGGCTGATCTTCTTGGTCTTCCTGGTCTAGACTCCAGTCCTGCGGCTCCTCTTTAATGATAATCTGTTTCTCCTCGTTCGAGGGAAAAGCTGAAACACATACAGGTAATAATTTATATCAGGACATTTCAACAAGAACCCAAAATTAATCTGCAACAAATTTAATAATCCGCACATTTGGTTCCAGTGAGAGTGAGCGATATGTTGCCATATATTTGGATTTTGAACTGTTATTTAGACAAAATATTATATTAAATATTATTAAAGCAGGATGAAATTCCAGAGGAGGATTGGTGTTCAATGTGGAGGACATTCATCCAGAAGCTGAAAGAAGTGGAGAGAATTTGGTTGGAAAAAGGTGGCTCGTTCTTTCATTACACCCACCGTTAAAGTCCATATTTCTACATTTTTAATCCAACATCCAATTAAAATCATTAAATTATTATTCTACTGGTTTCACAGTACAAGATGGAGCAGTGAGGATGATTCTGTGGTCCTCTCACTGAAATACTAAGTCTGAAAAGAGTTGCTGATGAAGGAGCTGTCTCTGGAGGTTCAACTGAAGCTGCCACGTTTTATTTGAAACTCGTTATAAAGTTTAATGACTTCAAATTCAAAAGTTCCTGTCTATAAGCACGACAGACCATTTGAAGTAGTTTCCTTTGTAATCCAGCAGAGGGCGCTCCCCTACCAGACTGACCTATGACACGCCCTGTTGACCTCTCAGTAAGCTAACTCTACAACCACAACTAATCTGCTACTCACTGCTAATGTTAGCTTGAACCAAAGTGAGGCAGCGGAGCGGAGGAACCACAGAACAACATTGGGGTGGTAGGCGCTAACGTCTCATCCTGGGTTTAGTTTTTACATTATGTCACCACACTTTGGAAGTGAAACGGTTCGACTGTTGCTACCGGCGGACCTACTGAAGCGATGCTGTATAATAACAGTAACTTTGTGTAGTTCTGATAACAAACAGGATTCAGATTGTGACGGACAGTAAAGCTCCACTAATGAAAAACCACTGAGCTGAAAGATGTAACCCTCTCAAACAACCTTCTTCTTCCACATGTGGAGGCAGTCAGTCCTCTGGGCCACCGTACAATGGTCATAGTTAGAAATCTTCGAAATGGAAAGGACAAATATCCGTCTGAGATTCACACAACAGGAGGAAGAGACTTGCTGTTGGACCGCGGAGACAATAACGGACAAACTCGTCTTCTTTTCTTACCGGTGGAGGAAGAGAGCATCAGATCTCTCCTTCCAGGAGTTTCTCCACGACCCGTTTCCTTTTTGGTCAAAGCCTGCCTGCTGGACCCACCCTCCTCCTCCTCCTCCTTCTTCCTCTCCTCCTCCTCCTCCCCTCTCCTCCTCACCCTCCCTCTCCTCCTCCTTCCTCTCCTCCTCACCCTCCTCCCCATCCTCCTTCCTCTCCTCCTCCTCCCTCTCTTCCTCCCTGTCCTCCTCCTCCTCCCTCCTCTCCTCCTCCCTCTCCTCCCTGTCCCTCTCCTCCTCCTCCTCCTCCTTCTTCTCCCTCTCCTTCCTCTCTTCTTCCTCTTCCTCTTCCTCTTCCTCCTCCTCCTCCTCCTCTTCCCCCTCCTCCTCCTCCAGCCTGCTCTGGTCTGCCTCCTCTTCCTCAGTGGGTGCAGCAGCATTGGGTCCTGACTGTGAGACAGAGACAGAATAATGACTGATACTGTTGATATATTGATTAAACTTCAGCTCGGGATCGTGTGGCGCTCACTCACCGACCCGGCGGCCGCCGTCAGGCAGCGCTGCTTTCTCACCAGGCGCTTGTACTTCCTCCGGAGGATGAAGACCTCCTCCTCCAGCTTACGCTTTTTCTGTCTCAGGCTTTTTTTCTTCTCACGCCAACTTTCCAGCTGCTTCCCACACTCAGGGTTAGTGCACATGGGCTCCTCCTCCTCCTCCTCCAGGTCTAGAGTGGTTATCATGGATGTGGATGGATTTGTGGCACTCAGGGCAGCCAGCAGAGTCACAGTTCTTTCCCTCCTGGCCACGTCCATGTGGCTCTCCACCTCGCCCGGGCTCAGCTCAAGGCGGCTGTCCGGCAGGTGCTTGTCCAGTCTCGTACTTCTGTACGTACACCCCGAGACCGGACAGGCTGCGTCCCTGATGTTAACATGCTTCGTGGCGCGGTTCAGCAGCCGCCTCCTCTCCTGCAGGTTGGTCACGCCGTGAGATTTGCGGAGGTGACTCGACAGCGCCGAATACATGCTGCAGCACAGAGGGCAGGAGGGAGTCCTCTGCGGAGGAGTCATGTCTGAAGGAAAAACATCATAATACAGATTATACACAGACGGCTGCGGGGGGGGCGGATCCTGGTCTAACTACTGAGTTTGTAATGAAATCAGCTCTCTGGTCGGCATCGTAGTCCCGTGGTTCCCAACCTCAGGGTCTTAATGTTTAATTATTATTATTATTATCATTTAAGATCGTGAACAGGAGAAATATTCACAGAGATTAAACAACGACCCGCCTTACTGAACAAGCAGACTATGAAGTAATCGTTAATAATAAAGAAAATATCATTCAGATGAAGATTTAAATAAAAAGTTCCTAAAATTATTAAGAAAACTAAAATATTTACATATATATGTATAATACTTTACAGTTTATTAATCCGTTTACTCAGCGACAGACAGGAGATTGTGTATAAACCTCTCTTATTGTGTAATGATCCAACTTCCTGCAGTGATTGAGTTCATTGATCAGCTGTTCCCTGCTGTTATTGGTACTGATCAATATGAGATATATTGGTGTCAGTTCATAAAAACGATTCTGTTTCAGAAGCTGCTCTTTAAGTAAATCACAATAATAATAATAATAATAAAGGTTATAACGAGGCTGAGTGAGCTAACAGCGGCTAACAGGCTAACAGCAGCTAACAGGCTAACAGCAGCTAACAGGCTAACGTTAGCTTAGCATAGAGTGTGAGGAAACAGCAGCAGAAAGGAAACCAACCTGCTCTCTGCAGCTTTATCTCAGCGGGTAAAACAACATCCAGCAGTTTGCGATGGAAACTAAACTCTGACGCTTTTCTACAAACCACTTCACTGTTTTCATCCAGCGGGAAAACAACGACCACTTCCGGCTCCGGAGCGGAAGTGATCGTTGGTACGGCGGCCCGTACGGTCCGTATTACAGCGGAGGTAGATTCGCTCTTTGGCTGTTCACGTAAATATTGTTGTCAGTGTTTTTACTGCTGCTGCAATTAAACATTAATAATCTCATTAATATAATAATTCAAAGAGCAGTTAGTAAGAGCGCGAGAGAGCCGAGCTGCACCGGAAGCTCTGACGTCACCCACAAAGCTACAGAAGTTAGCTTAGCATGCTAGCTGTAAACAGAGCGGAGCTTAGCAACACAGCGCTAGTCAGAGTGACTGTTTGATGGAGAGCAAACAGTGTTTTTGACGGAGTTTGTGTGATTGTGTGAAAATGTGTAAAGTCCAAATGCTGAGAGCGTTGGTGAAGCAGCGACTAACTGCGGCTGCTGAAGAGATATTTGGGCTGTTTGAAAGAACGATAGCAGAGTACGAGGAGGAACTTTGTCGTTCAAAAGAGGAGAACGAGCGACAACGGAAACTACTGGACGCTGTTTTCAACCCTCAACTTCGGTTACACAGAGCAGGTTGGTTCACTGTACTGCTTCTTCTCTCACTGTTCACACTCTGAGCTGACCACATGGCGGCGCTGTTCGTAGCTTTACGGTAACAGAGCTGACAGGGTTAAATGTCTCTGTTGTTTGTTTGTTTGTTTGTTTGTTTCTCACATTCTGGAGGATAACAGTTGATGGCTTTGTGATGGAGGACTGTACAGTAACCATCACATGGGTTCACACAGGTTTGTGTCACTATAAATATTAACATTATTATGTGAATTCTTTTGGATCAGTAACAAAAAATGTTTTGTCACAGATTTTATTTTTTGAACACTAGAACGACCAAAGCGGCCATACTGACTTTCCAATAAAGCTTTTAATTCCTGTCTTCATGTTATGACGTCATCGCCCTTAAAACAAGCACAAAAGAAAGATTGCCCCGACAGGTGCTACCTCTCTGTAGCACTCACCATGTGAATAGACATGCAAAAAAGTTAGGAAACGTCAAAGCTTTATACCGTTTAGTACAGCCCTGTTTGTAAATAAGTTCAATAATCAATACAAAATCTAAAAATAAATGAATCTATAATGTTCCGATAGGTAAAAATAAAGATCAGGACACAACATTTTAATTCAAATTAATGTGAAAATGTATTTTCCAGCCTAATTGATAAATATTCTCTTATTTTCTTTGTACAATAAAAACAAATCTTATGATACAAAAACAAAAACATTACCTATATACATTTGAATACATTGTAAAAGCTTTCATGGACACGTATGCAGCACAGTGTTTCCTCTATGTTGATTTTGGCGCGGCGGCCCGCCACTGTAAAATTTCTGCCGCCGCGGTATCAGCAATGGGGCAGACGCACAACCTAGTCACGGGCAGTGTTCGGACAGGCCTGCCCCCACTGCTAAAAAAAATCCTAGAGGAAACACTGCAGCACAATACAGTACACACAAAAACAGGCTAAGAAAAATCATGAACATTAGCTAAACAAGAAAACGAACTGCCTTAGAACGATTAGTTTCAGTGAACAAAAAATATTAACAAACAAAATCAGATTAACACGTTTTCCTCCAAGTGGGCTCATTTGAACGGCGCAAACACCCCGCATCATTCACTGACGCTTACGCACAGTCCACACAGGTAAAGACTGCCTTTCGTGTGCAGCTCCCACACACTACTTTGTGACATTTGGCACATGTCTACTTGGTTTTATTTTTTTTGCAGTTCCTCCTTACTTGACACTGCCTTCTTCTCTCCATCTGCTGCTGCTCCTGCCCGGGTGCTGACTCTCGCACCACCAGTTGTGTGGCTTTTGATCTCATGTGGTCAGTGCGAAGTTTGCTCGCCAGTCGCGTGATGAAGTCCCTCCACGAAACTTGCTCATTCGTGCACTTCTTGTACAATATGTGCCTGTTGATTGCAGCCAGGTCGAGGATGTTATAGAAAACAGCTACTGGCCATCTACGGGAGGGTGCTTTCACTGAGTATTTTCTAGCCATTTGATCTAGAACGTCTACTCCTACCTTGGTTTCGTTGTAGTATGTGACCGTCTCTGGCCACTTGTGATGCCAACAGCTGTGTGGACAGTGCTGAGGATGCAGACATTCCTTTTTTTTTGCACTGATACACAGTCAGTTTTGAATCGCCACTTTTCAGCACCTCTGTGCTGAACAGTGGCCTTTGCACTTTTACACCAGGGGGGACCTCTCGTCTGCTCTTGTTTACCGTGCCAACCAAGCTGGTTTTCTTGGCCTAAAGTGCCTTGGCCAGTTCAGAGGAAGTAAAAAAAAAAAATGTCGGTGGTGACGTTTATTCCCTTCCCCAGGTATGGGTAGACCATTTTCAGCACCACAAATCTGTCCCAAACATCACTCATAAGGGCAAACTTGTTTTCTCGCAGGCGTGCGCGTCGGGTTTCCCTTCTGTTGAAACACAGGAATCGCATGATTTCCTGAAACCTGTTTCGGGATATGGTCTCCTTGAAAAAAGCGCAGCCCCACTCGGCTGACCAAAAGCTTGCCAAATCTATTCCTTTTCCACCTTGTGCGCCACGAATGTAAATTAGACTAGAGAATTAGGCTTTTAGCTCTTCAACTGTCATGTCCCATATTTTGTCCTCCTTGACTCGGTGGGCCTCAGCCACGGTGCAGTCCCTGATGTGTTTCAGCATGCCATCATCCACCAAACACAAAAAGGCTGTAAGGGCAGCGTGCGCTGTGGGGCCTGCTGCTTCTGTTCTTACATTTTGGCATTGTCGCTTTCCTCTGTCTTCACCCAACTCTATATAGGTCCACACTGTGCCGTCTTTCGCCGTTTCACGCTTCTCGGCTGAAAGTGGGTTTATTGGGCCAGCTTCCTCATCTTGTGGCGCACTGAGTTGTCTTGGCAATGCAGGCACATCTGATGGATCAGGATTTTGCACTATTGCCAAAAAAAAGAACAGACTAATTACTTTATTAGTTATTAGTTTTATTAGTGAAATCACAATCTTGTTAGGACTAATATTAGCCTATATGATTTCTACTTCTACGGCCTGACAATATAGTATAATACTAATAATAGCAATAGAATAATAATAATGAAAAGGTGTGTGCCTGACATAAAAATGTGAATAAATGGAACGGTCGTCAGGAAAGGTGGGTCGGTAACAGCGGTGGGTTCGTGAGGGGAAAAATAATATAACAACCATTTTCGATAGCAGATCTGATCGGTATAGCCTACCTTCGATGGTTAGAGAGGGATAACTTTACTTTTAAGTACAACTATTATCAATAATAGCCTGGCTAGTCTGCCTTGCAAAGTATCAAGAGAAACATACTTGGAATATTATCCGATGGAACAAGGTCAGTTCCAGGATCGGAGATGTCCAGCTGGCTCTTTTTTCAACGGTGGAATCAATTAATTATCTGAATCACTCTCAGAGCTGGATGAACTGTCCAGGGACCAAGAGACATCGCTGTCCCTATCCTCCATCAGACTCCTCATCGTCAAGCCTCTGAAGCATGGCTAAAGCCTCTGTGGCTGTCATTCTTCTTTTTGATGAGATTTTGTTAACTCAAATGTATAACTTATAGCGTTGGAATAGTGTAAACAAAAAAGGACAGAAAAAACAGATCGTTGCTATGCAACGGGGACACTCATTACCAATGGCGGGAAATGTTGCGGACTTTAATATGATATCTATAATGCATGCGGTCAAAAATGACCGCCATGGCCATTCTAGGTAGAAATAGTCAGAACTGTTTTATGTTTTGTGATTTTAATAAAATAACAGTGTCAGAATAAAATATACACATATTTAGGAAAAGTCAAAGTCCTACAGCCACATTTATTTTATTTTAACAAAGTTATTACACTGTAAAATTTAAAAACGGTCAAAATGACTGCCTTGGTAGTTCTAGTGTTAAATTGAAGCTACTGCGATTTGTATATTTGTAATTTCGATAATATTTAGATACAATTAAATTTTATTTGTATAGCACCAATTTATAACAGAAGTTATCTCAGGACACTTTTCAAATAGAGCAGGTCTAGACCGAACTCTTTATAACATTATTTACAGAGACCCAACAGTACCACCATGAGCAAGCACTTGGCGACAAGGGCAAGGAAACACTGCCTGTTAAAAGGCAGAAACCTAGGACAGATCCTTCGGCTCTAGGTGGCTGAGAGAGAGAGAGAGAGACAGAGAGAGACAGACAGACAGGTGGACAGCAACAACAGTAGCAACAACTACACTAATAGTAGTGCCTGATGATGATGAACATGAAGAAGATGATGACAACAGCAACGATGGGGGACAATGAGCAGTGACAACAGCAACAACAGTAACTGTAGCTATAGTAATACTTATAATAATAATAACAATAATATCAGTGATATTGGCAATGGCAATCTAGCAGGACCATGGCAGGAGGCTCCACCAGGATCGATAAGAACCTGCTAGACGAGAAAGCACAAGAACTCCGGGGAAGAAGTGAAGTTAGTAACATGCATTAATGGAACATGAATGAGTGCAGAAAGAGAGAGGAAGAGAGTAGCTCAGTGCATCATGGGAAATCCCCCGATAGTCTAGGCCTATAGCAGCATAACTAAGGGATGGTTCAGGACTCACCTGATCCAGCCCTAACTATAAGCTTTATCAAAGAGGAATGTCTTAAGCCTACTCTTGAATGTGGAGAGGGTGTCTGCCTCCCGAACCACAACTGGAAGCTGGTTCCACAGGAGAGGAGCTTGGTAACTGAAGGCTCTGGCTCCTGTTCTACTTTTAGAGACTATAGGAACCACAAGTAGCCCAGCATTCAGAGAACGTAATGTTCTAGAGGGGTAATAGGGTACTATGAGCTCTTTAAGATATGAAGGGGCCTGACCATGAAGAGCTTTATAGGTGAGGAGGAGGATTTTAAATTCTATTCTACATTTTACAGGGAGCCAATGCAGAGAAGCTAGTACAGGAGAGATGTGATCTCTTTTTCTAGTTCCTGTCAGTACTCGTGCTGCAGCGTTCTGAATTAATTGGAGCGTTTTAATGGACTTATTGGGGCAACCTGATAGTAAAGAGTTGCAGTAATCCAGCCTTAAAGTAACAAATGCATGGATTAGTTTTTCTGCATCTGTCTGTGATAGGATGTGTCTAATTTTTGTAATATTACATAAATGAAAGAAGGCAGTCCTAGAGGTCTGCTTTATGTGGGAGTTAAATGACAAATCCTGATCAAAGATAACTCCAAGATTCCTGACAGTGGTGCTAGAGGCCAAGGTAATGCCATCTAGAGTAACTATATCTTTAGACAGTGAGTGTCTAAGGTTTTTGGGGCCAAGTACAAGAATTTCAGTTTAACATCAGAAATTATGAAAAAAAGAAAAGAAATATATGTATGCTACGGTATATCAGTTTAAGAAATAAATAATAATGAGTAATGATAATGTAATTGAGAGCTGAATTCTTATTATCCTTATAAAATTATTATCAAAAAGGATTAGTTAACAACATTAGTTAGCAACATTAACCAAAGTATTGCACATTAACCAGAGTGCTGCACATTAACCAGAGTGCTGCACATTAACCAGAGTGCTGCACATTAACCAGAGTGTTGCACATTAGGGTTAGTTCAGTACCTCTTTTTCCTCTTTGTTTAGGTTTGCTCTCTTTAGGCTCTGGTGTCTGTGCTGATCAACCTGACATGTTTACTGGGGAATATTACAGAATACAAACACTAAAGTAGTAACAGGACTTATTTTTTGTTCTTACACAGAGAGAATAAAGTACCCAATTAAATGTAATGTTTGTTTGTTTGTTTGTTTGTTTGTTTGTGTGTCATGGTTTCCTGCAGACGTCCAGCAGCTGTTGGCGAGTAAAGAAGAGGTTCCCCCTGATCAGAGACCCGCTTTGGACCAGGAGGTTCAGACTCAGCCCCCAGTCTTCAAAAAGCAACAGGAGGAAGAGCAGCTTCAAGGGCTGGAGGCAGCTGATATCACAGAGTTCACATTCACTCCTGCCCCTGTGAAGAGTGAAGGTGAAGAGAAACCTCAGTCCTCACAGCTTCATCGAAGACAAACAGAACGGATAAAAACAGAAGCTGATGAGGAGGACTGTGGAGGACGACCGGCTCCGACCAGGAACTCAGATCCAGATACTCATTTACAACCTGATACTGATGAGATGACAGAAGACCTGTTTGAACCTGAGACTGGAGTCTGTAATGATGATAAAACCACCAGAGAAGCTCCTTTTGTTTTAAACTGTATGAAAAACTACAGATATAGTTCTTGTGAGAAATCATTTCCTTGCGTTGTGTGCGGGAAACAATTTAACAAAAACTCAAAGATGCAGATACACATGAGAACACACACAGGGGAAAAACCGTTCAGTTGCTCATTGTGTTTTAAAAAGTTCAGTCAAAAATCAGGTCTGGACTACCACTTGAAAACTCACACAGCAGAGAAACCATTCAGTTGCTCGGTTTGTGGTAAAACCTTTGGCCAGAAGGCTTATCTGCATAAGCACATGAAATGCCATACAGGAGTAAAACCTTACAGCTGTCCATTTTGTAATAAATGTTTTTTACGTTGTGAACATTTACAGTCACACATGAGAACGCACACAGGAGAGAAACCATTCCGCTGCAGCCTTTGTGACAAAAGATTCAGTTGGCGTTGTCAGCTGAAAACACACAAGTGTGTTGGTAAGTCCTCACAGCTTCGTGGACTCTGGACCAGACAGGAGGGAGAGCAGCTTCAAGGACTGCAGGAGGCTGAGATCACCGAGTTCATAATCACTCCTGTCCCTGTGAAAAGTGAAGATGAAGAGAAACCTCAGTCCTCACAGCTTCATCAAAAACTGACTGAACAGATAAAAACAGAAGCTGACTATGGAGGACCTGAACCAGCCAGGAATTCAGGTAGTCTTGAGTCACATGGATGGACCAACTGGCCAATCCATGGACAGTTCTTGTGATGTCATCCAGCTGTTGATCCACAAGTCTTTAATTTAGTAGAAACTTACAGGAAAATCCACATAAGGACATAACTTTAGAGTAATGCTTTTATGGACCATGCTAGGGCTGCACCGAATGGTTCAAAGGTTCATTCACAAGGTTGACATTCAGATTTTAAATCAAAATATCAAATATTCTGTTTACACCCAGTATTTCTGGTATTACCCGGTATTTTTAATATTTTTTGTAGAATGAGATTCCAGCTGTGGCTGCATGTCTGGTAGATGCTACTTAGCAAAGAGTCAGCTGTGTACTCAGCCTCCAGAGGATCCACCAGCATCAGTATCCACAGCAGAGACTCAATATCAGAAACATGGATATGTACCGAAAACAGGACGGTCAACCATCCTGCAGATCCTGCTGCTCAACATCAGCAGAACCGAGGAGCCGATTTTTGATTTAAAAAGCCACGTTAGCTTCTCTGTTAGCTTTATGTTTAATAAGCAGGAATCATTTTCTTCCATTAGATGTATTAAGTATATTTATAAATACAATTTAGAGGTACTTTAAATACTTCTTCTCCACCATCTGTCAGAGGGAAACATTGTAATTATAAACATTGTAATTTCCATTCCACTATATTAATACCTTCAGATAAATGGTGTATTATAGATTACTGTAAATTACACAGTAAAAATCCATCTGCAACATTTAAAGGTCCAGTGTACAGAATTCAGTGGCATCTAGCGGTGTAGTCGCTTACCCAATATAATACATTTAATGTTTGATGTTTTGTACTTTTAGACTTTTAATTCTAACATTTTTACGGTGTAGTTTATAATAATGAATTAATTCTTAATGCATCTCTCTCTGTTCATATTTGTAATTTCCTGTATATATTTAATCCTCAACCCGTCAGCGTATTATTTTGTATCCTGAGTTTTATTGTTTTTATGTAAGTTGGAGCATCGTTAGGACACTGTTTCCAGTCATTGTTCGTGACCTGACTGTAAACTGTGTTGATTTGTTCGGTCCATTCTCAGGACTTTCACTGCCTCGTTTGAGTGCAGTTCACTGTTGAGAGGTTTCGTTCAGGTGCATTTTACAAATAACATTAAATGAATGAATCCAAAATTCTTCTTCACGTAACTTCTTAGATATGTTTCTCTCATTATCTGTTCAGTACAGTGCTGCAGTAGAAAGCTTTTATAAAAATTAATTATTTACTGAAACTTTCACTGTATCCTGACAGAAGTACATGAAACAGGTAATCTGTGGAAAAACCAGGTTCCTCCTCCGACTCCTTTTTAATCCACCACAGCTGAATGAAAACAACCAATCAGACCCGCGAATCAAAGTTACCTACTGCAGCTTTAATGAACATAATGTCTTCCAGGACAACAGCTGATCAATAGATCAGCGCATTATACAAACATTGTGTGTTGCCCTTACACATGCTGTATAACTGTCAGCATTCGTAGTGGGGAGTATTTCATTAATAAATGGTCCTCTGCTGCCACCCTCAGGAATGTCACAGTAACAGCGGGAGAAATAAACAGCCTGTTTATTGGCTGATAGAACAACTCTGCTTCTGTTAACATACAATCAAATATATAAATACATAAATAATAAATAACTAATGGTGAGAAAGGCTAACCAATCAAACAGCATGTCAGATTAGTATGGTCTTCCCTTTTTCACTGATTGGCTGATTATAGTTCATATTCACTGACTGTGAGAACCACAGGGTGTACACCGTATTCCTTATAAAATAATATAACACGTTTTTTTAATCTTAAATTTCATGAGGAGGAAGCATTCACTGTGTTCAGTGTTAGCTTGAAATCAGCGACATATTTCTACAGTTTCCCTGGTAATGGTTGGGACAGAAGACTAACTTTTGCCAAAAATATATAGGCTGACAGGCGAGCTGTGGTTGTTTCATTTAAATCTGGCAAACTGGACACTGCTTCAACAACACTAGTTGGCGCTAGTGTGCTAACTTGGACCATTACGCACTAATATCAAACCCACTGCTAAAAATCTGGGTATCACTTTTGACCAGTATATGACCTTTGACCTTCATGTTACAAAACTTGTCCAGTCCTGTTTCCTGCAGCTACAAAATATAGCAAAAATCTAAAGTTTCCTGTCCTCCAGTGATCTTGAACAATTAATTAATTAAAATCTTTGCAGTTTTAGCCCCAACATTGTGGAATAGTCTTCCCCAATCACTCAGATTCACTCAATCTGTGGACTGTTTTAATCCTCTACAGACCTTTTTATAGATTTATCCTTCCCTCTTGTTTTATCTTCCTTATCTTTGTATTTATATGCTCCATGTTTGTTTGATTGGGTTTGGTGATACCCTTATGTTTATTTGTTGTTTGTAAAGCACTTTGGATCTCTGTGTCAAAAAGGTGCTATATAAATAAAGCTTTACTTCCTTACTTACTTACCAGTCTGAGGACAACCGGCGTCTGTCAGCTCTCACTTTGATGGTTCACGGTGAAGTGGTACACAGAAATACCTCAAACTAAATCAACGGGGAGTCTTAACATATTTTAGCAGAAATAAAGTTAATAATATTACTGTTAAGTTGCTGAGAAGGGTGAGGCTTCTCATTCCAAAGCAAAAAAATAATTGTTTGGATTCTTTTTATGTTGAGCACATAATGTATTTAACAACCAGCAGTTTTAGACACATTTCATTCCCAAACAAAATATGGCTTTGCTCATGTTTAATTTAATTTGAGGGAATTGTTTAAGCTGTTTTTATGTCAGCTAGTGCTATCATAGGCCCCACATTAGTTCTTGAAACCGGCCCCCAGAAGCTAAAGGCTGCCCCTGAAAGAGCTTCTTGAACAACCAACACTGTAAATCCAGTCTGTTCATACACTGAAAGTAAATTACACAACTCAATGAATCTACATTTAAATCAAACATTTCTATTGCTTCATTGTTAGACCACAAAGGTCCTTAAAGGACAAAATCTGGAGCTGAAACTAAATGCTAGAAGTTAACAAAAACAAGAACTCACATTTCAGCTAATTATATTGAGTAAAAGTTTAACATTCAATTAGAGGTGGCCAAATAATATCGTCATTGTTGTTTTGACGATGTGCAAATTTCCATTATCGAGTATTTAAATTACTTTGTCAAAAACATTTAAATGCACGTGGAAACTCCTCCCATCCATTAATACACGGTGCAGCAACACTCTCTACAGCATGGCAGGATTCAGTCACATGACTAGTGGGCCTACGTGATCACATGACCTCTCACTAGCATCCTCCTTGCAACAGTTTAGCAGCGCGTTGTGATGGTAGAGAGAAAATGCAAACACCTCCAGTCCCTGAAGCTCCCGGTACTTCAGATGATTCAGTGCCGATACAAATCCTATGAGCTCCAGCGTTCAGAGCGCTAATCGGTCCGTGTATGTTTTGGTCATTGGATTTTCCTTTCAGAAACGGGGATTAAAAACAGAAAACGAGTGGTTATTTGATTTTCGTTTTAAAATACAAAAATTAAAATTGAAATACAAGGCGTTTTTCTTTTTCATGGTCAGAAAGGGATGAGTGAAATTTAAAAAATGATTCGATTTTCATTTTCTATTTCATATAACAAAAAAATAAAATCACTAGAAAACAGAAACGGAAAAAAGGCCTGTTGTTTCATATTCTGAGACCGGATGTTGTCATTTACAGGACGGTGCTGTGTAGAAGAAACAGTAGACTAGTAGACTGCGGTCAATCCAGCCGTGAGTCCGATCTCCGTGGTCAAATCAGCCGCACTTAAATTTAGAGTGTACAAGTATTCTCAGCATTATGGTAAATGCGGAGAAACAGCGTATTTACTTCCGGTTTTCAAAATAAAGGTATTTAGAACAGTAAGCTATAATTAAAATATGTTACATTAAAGTGTTTCATGCGCCCATAATGAATAAAAAACACTTTATATCAAGTATCTTTACTGCACCAGTGTGGAGAAATGCCAAAATAAAAGCCTCATATTTATGCCTCCAGAGAGCATATTTGACCATATTTGAGGTACTGTAAAAACATATTGCTCAGTGTTTCCTGGCTACTGACTTTTACACATATGAGACTACAAGCATACTTAATATCAAGCATTTTTACTCCACCAATTTGGAGAAATTCAACAATAAAAGTCCATATTTGTACCTCCAAGTGGTATTTTCATATATTTGAGCTACTGTAAAAACATATTGCTCAATAATTCCTGGCTATGGATGGTATATTTGACTTCTGCACATCTAAGACTACAAGTATACTTAATATCAAGCATTTTTACTGCACCAATGTGGAGAAATTTAAGAATAAAAGTCCCATATTTATGCCTCCAGATTCCATATTTTCTTATATTTGAGCTACTGTAAAAACATATTGCTCAATATTTCCAGGCTATGGGTGAAGCATTTTCATTATACTTCAATAATGATGCAGTAATCATGACAAAATTTCACACAAATGTTTAATAACATTTTATAAAAAAATTATAATATAAAGACTAAACACTAAACACAAAATCCTACACAATTCTAACTTGTTTACTTTTACAAAAATTTATGAACTTTTCCAGAGTCCATTATATTATATTATGAACAGTTTTAAATAGATAATTCGTCTAGATGATGTGGTATGATAGTGGTTAGACACAGAAGGGCTTTAACAATGAAAGGTTGGAAGTTTTAGTCTTATTATAATTAATATTATAATCTGCAGAAGAAGCACCCGGTCCACGTTGTCAACGTATAAATCACAGCAATAAATACTTCACATAACATTGAAAATAAAATGCACTGATGAGAAGTAGACAGGATCGGGTGAATAAGATTTTATTTCTGCAAAGGGAAAGCATCTCTTCAAATAAAAAATTACCTGCAACTATTTTGATAATCAACTTATAGCTTCAGTCATTAAAACAAAAATGATTATTTTGACATTAATCTGAATCTGTTTGGGTTTTGGATCTTTGGGACATTTCACAATAATAGTTGGCAGATAATTCAATAAGGTTAAAACTCTTCAGCTTAACTTCCTGCCACTGCTGTCAAGAACAACATCAATCATTTCTTCAGTGTGTGAAGTGCGTTTCAGATTTCTCTTTTGTTTCTCTCCATTATGGGGCTGAAGACAACTACCACCATTGGGAAAAACAGCGGGTGCGCCTGTGGAGTGAGGCAACATGCACAACCAGGCGATCAAATATAATGAACATGATAAAGGTGTTGAAGCAGAGGTCAAGCTCTTGATGAGTAAAGTGCAGCTCCATTTCAAAGAGGAGGATGGCTGAGGTTATTTTAACCCCACTACAGGTAGCTTGCTAACCTATTTACTGGCATAGTAAACAGCATTAAAACAGAAAGGAAGTTTTAAAGTAGTGAGGCCTGCTAGAGATCGCTAGAAAAACGTGACATATGGTTCAAGAAATGAGTGCACACATACCACAGGAAGACCGTGGTTTCTCTTAGCGCTGTGTATTGGCAAGAATCTGACAATACGTATCCATGATTCAATGTGTTGTGATGTATTGCAATTACATTTTTAAAAAATAAAATTTTAGGAAAACTGTCATAGTATAAAGAACACACCTTCATATGCAGGAAATCTGAGTGAAAAACTTTACTTTTTTAATACCAGAACAGTGAGATGTAACATCACAGCCTCAGTGTACAGTTACAGAAGTTTAGAGATTTGGTACAATATCACAAAATAAAATATTCCAATGTTTTCTTACAGCCTTAGTTTTTCTAGTGACACATCTCGGTGTGATGGCCCACTATGGCGTTTCATTTGAGGCCTCACCGACACACTGATGGTATTTAAGCTCTGTATACCAAGCAAAGCCTTTGTCGCAGGCATTGCAGGTGTATTGCTTTTCCACAGTGTGGATGACCATGTGAGATTGCATACTTGCCTTATGTGCATATTTTTTACCACAAACTGGGCAACCGAATGGTTTCTCTCCTGTGTGAGTTCTCATATGTATCTTCAGATGGGACTTGTAAAGACATTCTAGACCACAGACTGAACAAAAGAACGTGGCTCTCTTTCCTGCATGAAACTTCATGTGGATCTTCAAATGGTGAACGTGGCGAAATCTTCTACCACACTCAGAGCAGCCATGTGGTTTCCTGCTACTTTCCTGCGGTTTCCTGTCGTCTTTCCAAAAGTCACTGTCAGTACTGTTATCACTCTCAGGTTCAAGAGACTCTGAAGCTTTATCATCCGAACAGCTCAACACTTGATTGCCAGGATCGCATCCTGTAACACTTTCAGAGATTTCATCATTATTCAGAGAGTTTAAACCTGACGGACGTTCTCGGGTCTCCTTCCAAAAGTCACTGTCAACACTGTTGTCAGTGTCTCCATCAGCTTCTGTTTCCATCTGTTCAGTTTGTCTTTGATGAAGCTGTGAGGATGGAGGTTTCTCTTCATCATCATCATCATCTTCACTCTTCACAGGGACAGGAGTGAATGTGAACCCTTGAAGCTGCTCTCCCTCCTGACTGATCCCGACTTCCTCCTGTTCCTCTTTAATGTGTGGGGGCTCTGGGTCCTCCTGCTTTACCCCCCTGTGGACCGCCATATGTTCACTCAGACTTCCTCTTTCTGTAAAGTTTTCCTCACATATTAAGCAACTGAATGATTTCTCTCCTGTATGATTTCTTAAGCGGATCTTCAGAAGGGGATTGTTGTACAAAGTTTCACCGGACTTAGCAGTATTACATGTTGTATCATTGTGAGAGACTTCTCCACCCTCCTTCCAATCATCATCACTGACTTCAGTCTCAGATTCATAAGAGTCTTTGTCATAAGTATCAGGTGTTAAATGTGTATCTGGATCTGATGTCTGGGCTGGTTCTAGTCCTCCACAGTCCTCTCCATCATCTGTGTCCATCTGTCCACGTGAGCTGCCGGCTAGAGGCTCTGACTCTCTGTTTATCTCACACGACTGACGACCAGCACACTGATGGTAATTGAGCTGATAAATGTGAGCGAATCCTCTGTCACAAACACTACAGCTGTAGATTTTCTGCTTTGCGTGAACCTCCATATGTTTTGTCAGATATCTTCTCCAAGCGAATTCTTTACCACAAATTGAGCAACTAAACTGTGTTTGTCTCGTATGGATTCTCATGTGTTTAATTAAAGACTCACTGTCAATAAAACCTGTGTTACAAACTGAACAGTGCAAAGGCTTTTCCCCTGTGTGACACGTCATGTGAAAACTTAAATTTTCACGCTTTGCAAATGTTTTACCACAAACTGAGCAACTAAATTGTTTCTCTCCTGCATGACTTCTCATGTGTACCTGCAGATGGTGCTTACGACCAAATTCTTTACCACACTGAGAGCAGCTGAATGACTTGTTGGCAGTCATTTGTTCCACAGTTTGGCTTTGATGAACACATTCATGGCTTATGAGCTCTGACTCCAAAGTGAATGCTTTCTCACAAACAATGCAACTGAGTATTTTCTCTCCTATGTGGACAGATATGTGTCTTGTCAGGTGTCCTCCTGTCACAAATTCTTTCTCACAAAATAAGCAACTGAATTTTTTCTCTCCCGTATGACATTTCTTGTGTCTTTGCAGTGTGTGACCGTCTTCAGATCTTCTATCACAAGTGAAGGAGCTGAATGGTTTCTTGTCAGTGTTAAATGATGGATCACTTATAGAGACTCCCTCATTTTTCAGATGGTTTGGACCTGTCTGAAGTTGCCTGATCTGTCTGCAAAAATCTATGTTAATACGGTCATTTGTCTTTAGTTCCACTTTAGCCATGTCATCAGAACAGCTAAATGGTTTCTTGCCGGGGTTACATCCATCATTTACAGGTTTTTTTTTATTTCTCCGATAAGTGAAACCTGACTGATGTTTCCTGGTCTCTTTCCAAAACTCCATGTCAACACTGTCATCAGTTTCAAAAGACAACTTGATCTCTTTCTCAGCACCTGGTGATAAATGTCTATCTGGATTCAAGTTCCTGACACGTTCGGATGCTCCACAGTCCTTTCCATTAAAGCCAGTTTGTCTTTGCCACGAAGACTTACCAAGACACTTGTGTTTTTTGATCTGAAACTGCCAAAAGAATCGTCTCCCACAGTCACTGCAGCTGAATGGTTTCACCCCTGAGTGGACTGCCATGTGCTGTGTCATAATTCCTCTTTGTGAAAATCTTTTACCACAAACAGAGCAACTGTATGGTTTCTCTCCTGTGTGGGTTCTCATGTGTATCTCTAAATGGGAACTAAAGTGCCGTTTTTTACCACAAATTGTGCAAGTAAACAGTTTCTTGCCTTTATGCATTCTAATGTGGGTCATCAGAACATAATTGTTAGGAAATGTTGCATTACATTCAGAGCAGCTCAGTGGTTTCTTGCGTTTGCCACGTTGGCTTCTGTGAGGCTGCGCTGACTCACCAACGCACCTATGGATTTTAAGCTGTGAAGTCCCCCTGAATCTTTTGCCGCAGACTTTGCAGCTGAATGGTTTCACCCCTGTGTGGGTCGCCATGTGGTACGTTAGAGCTCCTTTGTGTCTATATGTTTTACCACAAATTGAGCAGCTAAATGGTCTCTCTCCTGTGTGAGTTTTCAAGTGGTAGTCAAGACCGGATTTTTGAGTAAACCTTTTACTACACAAAGAGCAACTGAATGGTTTCTCTCCTGTGTGAGTTCTCATGTGTATATTCAGATTTCCCCGATGTTTAAATGCTTTACCACACACAGAGCAGTGAAAAGATTTTCTGTCAGGGTCCTTCCAGTCTTTATCACAGTCATCAGTCTCAGGTTCAGGTTCAGAAAAGTCTGAAGCCTTGTTAACAGTATCAGGTGTTAAATGTGTATCTGGATCTGAGTTCCTGCCTGGTTCTGGTTCTGGTCCTCCACAGTCCTCTCCATCATCTGTTTCCATCTGTTTAGTTTGTCTTTGATGAAGCTGTGAGGACTGAGGTTTCTCTTCATCATCATCATCATCATCTTCACTCTTCACAGGGACAGCAGCGAATGTGAACCCTTGAAGCTGCTCTCCCTCCTGACTGGTCCTGACTTCCTCCTGTTCCTCTTTAATGTGTGGGGGCTCTGGGTCCTCCTGGTCCAGACTGGGTCTCCACTCCTGCTGCTGCTCAGGGGGAACCTCTTCTTTAATCACCGACAGCTGCTGGACGTCTGCAGGACACAGTAAACACAAAGACAGACATTACGGAAAACCACAAGTTCGCTTAATAACAAGCCTGAACTGATGATATTAAATGTTTATGTGATTGTTTTTTCGAGTAATAATTTGCTGGATTAGCCATTAACAACACAGATTTAAATGATCAACTATTCAATTAAATTCAGTTTTATTTGTATAGCACCAATTCATAACAGAAGTTATCTCAGGACACTTTTCAAATAGAGCAGGCCTAGACTGAACTCCTTATAACATTTACAGAGACCCAGCAGTACCACCATGAGCAAGACCTTGGCTACGGCTAAGGAAAAACTGCGTTTTAAGAGGTAGAAACCTCGGACAGACCGAGGTTTGGAAACTATTTTTCCAGATGGCAGAATATCTAACAGGTGTTTTGCTGCCTTGTTTTACACTAAACTGCAGCCTGTTCGCACAGTGTGGGGGCTCTGGAAGTATCTTAAAAGTTTAATTTCATTTCACAGTAATATTTGGGAAGCACAGAATTTCAGAATCTTCATATTTTCAAACTTTAACATTTCCACTATTTCTTCCACTCAGTAGCTTAACTTGAAAGTAGTCAGGTTTCTACTGAAGAAACTTATTGTGTTCAATCTCACAGTCTGCTCTCCATTAGATTCCTCAACATTACTTCCTTGTTTTCTAGATATATAAATCATGCGTACACACGAAAAGTGCGTTTACATCACGCAGCTTTCCAAACATATAAAAACCCATGCACGGTGAGAATGTGAATAATTAAGTAATTAAGTGAATAACTTCACTGAAACTAATCCTGGCTGATCAATACGATATATGATGGATAACAGTAACTACAAACTGGCTCCTCTTCCTCCGTCGGTCCGACCCGCTCTGGTTCTGTGGCTCATTTGGGGCCCGCTCCACGGCAGTATTCCCTGCTGGGTCTCCCACTCAGAAACCATGGTGCCAGGTTCAACCGTTCTGAATCTTTTTTTTTAAAGTAATTTTTTGGGCCTTCTATTGGCTTTATTTGATAGTAACAGCTGTAGATAGACACGAAGGCTGGGAAGAGAGAAAGGGGATGACACGCAGCAAAGGGCCGCAGGTCGGACCCGAACCCTGGCCGCCGCAGCAACTCCACACATGGGCCGCCAGCTCCACCAACCGAGCTAACCAGGCGCCCGACCCTTCTGAATCTTACCCTCTGATGGGTTTTTGCATTACAGCAACAGCAGCTGAGACTCGTGGGTATCGGAACCATTGGACTCACCCAACTGAACCGAACTGATTTCTCAGAAACAATGCTGATCTGACTCAAACTGACGGAACAGAAACCCCCCTTGTGGCTGCAGTACCGTTAAATATTCTCTGTCAGTCTAATATTACGTCTTTGGATTAGTGTTACTGCTGTGGCTAACAGGTACTGAGTACAGATGGTGTAGCTAACATTAGCTTAGCATCAGCTCCCCATAACATAAGCGGAGCAAAAAACAGAAGAAAGAAAACAAACCGGCTCTTCGCAGCTTTATTTCAGGCTTTAAAACCACATCCAGCAGTTTTCGTTGGCGGTCAATCTCCTTCTCGTATCGGGATATTGTTGTCTCGAAATCTCCAATCAGATCTTCTCGAGCCGCAGTTAGCAGCCGCCGTTTGAATACATCTGTAAGGTTCTGAAACTGACTGGGGCTCCACTTCAGCTCCTCAGGGGGAACCTCCTGTTTACTGACCGACAGCCGCTGGACATCTGCAGGACACAGAAATACAAACAAACATTGTGGAACGTGATGAGTTTAATGTTAAAGTGATATTTTACAGCTTTTCACTTTCTATAAAATGTACTGTAGCACGATATACAAACACAAAATTATGTCTATATTCATATTTAATTATATCTGCTAGGACATTCAAGAGGAGACCACATTTAATTATAGTAACATCTGGTGATAGAGGGGTAACCGTTGAGACCCACGTCTTGAACTAGTCTGAACATTCTTTTGTCCTGGAAACACTTAAAATATATAAAATATAACTTTATAATCCGTATTGCTCTGCCTGCTACCGCTGTCTCCAAGGTCTTGCTCATGGTGGTACTGTTGGGTCTCTGTTCGGTCTAGACCTGCTCTATTTGAAAAGTGTCCTGAGATAACTTCTGTTATGTATTGGTGCTATACAAATAAAACTAAACTGAACTAACTGTCGCTACGTCCCTCCACCGGATCTCCACATGTACCCGTCTATAAGACCTGTGTGTAAACAGTGAAACAATAATTATGATGAAGTAGATCTTTTATAATGACACAGAGGATTGTGGGTCAGCTCGCAGCACAATGCATGCTGGTTAGATTTGTGTCCGACTCGCTCTCATGTCTCTCTCTCACACACTCACACTCACACACACACACACACAGGCTGTGTATTATTGTTATTATTATTAGTAGTAGTATTATTAGTAGTATTGTTATTATTAGTATTATTATTATCAGTATTGTTAGTATTGTTATTATTAGTATTGTTATTATTAGTATTATTGTTATTATTATAATTAGTAGTAGTATTGTTAGTATTGTTATTATTAGTATTGTTATTGTTATTATTATTATTATTATTATTAGTATTGTTATTATTATTATTGTTATTATTAGTATTATTATTGTTATTATTATTATTGTTATTATTATTATTAGTATTATTAGTATTATTATTATTATTATTAGTATTGTTATTGTTATTAGTAGTAGTAGTATTATTATTAGTATTGTTATTATTATTATTATTATTATTATTAGTATTGTTATTATTATTAGTATTGTTATTATTATTATTATTATTGTTATTGTTATTAGTATTAGTATTATTATTATTATTAGTAGTAGTATTGTTATTGTTATTGTTATTAGTAGTATTAGTATTATTAGTATTGTTATTATTATTATTATTATTAGTATTGTTATTATTATTATTATTATTATTATTATTATTATTATTAGTATTGTTATTATTATTATTATTGTTATTGTTAGTATTATTATTATTATTAGTAGTAGTAGTATTGTTATTGTTATTGTTATTGTTATTAGTAGTATTAGTATTATTATTATTATTATTATTATTATTAGTAGTAGTATTATTATTATTAGTAGTAGTAGTATTATTATTATTATTGTTATTGTTATTAGTATTATTATTATTAGTAGTAGTAGTATTGTTATTGTTATTGTTATTGTTATTAGTAGTATTATTAGTATTAAACTGGCTGTAATAGATTAAGCTGCATTAAATAGAAAAACTGTACAGTAAAGTACAAATACTCAGTAACACTCAAACCCTGTTCAAACAGCCTCATACACACAGCAACAACAACAACAACAACAACAACAACAACAGTCTAAAGAATGGAGTGTTTAGCAGGAGCTAGCTAGCTGGGGCTAACAGGCTTAATGTGTATCGTTTAGCTAACGTTAGCTTAGCATCAGTCCCGTGCTGAATGAACAGTAAACAGAGAACCGACCTCCGGGGTTGAACAGCACAGCGAGCAGCTTCTGCTGCCGATCGATCTCCTGATCGTATCCGGATATTGTCGCGTCAAAGAGAGTGATCAGATCGTCTCGAGCCGCACTGCGCAGCCGCTGTTTGAATCGATCTGTGAGATCCTCAAATCCGGACATTTTCCCCCGCGAAGACTCAAAGAGGACAAACAACACAGAGCTACACACCGCTAGCACGGCCGCATCATGCTAGCTAACGCCGCCGGAAACAGCCGGAAACAAAAACTAGCCTTCAGAATAAAACACTGATAATTGATTTAAGAAAATAAGACACACTGGCTTAATGATGCCTTTATTTTGAAATGTGACTCAACATATTTTATAAGATTCTAGTTTTGATAAATTCAGTGTTTTGTTTTTTTTTGTCCCTGGCCATTGTTATATGAGACAATTTACTTTAATAATACTTTTATTCACACTTAGTCAAATACTGAGATGTGTATATATTTAAGATTTCTTACACGCCTCAAAATCAAGAAAGCCTTGTGACCCCCTGTTAAACTCTGGTGACCCCCAGTTGGGTGTTACATACAACAATAGGTTCTGTCTCATAAATGTTATTTAAGTCCATACAAATAGATTTTTGTATATAAAAACTATACAAAAATCAAACCGATACAATAAACACAAACACGTATTAGGGCCACATAAGTTAAAATAGTTATTTATTTGTAATTTGTATTTATTCATTTCATGAATAAAGTCAAAATGTTGAAAATAAACTTGACATCTCTTTTGCAATTTTTGCAGGGATATACAACAGACCGGGAGACTAATGAGGATATTCAGCAGCACATTAACGTTGTACATGATGTTAATTATCTAATCCTCAAAACAACACGGAACAAATCAAAAAGCTCCTCCAGAGTCCATGTGTTATTTTGTAATATCAGGAAACTTACTGATAAGTTCTAAATGTACTTGAGAAAAAGACCTTCCTCGGACAGACAGTGTGTCCCAGTGTGCATGTGATCAGTCTTCCTGCCAGTAAAGTGCTGAAGGCGATTACATCATTTTGGGATACAGAGAAATTAATACACACGTATATGTGTGTGACCTCCGGCTAGTTTTATTTTGAAATCAAGAAATTCTCATGTACCGGAAATGATTGTCCGGGTTCAGAGTGGAACAAGATGGCGTCCAGTAACAACGTGTCCCGTTGTCGTGCTGAGAAAGTGTGTGTGACATCCACAGTAATGAGCCATCCGAGCCTCCGTATGTCCGGATAAAGCTGTCTGAATGGACTTTGTGCTGTTCACCGTTTTTCGGAATGTTTTCCCGCTGACTCATCTCCCGGTAGCCTACAAAGCTACAGAAGTTAGCTTAGCATGCTAGCTGTAAACAGAGCGGAGCTTAGCAACACAGCGCTAGTCAGAGTGACTGTTTGATGGAGAGCAAACAGTGTTTTTGACGGAGTTTGTGTGATTGTGTGAAAATGTGTAAAGTCCAAATGCTGAGAGCGTTGGTGAAGCAGCGACTAACTGCGGCTGCTGAAGAGATATTTGGGCTGTTTGAAAGAACGATAGCAGAGTACGAGGAGGAACTTTGTCGTTCAAAAGAGGAGAACGAGCGACAACGGAAACTACTGGACGCTGTTTTCAACCCTCAACTTCGGTTACACAGAGCAGGTTGGTTCACTGTACTGCTTCTTCTCTCACTGTTCACACTCTGAGCTGGAAGTAGTATTCACAGCCTTTACTGCAGTAACAGGATGATCAGCACAATGGACTCAAAGGAAAAGTAGTGATAGTGCAGGAACAGGTTGGTTCCCTGTACTGCTTCTTCTCTCACTGTTCTCCAACTCTCCCTTGCTGTGGCAGCAGACCGCACTGTTAGAAGTTAAAGAATCTTCTGCCTTCTTCAGAAGAATCTCTGATCCTTTTAATCATTGCGTACTTTCCAGAAAGTGTTCTGCTGATAATCCTCGTGAGACCTTGTCAACAGATTTCAACTTAGTACCTGTCCATCTTGCTTAGTCCCACCGGCACTACACTACACTACACATACACACAGCACAGTGGAGTGGAGAGACTGACGGAGGGGGTTGACAGCAGCTTTTTGGCATCTTAACATGTTGTTCATCCTCTGTCATTAACGGCAGAGAAGCTTTCTCGTCTCGCAGGTTCTTATCGATCCTGGTGGAGCCTCCTGCCATGGTCCTGCTAGATTGCCATTGCCAATACTGTTGTTGCTGTGCCTCTGTCTGTCTGTCTCTGTCTCTCTCTCTCTCTCTCTCTCTCTCTCTCTCTCTCTCTCTCTCTCACCCCAACTGGTCGAGACAGACGACCACCCACCTAGAGCCGAAGGATCTGTCCTAGGTTTCTGCCTTTTAACAGGCAGTTTTTCCTTGCCCTTGTCTCCAAGTGCTTGCTCATGGTGGTACTGTTGGGTTTCTGTAAATAATGTTTTAAAGAGTTCGGTCTAGACCTGCTCTATTTGAAAAGTGTCCTGAGATAACTTCTGTTATGAATTGGCGCTATACAAATAAAATTGAATTGAATTGAATTGAACTTTAAAGGACTGTGGTACATATCCTGATAATAAAGAAAGATTAATCATATCCAGTAAAGAAGTGCCAATTAAGGGAACGACTTCTTTAAGCAGCCTAGTTGGGATCGGGTCTAACAGACAGGTTGATGGCTTCGATGAAGAAATGATTGAAGTTAACTGATGAAGATCGATAGCAGAAAAACAGTCTAAATATATATCTAAGTTTACATTGACAGAAGTCCCTGAACTTGGAGAGCCACTGATAACTGTTGATGGCAGTTGGTGATTAATTTTTTCTCTAATAGTAATAATTTTATTATAGAAGAAGCTCATGAAGTCATTGCTACTTAAGTTTATGGGGATATGTGGCTCGATAGAGCTGTGACTCTCTGTCAGCCTGGCTACAGTGCTGAAGAGGAACCTAGGGTTGTTCTTATTTTCTTCTATTAGTGCTGAGTAATAGGCTCCTCTGGCGTTACGGGGGGCCTTTCTATAAATTTTAAGATTATCTTGCCAAATTGAGCAATATTCTGATAATTTGGAAGAGCGCCATTTCCTTTCAGATTTCCTAGCTATTTGCTTTAACTGGCGGGTTTGGTGGTTATACCAAGGTGCTAGTCTCCTATGTTTTAATAATTTCCTTTTTATAGGAGCGATAGAGTCTAATGTTGATCGTAGTGAGCCTGCAGCACTATCGACAAGATTATCAATTTCAGAGGGACTAAAGTTATTATAGGACTCTGTTAAATTCAGACATGGCATTGAATTAAACACTGAAGGAATCTCCTCCTTAAATTAAGCTACAGCACTGTCAGATAGACATCTGCTGTAGGAAGTTTTACCTAATGGCTTATAATCTAATAGTATGAATTCAAAAGTTATTAAATAATGGTCAGATAGGAAAGGATTATGTGGGAAGACTATTAAATGTTCAATATCAATGCCATATGATAGAACAAGGTCAAGAGTGTGATTAAAACAATGAGTTGGTTTATTTACACTCTGACAGAAGCCAATTGAGTCTATTAATGATATAAATGCGTTACTAAGGCTGTCATTGTTAACATCCACATGAATATTAAAATCACCTACAATAATTACTTTATCTGATTTAAGGACTAAACTTGATAAAAACTCTGAGAATTCAGATATAAAATCAGAGTACGGTCCTAAGAGCGTGTGTGACACTCGTCCAACACTCGTTGGACTAACCAGGTCTCAGTTTAAGACAAAGTAAATTAAATAATAATCTGATATTAGATTCATTCACCAAAACAACTTTTGAAGACAGAGACCTGATATTTCCCAACAGTCCCCATTTCATACTCTTATTTTTTGCAACTGCGGAGTTCATTTTAATTTTTATTAGATTTTTATGTTTAACTTTTTATTTCTTTAAATAATTTAGTGGGGGGGGGGAGTCCGACATAGTTTTAGCAAAATTACACACCGACTCCACATCAATTTTAGGGACCTCCGATTGGTGTAATCGGGTGTCATTAATGCCGATGTGGAAAACAGTCTTACTATATTAATGTTTATCTTTAGCCAGCAGTTTTAAATAGGATTCAATGTCGCCCGCTCTTGCCCCAGGGATACATTTAACTATGGCCGCTGGCTTCACTAACTTCACGTTTCTGACTATGGAGCTGCCAATAACCAGAGTTGGTTCCTCAGCGGGTGTGTCGCTGAGTGGGGAAAATGTATTAGAAACATGAATGGGTTGGTGGTGAACTGTGGGCTTCGGCGTTTTAGTCTTCCTTCGCTCAGTCACCCAGCTTCCCTGACTTCCTGGCTGCTCGTGAACTACCGGGGGAGAGCTAGCAGAAGCCACCTTTGGTCAGACCGCACCGGCTACTGGGGGCTGGCTAACTATAGCGGCTAAAGATAACTCTGTGGTGCGGTACCGTTCCTCTAACTCACTAAGCCTCGCCTCCAGCGCAGTAAATAAACTACACTTAATACAGGTACCATTATCATTAAAGGAGGCAGAGGAATAACTGAACATCTGGCACACTGAGCAGAGGGAGAGGAAGAAGCCATAGCTAACTGCTAATGAAGCTAGCGTGTATGAAAAACTTTTGAAAATAGCGAAAAGTCACTTAAAGGAGTAACTCTGAGTGTTTAGATAGAACGAGTCTACGTTTAATCGTTAAGCTGGCAAATAACCACTGTAACGAGTAAAACAAATTTATATTTAGCGTTCACTGGACAGAGCTACAGCACCAACCAGTGTACATAGAGCAGGAAGTAAACCGGAAATGAGTCAGTACGCTTACCGTATATTAGGCCACCAGAGAAAGCAAAGGAAATTTACGTTTTTGAGACACCTTCGTTATTTTATGTTTTTGTTACTCTATAAAGAGCCTTTTCTATCTACAGACAAAGCGTTGCCTTTCATGGGGTCTGCAAAGTTAAATCCCCATGTTTCTGCCAGTCCAGGAAATAACAGGGCAGCATTTCAGTCCCAAGTCTACTCTTTTCCCAATTAGTCCACTTTTAACCCTACAAAAAGCTCACAGCAAAGAGTTTCTTGTTTTCATTCAGACAACTTACGGGACTGATGATAAACGTACAGCAACAGTCACCATCTACAAAACAGGAACATCTGTCTATCTACAATGATCCCACAGTTATCCAGACTGGATTTAAAAGAAAGTGGTGGTTTTCCATAATGTCTATCATTGTGTTTACTGTGTCCTGCAGACGTCCAGCAGCTGTCGGTGATTAAAGAAGAGGTTCCCCCTGAGCAGCAGCAGGAGTGGAGACCCAGTCTGGACCAGGAGGATCCAGAGCCCCCACACATTAAAGAGGAACAGGAGGAAGTCAGGACCAGTCAGGAGGGAGATCAGCTTCAAGGGTTCACATTCACTCCTGTGAAGAGTGATGATGAAGAGAAACCTCAGTCCTCACAGCTTCATCAAAGACAAACTGAACAGATGGAAACAGATGATGGAGAGGACTGTGGAGGACCAGAACCAGCCAGAAACTCAGATTCAGATACATATATACAACCAGTTTGTAAAGACAATTCTGTAGACTCTTCTGAACCTGACAGTGATGATGATTGGAAGAAGACCAGAGAACCTCAGTCCAGTTCAAACTCTCTGAATAAAGTCCCTGTAAGTTCCAGGAACAAAGATCCAGACAGACAGAGACAACCTGATACTGATGAGGCTTGGTATTATCAGCTCAAAAACCATCAGTGTGTTGGTGAGTCCTCACAGCTTCATGAACTCTGGACCACTCAGGAGATAGAGCAGCTTCAAGGACTGAAGGAGGTTGATGTCATCAAGTTCACATTCACTCCTGTCCCTGTGCAGATTGAAGATGAAGATGAAGAGAAACCTCAGTCCTCACAGCTTCATCCAACCCAAACAGAGGACTGTGGTGGAACCGAACCAGCCGGGAACTCAATTCTAGACAGAAATTTACAGCCAGACACTAATGAGAAGACTGAAGACTGTGGTGATGATTGTGAGAAGACCAGGGAACCTCAGTCACGTTATATTAGCAATATAAAACCTTTCAGTTGTTCAGTTTGCCAGAGACCATTCAGCTGCTCACTGTGTGGTAAAAGCTACATTAATAAGAGTGCTCTGCATAGACACAAGAGAACGCACTCAGGTGAGAAACCATTCAGCTGCTCAATCTGCCATAAAAGCTTCCGTCAAAATAGTTCTCTGCGGGAACACATGAGTATTCACACAGGTGAGAAACCATTTAGCTGCTCAATGTGCGATAAAAGCTTTAATAGAAACAGTCTTCTCCAGGAACACATGAGAACTCACACAGGAGAGAAACCATTCAGCTGCTCAGTGTGTGGTAAAAGCTTCATTAGAAAGGGTAATCTGCAGGAACATGTGAGAACTCACACAGCTGAGAAGCCATTTACCTGCTCAGTGTGCGGTAAACGCTTAGGTCAAAAGCGTAGTTTGCAGTTACACATGAGAACTCACACAGGTGAGAGACCATTCAGGTGCTCAATGTGCGATAAAAGCTTCATTAAGAAGGGTAATCTGCAGGAACACATGAGTACTCACACAGATGAGAAACCATTCAGCTGCTCATTCTGTGGTAAAAGCTTTAGTGTAGAGCGTGCTATGCAGCGACACAAGAGAACCCACACAGATGAGAAACCATTTAGCTGCTCAGTCTGCAGTAAAAGCTTCATGAAAAAGAGTAATCTGCAGAGACACAAGAAAACTCACACAGGTGAGAAACCATTCAGATGCTCAGTGTGTGATACAAGCTTTAGTTTGAAACGTACGCTTCAGTTACACATGAGAACGCATACGGATGAGAAACCATTCAGCTGCACAGTCTGCGGTAAAAGCTTCTGTTTAAAAAGTACTATGCAGAGACACATGAGAACTCACACAGGTGAAAAACCTTTCAGCTGCTCGGTGTGCAGTAACAGCTTCATTCAGGAGAGTACTCTGCAGTTACACATGAGAACTCACACAAGTGAGTAACAGTAACCTGTTCAGCTGTTACAGAAAAACATGGTAGATGCATCGTGATATCAGAACAACAGAACTGGTGGGTGGCTAGGTCTGTAGCTATTGCCAAAGTGCAATATTTACTATTTTCTGTTCCACCGGCCAAGATTTTACTTGTTTAGACTGCTGAAACTGAAATGGAAAACTAATCACAGTTCAGTTTACAGTATCAATACAAACTGGATTCACAGAACTTGATGTTATCAGATGGTGAACTGAAAACACCAGATGGACCTCAGCTGGTGTGCAACATTTGAAAAGCAGATGAAGGGTTTGTTCTGAGGTCATTTTGAAATATCTTTACCTGTGTAATGAGTACTGAGTGAGTGAGTGAGTGAGAGATTCTCCTTTTTTCTGTATTTTTTGGGTTTTGGTTTTGTCATATTAATACTCACATTCCTCGAGGCACTGGCCGAGGAGGTGGAGTAGCAGCCATATACGATTTGAGTGTTTTAATGGACCCTAAACCTAAACTAAATTATAATTCATTTGAAAGCCTTGTTCTTAGTCTTTCTCACCCAAACTGGAAAACACTGCAGCCAGTTCTATTTGTTATAGTGTACCGCGCTCCTGGACCGTACTCTGATTTTATATCTGAATTCTCAGAGTTTTTATCAAGTTTAGTCCTTAAATCAGATAAAGTAATTATTGTAGGTGATTTTAATATTCATGTGGATGTTCACAATGACAGCCTTAGTAACGCATTTAAATCATTAATAGACTCAATTGGCTTCTGTCAGAGTGTAAATAAACCAACTCATTTTTTTAATCACACTCTTGACCTTGTTCTATCATATGGCATTGGTATTGAACATTTAATAGTCTTCCCACATAATCCTTTTCTATCTGACCATTATTTAATAACTTTTGAATTCATACTATTAGATTATAAGCCATTAGGCAAAACTTCCTACAGCAGATGTCTATCTGACAGTGCTGTAGCTAAATTTAAGGAGAAGATTCCTTCAGTGTTTAATTCAGTGCCATGTCTGAATTTAACAGAGTCCTATAACGACTTTAGTCCCTCTAAAATTGATAATCTTGTCGATAGTGCTACAGGCTCACTACGATCAACATTAGACTCTGTCGCTCCTATAAAAAGGAAATTATTAAAACATAGGAGACCAGCACCTTGGTATAACCACCAAACCCGCCAGTTAAAGCAAATAGGTATCCCCATGACCTGAAGTAGCAATGACTTCATGAGCTTCTTTTATAATAAAATTATCACTATTAGAGAGAAAATTAATCACCAACTGCCATCAACAGTTATCAGTGGCTCTCCAAGTTCGGGGACTTTTTCTAATGTAAACTCAGATATATATTTAGACTGTTTTTCTGCTATCGATCTTCATCAGTTAACTTCAATCATTTCTTCATCGAAGCCATCAACCTGTCTGTTAGACCCGATCCCAATTAGGCTGCTTAAAGAAGTCGTACCCTTAATTGGCACTTCTTTACTGGATATGATTAATCTTTCTTTATTATCAGGATATGTACCACAGTCCTTTAAAGTAGCTGTAATTAAACCCCTTCTTAAAAAGCCCACTCTTGACCCAGGGGTTTTAGCCAACTATAGACCAATCTCTAACCTCCCCTTCCTCTCTAAGATTCTGGAGAGAGTAGTCGCCAAAGAGTTGTGTGACTTTTTACATAACAATAGTTTATTTGAGGATTTTCAGTCAGGATTTAGAGTTCATCACAGCACAGAAACAGCTCTGGTTAAAGTTAATAATGACCTTCTGATTGCTTCAGACAATGGACTTGTCTCTGTACTTGTATTTTTAGATCTTAGTGCTGCATTTGACACCATTGACCATAATATTCTTTTACAGAGACTTGAGCATCAAATTGGCATTAAAGGAACCGCACTAAGCTGGTTTAAGTCATATTTATCAGATCGTTCTCAGTTTGTACATGTTAACGATGAATCTTCAATAAATACTACAGTTAGTCATGGAGTTCCACAAGGTTCTGTACTTGGACCAATAGTATTTACCTTATATATGCTCCCTTTAGGCAACATTATTAGGAATCACTCCATTAACTTTCACTGTAGATGATACGCAGTTATGTCTATCGATCAAGCCCGATGAAATTAATCAATTATCTAAATTACAAACATGTCTTAAGGACATAAAATCCTGGATGAGCTGCAATTTTCTGATGTTAAACTCAGAAAAAAACGAAATTCTTGTACTTGGCCCCAAAAACCTCAGAGACTCACTGTCTAAAGATATAGTTACTCTAGATGGCATTACCTTGGCCTCTAGCACCACTGTCAGGAATCTTGGAGTTATCTTTGATCAGGATTTGTCATTTAACTCCCACATAAAGCAGACCTCCAGGACTGCCTTCTTTCATTTACGTAATATTACATAAATTAGACACATCCTATCACAGACAGATGCAGAAAAACTATTCCATGCATTTGTTACTTCAAGGCTGGATTACTGCAACGCTTTATTATCAGGTTGCCCCAATAAGTCCATTAAAACGTTTGTTGCAATCTGAAATGGCACTAAATCTTACACACCGGCCACAAGAGTGCGAGCTGCATGGCTAACTGAGATAACAGAGGTGGCAGAGGTTAGTGGCATCAAATTGTGTTAATTGCAGATCGCAACTGCCTCGGAAGTTTCTAAAGGAGAAACTATGGTGGGCGTAAAGTGCGCAAAAATACAAAGGCAAAGATTCTAATTTTCAGCTTATTATACACTAATGAAAACATACCTAAAAATATTATATTACATTTCTGACAATAAACCCTCCTCAGTGTTACACAATGGACCTTTACAGACATAAAAATGCAATTTTCTGATGTTAAACTGAAGGTTCTTGTACTTCGCCCCAAACATCTCAGAAACTCATTATCTAAAGAAACAGTTATTCCAGATGTTATTACTAGTCCATGCATTTGTTACTTTAAGGCTGGATTACTGCAACTCTTTATTATCAGGTTGCCCCAGTAAGTCCATCAAGATGCTCCAATTAATTCAGAACGCTGCAGCACGAGTACTGACAGGAACTAGAGAAAAAGACTATCGGGGGATTTCCCATGGTGCACTGAGCTCCTCTCTTCCTCTCTCTCTCTGCACTCATTCATGTCCCATTAATGCATGTTACTAACTTCACTTCATCCCCGAAGTTCTTGTGCTTTCTCCTCTCGCAGGTTCTTATCGATCCTGGTGGAGCCTCCTGCCATGGTCCTGCTAGATTGCCATTGCCAATACTGTTGTTGCTGTGCACCTGTCTGTCTGTCTCTCTCTTACCCCAACTGGTCGAGACAGACGACCACCCACTTAGAGCCGAAGGATCTGTCCTAGGTTTCTGCCTTTTAACAGGCAGTTTGTCCTTGCCCTTGTCGCCAAGTGCTTGCTCATGGTGGTACTGTTGGGTCTCTGTAAATAATGTTATAAAGAGTTCGGTCTAGACCTGCTCTATTTGAAAAGTGTCCTGAGATAACTTCTGTTTTGAATTGGCGCTTTACAAATAAAATTGAATTGAATTGAATTGAATTGTATCAGAATATGTGGCTCAGCCTGTCAGATGTTGTATCAACAGTGTAACTACATGACTTTTTCTTAAAGCATTATAATGTCGGTTTTACAACCCAGAATCCAAAATAGTCTCACACAATGCAGTAATTTGCACATCATTTTCATCCTATATTCAACTGAATACAGCACAAGTCTTACACATGTTTTCTACACACATTTCCAAAAAAGGTGGAACAGGGGTGTGTTTCCTGTTACCATGGGTACATGTACAACTGCTTTTGTGTACTGCAGTGCCCCCTTCTGGTTGTTCAACAGCAGAGGAGGGGATTTCCACAGTCCAAAAAGAAACATTCTTCCAGATTTGTACATTAAACCTACAAGTTCAGACTTAAGTTAACTTGATAGAATAAATGAGTGGAAATATAATGTGATTCATACTATCGCACCTAATTGCTAATTTTTTATTCATTTCTACTTTTCTTTTTTCTTTTCTAAAATGAAAGCTTCCCATGTTCAACTGAAAAAAATTAAAACTAATGTGTAAGAAAACCTCTGGAAGAGCTAAGCTGTAGTTGGTTTTGTGCACTGTATTGTGGGAAACTGCCTGCAGTGGTTCTGATACTGTGTAAACTGATTGTGTTGGGGTGAGAGAGAGAGAGAGAGAGACATAGACAAAGGTGCACAGCAACAACTACACTAATAGTAGTGACTGATGATGATGAACATGAAGAAGATGATGACGACGAAAACAATGATGGGGGACAATGAGCAGTGATTATAGTAATAATAGTAACTGTAGTAATAATAACAATAATATCAGTGATATTAGCAATGGCAGTCAAGCAGGACCATGGCAGGAGGCTCCACCAGGATCGATAAGAACCTGCTAGACGAGAAAGCACAAGAAGTCCGGGGAAGAAGTGAAGTTAGTAACATGCATTAATGGAACATGAATGAGTGCAGAAAGAGAGAGAGAGGAAGAGAGGAGCTCAGTGCACCATGGGAAATCCCCCGATAGTCTAGGCCTATAGCAGCATAACTAAGGGATGGTTCAGGACTCACCTGATCAAGCCCTAATTATAAGAGTTGCAGTAATCCTGCCTAGCAGTAACAAATGCATGGATTAGTTTTTCTGCATCTGTCTGTGATAGGATGTGTCTAATTTCTAATATTACGTAAATGAAAGAAGGCAGACCTAGAGGTTTGCTTTATGTGGGAATTAAATGATAAATCCTGATCAAATATAACTCCCAAGATTCCTGACAGTGGTGCTAGAGGCCAAGGTAATGCCATCTAGAGTAACTATATCTTTAGACAGTGAGTCTCTGAGGTTTTTGGGGCCAAGTACAAGAATTTCCTTTAATGCCAATTTGATGCTCAAGTCTCTGTAAAAGAATATTATGGTCAATGGTGTCAAATGCAGCACTAAGATCTAATAATACAAGTACAGAGACAAGTCCATTGTTGGAAGCAGTCAGAAGGTCATTATTAACTTTAACCAGAGCTGTCTCTGTGCTGTGATGAACTCTAAATCCTGATTGAAAATCCTCAAATAAACTATTGTTATGTAGAAAGTCACACAACTGTTTGGCGACTACTTTCTCCAGAATCTTAGAGAGAAAGGGGAGGTTAGAAATTGGTCTATCAACCAGTCTTTGTGTATTGGTTATATTCTCATTAGTGTTTACCATTTGTGTTTTTTTATTGTTTTACAGAACATTGTGATACTTCATTAAATTAATATATAAGAATAGTTGTGTTTACTGGAGGACTTCACACTTTTAGCAAACTGTCTATCTTTGAATATGGACAAATTAGGCCAGTAAATGTACCTCTGTGTTACATCACCTTTTAACAGCACTCAGTAAGTGAGTTAGGGGGTTAGTTATTTTATTACACCAGATGGGAAACTTGATTTGCAGTCAGGGGCACAAACAAAAAAATAATAAGTACCGAAAACACAAAAAGGATTTCTGTACATACAATTTACAGTAAACCGTAATACAACAATAACAATGCAAAAGAAGTAAGATGCTAAAAAAAGTTTAAGCAAATTAAGCAGGGTTACTGTACAAGGAACAAAGGAGTTTTTACTCCTGTTGCACTTTGGTTCTCTGAATTTACGGCCTGTTAAGTCCAGTATGGACCTAGCCTTGTGGAGAACCTGCTGATAAGATGTTCCTTTAAAAATAGCCATCAGGACCAGAGTTAGTTGAGCAGACAGCGGAGCCAGGCTCAGCAGCCTCCCGGTGACCACAGCTGGCACCAAACAGCCTCTGAGAAAGATGGAGGCCAGCTGATTCACAGCAGCTCCCACCAGCACTCGGACTCCGGGGACGTTGAATATTCTGCAGGATCGGGGAGCGACAGCAGATCACACTGTTTATTGTGAACTGATTTTTAAGTAAAGTTATAACTTTACATCAGTGTATTGATTAGAATGTGGGTATGTGTTTTAGTGGAGAGGACTGAAAACTATCTCTGGTAACAACAGAGACAGAGGGAGAAACCTAGTCTCTAGTGACCCAGATAGAGTAAATAAACGAAAGTAGTATTTTAATAGGTTTGATTCTGCCTGGCTTTCCTAGATATCCTGATGCCACTTTTTGATTTCTCATCCCATCACTGCTGTCTGTCAGATGTTTGATGTGTTAAATCCACATGGTAACTAACAAGAAACATTATAAAACATAATCAATAATGTCAGTTTATGATTCAATGTATTTATGTATGTATATGTAAGTTTTCAATCCGTTAAGTTTAGTAAAGTTTCTTTGTTGTTGCTTCAAACGGCATTAAATGTTATCAACATTCTGCATTTCTTCTATTCTGTAGTTGCTGGTTTCTGACACTAGAGGGCAGAACGTCAACACAAATGAAACCAACAGTTTCTTCTTTTGCTCCCAAAACAGGACGTATGAACAACACGTGTACCAACAAACCTGATCACTGCAGGGTTCTGACCGTGCCACAAACTGGTGAATAAGCTTTGAGTGGCAGTATTTTATTATCTGAAGTTAATGATATTGTGCTGTAATAATAGCAGTATCTTTAATAAAGTGAAATGATGATAACCCTCATGCACAAATCATAAATCAATAGTAGCCCAAGTTCATACATAATCCACGATGCAGATGTAGAATATTATATAGAGTATTTTAACCCTTCAAAAGTTCACAAACCATGTTCAGATAGTTCACTGTAGTTCACTGTAGCCTGTATGGATATTATATTACAGTAATGTTACAGACCGGAGCTTTCAGTCATTTGTTACAAATGGACTGCTGAGTCATGTTCAGAATCATAATCAGGTTTATTGCCAGGTAGGTTTTCACATACAAGGAATTTGCCTTGGTAAGCCAGAGCATCTCAATAAAGTGGAGAATATAAAGAAAGTGAAAAGTGGAGACAATATAAATATTATTTACAGAACTGAGTGAAGAGCTGTTCAGGTTGTAGGAATGTGCAGTACAGATGCTGGAGGCATGCAGGTCTCTGTAGTCCCAGAGTCCTGTGGTCCTTGTTTCTCTGGGGACGGGGACGATGGTGGAGGTTTTCAAGCAGGCTGTCACAGGACAGGTCTTTCTCCAAATAATGACTTTGTGATTCTACGTCATTATTTTGAGAACGTTTAAAAGTTGAGACTTACATATTTTCTTCATATTGGCGGAAATGGGCTTCCGTAGATTTACGTGGAAATTCTGGAGGTTTTATTTTGACGGGCAACCGGAAGTGCTACCCGGAAGTGATGATGTTGTTGCCGTGTTTGGGGAAATGGCGTCCAGCCGTCGTCCCGTTGTCGTGCTGAGAAAGTGTGTGTGACATCCACAGTAATGAGCCATCCGAGCCTCCGTATGTCCGGATAAAGCTGTCTGAATGGACTTTGTGCTGTTCACCGTTTTTCGGAATGTTTTCCCGCTGACTCATCTCCCGGTAGCCTACAAAGCTACAGAAGTTAGCTTAGCATGCTAGCTGTAAACAGAGCGGAGCTTAGCAACACAGCGCTAGTCAGAGTGACTGTTTGATGGAGAGCAAACAGTGTTTTTGACGGAGTTTGTGTGATTGTGTGAAAATGTGTAAAGTCCAAATGCTGAGAGCGTTGGTGAAGCAGCGACTAACTGCGGCTGCTGAAGAGATATTTGGGCTGTTTGAAAGAACGATAGCAGAGTACGAGGAGGAACTTTGTCGTTCAAAAGAGGAGAACGAGCGACAACGGAAACTACTGGACGCTGTTTTCAACCCTCAACTTCGGTTACACAGAGCAGGTTGGTTCACTGTACTGCTTCTTCTCTCACTGTTCACACTCTGAGCTGGAAGTAGTATTCACAGCCTTTACTGCAGTAACAGGATGATCAGCACAATGGACTCAAAGGAAAAGTAGTGATAGTGCAGGAACAGGTTGGACTATTATATCTGATGGATCAATATTACTGCTGTGTGCTGGATCAGGTTCACCAGTGATGAATTATGGATTTAGTCCCATTTCTGGCTTTTATAATTCAGCCTCATTCATCAACATTTTATTTATATTAAACTGTGTTTTGTGTGCAGGAAACCGGTGCGACTTACAACAGTCTCACCATGTTTGGGTCTTAATGTCATTGCCAAATTGATCATATGTGACAAATAGGCCACTGCTTGTCATTTAGATGTTATTTGACTAAATTATCCTATTATCATCACAGTATTTAAAAAGCCACACTGGTTGTAGTTTTTCACATAGAAAGCTGATCAATATATCAGTCTGTTCGTGATCAATATATCAGTCTCTATGCTGTTAGTGCTGATCAATATATCAGTGTATATACTGCTAGTGATCAATATATCAGTCTATATACTGTTAGTGATCAATATATCAGTGTATATACTGTTAGTGATCAATATATCAGTCTATATACTGTGAGTGATCAATATATCAGTCTGTTAGTGATCAATATATCAGCTGTCTATATATTTAAATAATTAAACTAATATTATAAACAAGCTACCAATAGTCGACTATTGGCTTCATTCAACGACTGCTAGTGCGACTGAAGAGTTGGGAGCAGCTGTAGTCAGTTCAGAGTCCAATGTACAACAGTCTGATATAATTTATAACTTTGTCTCTTACATTTAATTTAATCTAATCCACAGTTAATCCGGCAAAGAGCTCAGTGACCAAATGAAGCAAGAGAATCATGTTGTCTTATATCACCAGCAGCATCTTACTGGTTCACCAATGTGGGTTTTTACTTGCTAATGGCCGATATCCAAACAAAGAAAAAGCATGTTTAAATAAAGGCGTATGTTTAGAGCAGGATGTGTGATACTTATAGTACAGAGCGTGAGCTTCCCAAAACTCACAAAGCAATAACATCGTTCCACCGCAGCCACACCGAGGACGCTGCCGGCAGATGTGTCTGAACACTGTTTTTATCAGCCTGCAGAGATTGGCCTGATCGATCACTAATCAATCAATAAAATAAGAGTTTGGTCTAGACCTGCTCTATTTGAAAAGTGTCCTGAGATAACTTCTGTTATGAATTGGCGCTATACAAATAAAATTGAATTGAATTGAATTAATCTACAACAATCCCACAGTTATCCAGTCTGATCGATCACTAATCTACAAAAATCCCACAGATATCCATCCAGTCTGATGGATCAATAATCTACAACAATCCCACAGTTATCCAGACTGGATTTAACAGAAAGTGGTGGTTTTCCATAATGTCTATCTCTGTGTTTACTGTGTCCTGCAGACGTCCAGCAGCTGTCAGTGATTAAAGAAGAGGTTCCCCCTGAGCAGCAGCAGGAGTGGAGACCCAGTCTGGACCAGGAGGAGCCCCCACACATTAAAGAGGAACAGGAGGAAGTCAGGACCAGTCAGGAGGGAGAGCAGCTTCAAGGGTTCACATTCACTCCTGTCCCTGTGAAGAGTGAAGATGATGATGATGATGATGATGATGATGATGATGAAGAGAAACCTCAGTCCTCACAGCTTCATGAAAGAGACTCTTCTGAACCTGACAGTGATGATGATTGGAAAGACACCAGAGAATCTCAGTCCAGTTCAAACTCTCTGAATAAAGTCCCTTTAAGTTCCAGGAACAAAGATCCAGACAGACAGAGACAACCTGATACTGATGACACTTGGTATTATCAGCTCAAAAACCATCAGTGTGTTGGTGAGTCCTCACAGTTTCATGAACTCTGGACCACTCAGGAGATAGAGCAGCTTCAACGACTGAAGGAGGCTGATGTCATCAAGTTCACATTCACTCCTGTCCCTGTGAAGAGTGAAGATGATGATGATGAAGAGAAACCTCAGTCCTCACAGCTTCATCAAAGACAAACTGAACAGATGGAAACTGATGATGGAGAGGACTGTGGAGGACCAGAACCAGCCAGAAACTCAGATCCAGATACACACTTACAACCAGTTAGTGAAGACAATTCTCTAGACTCTTCTGAACTTAAGACTGATGACAGTGATCATGATTTTAAAGAGACCAGGGAACCTCAGTCAGGTGATGTTACCAATATAAAGCCTTTGAGCTGTTTAGTTTGTGAAAAACGTTTTTCAAGGAGAAATAATTTAAATAGACACATGAAAATTCACACAGGAGAGAAACCTTTCATCTGCCCGGTGTGCAATAAAAGATGCAGTCAGTATACACATTTGCAGCAACACATGACAATCCACACAGGTGAGAAACCGCTTGGCTGCTCATTTTGCGATAAAAGCTTCAGTCGAAGGAGTGATCTGCAGAGACACATGACCGTACACACAGGAGAGAAACCATTCAGCTGTTCAACGTGCGGTAAAAGCTTCCTTCATAAGAGTGATTTGGAGAGACACATGAGAACTCATACTGGTGAAAAACCATTTAGCTGCTCAGTCTGTGGTAAAAGCTTCAGTCAAATGAGTATTCTGCAGTCACACATGAGAATGCACACAGGTGAGAAACCATTCAGCTGCTCAACGTGTGGTAAAAGCTTTATTCGTAAGAGTTATCTGCAGTTACACATGAGAACTCACACAGGTGAGAAACCATTCAGCTGTTTCGTCTGCGATAAAAGATACGTTAAAAAGAGTACTCTGCAGTTACACATGACAACTCACACAGGTGAGTAGCAGCAGGAATTGAAGTAGCTTGTTTAAATAATTTCCCCCTAGGATTATTAAAGTATTTATGATTCTGATTCAATGGTAACAGAAAAACAAGTTCGAGTGCATCATGATATCAGAACAACAGAAGCATGTGTTGGCTAGGTCTGTAAGTATTCTGAGTGACTCCACTTTCAGTCCAATATTTCCATTTCACCAGCTATTTGTAGGGATTTGATTTTCACTCTGGTCACTTAACTAGTTTACACAGCCCAGAATTAATTTATAACATTTTATTTTAGCTTTGTGAATTAGAATATGTGTCTCAGACTGTCTGTTTAATTGACAATGAAACAAAAAACAAAAATTGAAAAAACTATATCATTAAATGTGGGACGCCAAATATACAAAATGTCTGTAACACGAAGAAAAGTTGAGGCAGGAGCATCTTAACTACTGTTTTACATCACCTTTTCTTTTAATAGCATTTGTTTTGGGAAGTGAGGACACTAATTATTGATGTCAGGGGTGCAAGAGATCACAAACCTCATTGTTCTGATTGTTTAAGAGGCTCAAAGGAAGAAAATGTGGAGTTTTTCTCACTGACTCAACTGTTTCCTCTCATCATCATCTTATTAAATCCTGGTGGATGGTTTGGAGTCAGGTGGGGCAAAGACAGTCAATAGTTGTGTTTGATTGATTTGCTTTAATTTATTTATTATTTTGATAACTTTGCTTTTCTTTCGATAATCTCATGTAGTAACGACTTTGGTCCTCCCTGGTTTGTGTATATTTAACTTGTAAACATACTGCTTCTCATACCGCTGGTTGTGTTTTGTGAAGGTTTCTTTATATGTAAATAATAAGTAAGTAATTAATGAGTTTTAATTGCTTACTTGAATATATGCGACTGTAACCTGAAACCAGCTAACGGGATCGCTGGCACCACTGACCATAAACAGCTTCATATAGTTTTAATGTTGTTCACAAGTAAGTAGAATACTTCTCAACTTTGGTAAATGTAATTAATGTTTTTTTTTACTGAGGTTTTATCGTTGTGATTTTGTTATGGTTTACGTGTTACCCCGGAAGTCTGTACAACAGAGCGAGGTAACGGGGTAATTGTAGCAGTAATTTACTCTCAATGTCTAAACTGCCCCAAGCAGGTTATCTTGGTGGTAGGACCACAATGCATCTGTTCTGTTCCCATTGAATCCTTATAAAGATCAGAGAGGCTGTTTATGGTTGCAGTCATTCACAATATAGAAACACAGTATTAATATATATGGAATAAATGATATACAGAACGCTGTATTCCAGAGAAATCCAGAAGGTGGTTGGTGCTACTCACTGTACACTTATTCTAACGGTAGCATTCATACAGGGAGCCTTCAGCTTCGCTGCTGTAGTGTCCAGGTTTTAATTCAGGGCTTAAAGTTCTCAGGCAGCATGCCTGATTTCAGTTTAGTGCATTGTAGTTTGATCATATTGTGTATTTATACTGGTTATATTTATAATAAATTCCTTTAAATATACATTCTGGTTCATGAATATTGTTAACATTGTACAAATGTGAGTGATAGTGATGAATGACAGACATTGTAACTAACAGGAAACATTAGAAAACATAATCATTTGTGTCACTTTATGGGTCCATGTATCCTAAAGTTTCAGGTTGCAATCAGTAAACTTTATTTTCATAAAGGGACCTTTGTTTTGTTTCTATATTGTTGCTTCAAACGGCATTAAACATTCTGCGTTTCTACATAAAATCTGATCCATCATAGATGTTTGTATACGTTTATAACAGAGAGTTATATAAGAAACTGAAACTGTTACAGTCTGTAAATGTTAATCTGATCTTTCCTCACAGTAAGTCAACACAGACTAGTTGCTGGTTTCTGACACTAGAGGGCAGAACATCAACATCAACAAACAGTATTTGCATTTCCTGAAGAAAATGTTTGCTATTGCTACATCTGCTGTTGCCACTGTTACAGCTGTTCAACGGCCCAGTTTATGAAAGAGTCACAAAGTGTTTGTGATTCACAAGATAAAACCCAAAACTGGTGGTAATTAAATACTGTGTTCAAGAGATGTGGTGAGGTTTTATTAATGGCCAAGAGGTGGAGCTATTGTAGGTAGAATTTTATGAATGTTACACACACATGCAATGTGAGTTTATGTACAACATGCAATAAGTAAAACACAAAGCTTCAAGTCTGGTGAAGATTGGATGAAATATGTGCCAAAAAAGGTGTGAATGGGCGTGGCCTATATCAGTAAAATTAGCATCAACCAAGGAACCCACTGTATAAAAATGTTTCTTCTACTCCTAACAATTCACAGGTTATAAGCCAAAATGTAAAAAATTAATAACAACCACATGGAGGTGTAGAGCTGCATCTACAGCACACACCTATGCCCTGTATCTGAAGCACTGACCTCTGCTATGTATGTACAGCATTGATCTCTTCCCTGTATCTACAGCATTTACCAAAATATGTATTAGGATGAATAATAAAAAGTCTCAGAGTTGTTTTAACTTCATTTCAAAGAGTCTGCTGCCTCCTGCATTTAGCCACTGCTGGTGCTATAGGAGAGCAAACTGCCACCGCTTTCCAGTTTGGCTGCCACCTCCAGCACGCTGCTGTTGGCGTTTCCTGCCTAGACCCTGGGTAGGTTTAATACACATTTTAATTGTATGTACAGTGTATTTTTTGTGTATCGTATTGTGCTCTCCTGTCCAGTTGGACTCCAGAAACCCTGATCACAATAATGAAATGAAGATTGTTTTCCAATTTTGTTACAATTTCCCCACACGGTTTCTGGTAGCCTATTGGGCGGCTTAGGCACAAATATACATTTATTACAATAATAATATCAAGGTTACTATTAGGTCATACAGGATTAAACATTATTTAAAATAGGAAAACACAATACAGGAAGGAGTGAATTTGTGATCAAGAAGAAACTTTACAACATGTTCTGGTTTACTGTCCAAAATGTGTTGCTGAGGGAAGGGAACTGATACTGAAGCTGAAAGAAATAAAGCTGAGCTTTGACTTATGAGATCTTTTACAAAGAAGTTCTGGGGAGAAGTGTGTTATCTCTATTCGCTTCAATATCTCAACTTAATAGAAATAATATAACTTTATTTGTCCTCATCTTCTGTTATTTATTAGTAGTGTTAGTGAATGTATAGTCAGATTCCCGATACACACTCCATAACAGTTGGTGGCGCTAATGCTCCATAACGTTGTTTGCCAGCCGCCATTAAACACCACGAAGAAGAAGCACCGGAAATGATTGTCCGAGTTCAGAGTGGAACAAGATGGCGTCCAGTAACAACGTGTCCCGTTGTCGTGCTGAGAAAGTGTGTGTGACATCCACAGTAATGAGCCATCCGAGCCTCCATATGTCCGGATAAAGCTGTCTGAATGGACTTTTTTCGGAATGTTTTACCGCTGACTCATCTCCCGGTAGCCTACAAAGCTACAGAAGTTAGCTTAGCATGCTAGCTGTAAACAGAGCGGACCCAGCTGGCATTTTAACGTTGAATCACTGTTGAATCAACGTCAGGTGCCAGTGTTGGATAACCGTTGAATTTTTTTTTGATTTTGCAAATCTAATCAATGTTGAAATAGCAACGTCATTCCAACATCATGTTCTCAACATAGGTGAATTTGCCAACATTGAATCAATATTGATTTGAGTTTAGATTTTGCAAATCCAATCAACATTGAAATTTCAACGTCACTATAAAGTCCTGCTTTTCAACATAGTTTGACACACTATATATTTGTTACACTGTTTTCTCTAAAGTATTGATGTGTTCAACAGTAGCTCCAGTAACACCAAACACCTTGAAATGGATACATTAACACTAAGTATGTGGACAGCACAGTCAGCTAGGAAGAAGCCAATTGTTCAAAGCAAGACCAGGAAGAAGATTAATAAAGACATTTCACTGGCGTAAACATGAAACATTTGACATGGCTGCAAGTTTGCCAACATTTCAGTCTTTTTTCAACATTAATTTAGTCAAAGTCAGCTTTATTGTCAATTTCTTCACATGTACCAGACATACAAAGGAATCGAGAGGACGTTTCTCACTCTCCCACGGTCAGATAGAGTGCACAGGCACAACAGACAAGACATTTACTAATACTAAAAGTAAACATTCACTTTCACAACAGACAAGACATTTAAAAAGATAGACAATAAAATATAAAATATACAATAATATAAAATATGCAATATACAATACTTATTGTAATGCAACAATACTTATGGTATAAATATACACATGTACACATGTCGAACTTTATAAAACGGCCCAAAAACAAAACAAACAAAACATTGGGAAACATTGAACACGGCAGTGTTACTACTTACTTCTCCCACCGCCACCCATCCTCTCTGGTGCATACTTTAAATATTTTGCCATGTATTCTTCCACTTTGGTGGTAGTGGTGTCAAACGAGCCCAAGACAACGTCTGAAGAGGGGGAAAATAAAACAGATCAGTATTAGCAAATGCTAACCTCCCAAATTAAAATATTTTGCAAATATCAACTTCTGTGGCATTGCCAATGTTTCAAGTGTATAAATGAGTATTTATCAATGTGCAAGGTCATTGATCATCATGTGCTTGTGCGACCAACAAAAAGCAGTTGGTAGTACCAGTGCTGCCGGTAGAGAATTTAGTCTAGAGCCCAGAATGGAATATTATATATAATATTAGGCATGCTCTGTAGAGTCCTCCAACTAAAATGATTTTTCTCATGAATTATTATTCTGCTTACTATATTCAATTATTTAAAACGTTGTTACAAAACTACTATGTTAAAGCAAACTCACCACAGATGATCCTGTACAGATTGGTCTTCATGAAGGCAACCTTCCCACTTCTTTCTCTGAGGCTCATTATGGCCATCATTTTATTTGTCATAGTTCTGCCATAGTAAAACAGATTTATATTAGATTATAGTGCAATTAAGTTCATTATGAAAATGTAGCAGAGAGTAAGTGGGTGTGTGGGGGGAGTGCATGACAGTATATGAGGGAACATAATCACTATAAACTAATGCAAAAAAAGGGAACATAAAGTTACTTACGCAGCCATTGATTTTTTGACATGGTCTGCAGCATCAACCCCTCCCAACCTCTTCAGATGTTTACTCTGAAAAGGAGCAACAAAAAATTAAAAATATAACCATAAAAAGTGGTCAGTAGAGTCCAGACCTCCACAAAGCAGGCACATGATGAGGACGAGGAGTTTGTAGTGGTCACCAAGGTGAACAAGCCAATTGTCATAATGAAACTTTGCCAGCACTTTACAAGATTAATTATTTAACCCTTTTGTTGTCTTCGTTTTTTTTTTTTTTTAGCACTTGTTGTCCTCCGGGGTACATTAGCTACTACTAGCATAACACACACACACACACACACACACACACACACACACACACACACCTCAGAAGCTCATGAAGCCAGAAAAGGCACCTACTGCTGTAAAGACATTACCTGGATGAAATTACCCTATAGGCCTCATGTGCCTATAAAACGTAAACACCTCTTCGTCTTGTCTGTCTCTGCTGTTGTCTCTGATCAAAATGTAAAATGTCCCATGAAGCTGTACTTATTAGATCAGTTTGAACGTTTTTGTCTTGTACCCAATCAGGGAGAGGCATAAGGATATCTCTAAAAATCTTTAGTGTTGAAATTCAGGGCATAATGCGAAAGATACAGAAAATGGCAAAGTGGGGACCTGTACACACACACACACACACACACACACACACACACACAACACCGGTTAAACTAGTCTGCCCACACACAGGGTTCTTGCACCTTTTTAAAAGTAAAATTGAATGCTTTTTAAGACCTTTTTCAGGTTTGTTTTATTACAAACGGCAGACATGTGGTTATGATATAGGATGCCTTCGTACATTAAAAATGTGAGCTTTGATATTAAAATACTGTATGCAGATAGTACTGGTTATGGGCTCTATTCAAGTAAGTCTATGGTCACTGTGGTCTTTCTATGTGTGGCCTATAAATTTAATGGTAAATTAAGCACACAATGGCGGTTCGCAGTTAAGCTAGCACACAATGGCGGTTGGCGGTTAAACTAGTCTGCTGTACACACACACGCACACACACACACACACACACAATCACACACACACACAGAACAGCGGTTGGCGGTTAAGATAGCACACAGCGGCGGTTCGTGGTTAAACTAGTCTGCCGTACACACAATATTAATTAACACAATACGTATTAATATATGAGTCAGACAAACTCAAAATTTCTTGAGGAATTTTCTAGTTATAAAATGTAATTTCAAAAACTTTGCTTACCGTTTTAGAGTTGTAGCTGTTGCCAAAGTTAGTCCGAACCGGTCCAGGTCAGAATCTGCTTAGCCTAGATGAAGACAGACCCACTTTGCGCATGCGCAAGCGGGTGTTGTCTGGAACCGTCAGAGCCAATAGAATCCAGTTCTAACCGCCTCTGTGTGATGGACAACCGCCATCCTCCAATCAAGCCCTTGTATTGAACAACGTTGCAAAATGATCAATCAGACTGGAGTTGCTCTGAAAGTACGCCGGGAGATGTAGAAAGCGTTTTTATCACGACTCAACAAATGTTTAATTCAGAGTTGATCTTTCAACGTATCATTATTCATGTATCAACACTTTTTCAACAGTTAATTGATCTGCATTGTTTGGATGTTGGAACAACGTTATTTTTCTACTGATGTATTTCAAGAAAAGTCATGGTTGTAAAAATAATGTTGATTTGACGTACAACTCAAAAACTGTTGATATTTCAATGTTGAATGCATAGTGAGTTAACAACACCACTTCAACTATTTGGTGTTCAACGTTGTTTTGAAGTTGAATTAACGTTTTTTCATAAACTGACATTATTTCAACAACATTTAAACGTTTAATGTCAGTCGAATGCCAGCTGGGGAGCTTAGCAACACAGCGCTAGACAGAGTGACTGTTTGATGGAGAGCAAACAGTGTTTTTGACGGAGTTTGTGTGATTGTGTGAAAATGTGTAAAGTCCAAATGCTGAGAGCGTTGGTGAAGCAGCGACTAACTGCGGCTGCTGAAGAGATATTTGGGCTGTTTGAAAGAACGATAGCAGAGTACGAGGAGGAACTTTGTCGTTCAAAAGAGGAGAACGAGCGACAACGGAAACTACTGGACGCTGTTTTCAACCCTCAACTTCGGTTACACAGAGCAGGTTGGTTCACTGTACTGCTTCTTCTCTCACTGTTCACACTCTGAGCTGGAAGTAGTATTCACAGCCTTTACTGCAGTAACAGGATGATCAGCACAATGGACTCAAAGGAAAAGTAGTGATAGTGCAGGAACAGGTTGGACTATTATATCTGATGGATCAATATTACTGCTGTGTGCTGGATCAGGTTCACCAGTGATGAATTATGGATTTAGTCCCATTTCTGGCTTTTATAATTCAGCCTCATTCATCAACATTTTATTTATATTAAACTGTGTTTTGTGTGCAGGAAACCGGTGCGACTTACAACAGTCTCACCATGTTTGGGTCTTAATGTCATTGCCAAATTGATCATATGTTACAAATAGGCCTCTGCTGGTCATTTAGATGTTATTTGACTAAATTATCCTATTATCATCACAGTATTGCACCACATAAAGCACCACACGAAAGAGCACAAGGATTTTTTTAGCCTGGGGGCAGAAAGACAAAAGGAACTGTCAGTAATCACTTCTGGAGCCAAAAACAAGGTAAGATGTTTACACTTATTGCACTTATATTTCAAATGTTTGACATTTTGGGAATTTAATAAATATTGACATGACAATCAATTTGAAACCCTTACAGTTCCATATTGGTTTTCAGGATGGGATTTTTCCTGTTAACAGTATTTCCTGTTTTTCTGACTTCCTTTTCTGACCTTATAATTACCTCAAGTTGCCTTTTGGGACATACATGCATACATATGTACATATCATACTTGCCTGTTGAGAGGAGTTTATTTCAGCCTCATATAAAATCAACAATAATGATAATAATAATATTAAAGCAAACAGAGCTTTGGTATCGGAATAGTATCGGTATCGGCAGATATCCAAATTCAGGTATCGGGATCGGATCAGAAGTGAAAAAATGTGGATCGGTGCATCCCTAGTTGTTTTGGTTCAGAACGCAGCGAACACGGCGTCGAGGCAGAAGCACCCTAAAGTTTGGTTATATTTCACGCGAAAAGACGACAATACGGTCACTTGCAACACTTGTAAAGTTTCTATTTCGTCAAAGGGGGGGAACTACCTCCAATACGCAGAAACATTTGGCCACACAGCATGCAATTCATTTGCATGACTGTCACGTGGATGACGTGCTGAGAGCGGGATTGCAAGCTCAATGTACACGTCCCAAACAGATAAGATCACAACAATAGCATGTCTTCATAAACCACCCTTGTTCGTCTTCATACAATATGTTGGGAAGTTGCAGTAAATATCAATACAATATGTTCTATATCCCTTTGTGTTGTGTCTCTCCTTCGTCTGTTAAGATAACTGAACATTTTGTGAGTCTCGAGGCATTGTCAGCCTTTATATCTCATTTGTAAATGCTTAATAAGCCATAGATAGTGCTCACTTTAGATGAGCTCGTGCAAAATACTTAATTAACGAGTAGTAAGTGCTTTGTAACTGTGAATTCCTGCATTAATAACTGTTTATAGGCCATCATTAGAAAATTAATTTGTTGTGAGTTCTTATAGAACATCTGCTAACACAGTTACTAATCATTAATGCATGTCTGAATAGTGGATGTGCAAGTGCATGCAGAAATGTACAGTACAATGAAGAGTAAAACATTTATAACTGTGATTATAAACCACATAGTAATGACTATTTACAGCAGAATCATGCTTTATAAATGATGAATTCAGTATTTACTAATCCATAACTAATGTGCTTATCAATGATGAATAAAACATTTTTAACAGTGTTTATAAACTACATACTAATGTGTATTCATGTGTTATAAATGATGATTTCATTATTTATTCATGCTTAACTAATGCTAAATAGTGTGTACTCATTATAAAGTGTTACCAAGAGCTCTTGCCTGGAAGATAAGGGATGTATACTGAGCATCACAGACATCCTCTTTGGTAATGTTCTGTATCTGCATATCCCCATCACACAGGTACTTGTAGCACCAAAGTTTGAGGCAGCTGGGTGGTGGTCCACCATGAGCCAGACATGCAGCCCAAATTTCACCAGCACTCCTAGAAAATTAAGAATGGATTTGGAGTAACATATTAATGTCCTGAAGACTAGGACATACTGTGTAAAGATCACAAGCCACTATCTTTAGCAAAGCATTTAGCCTATGGATCAAAATCATTGCTAAAAAAAATCGAAACAAAATCACTGTATTCAAGCATGGCATACCTGAAATTGCTTGGTCCAGATCCAACATGGAATATTTAGGACATTTTCCAGTCTGGTCACCCTCAAACAGACACTGCTCTATGCCTGCAACCATTTCTTTTAACACAAACAAACACCATTCAACTACTGTTACTTCTACTGCAACTTTGTTCATGTATTTTAACTCATATTTCAAATATATCTACCTGTGAGGAACTACCTTAATGCCCCTGTATCGACGCCTGCCTCCCCTATGAACTGTACTTTTAACTGATTGGTAGGCAATGCCTTCTTTTGTCGCTTCCACTGAGCAAGGCCCTGCTCCACCACATGGGATCTCGACACAGTGATTGTACATTCTTCCTCTTTGTTAACAGCTGCAGATATGGCCAGCAGGATGTCATCAAGACTGAGAGAGAAATCAGTGCCTGTTAGGCAGTGTGACTCTTTAAAATACATGTCTATTCCTTTACGTCAGGGTTTCAAACAGTGGTATGTAATGTGTAGTACCTGTGTGCACATTTGTGTTATACCTTTTTGTTACTTCTGTCAGGTCATAGCCTACTGGTGGTACCTTGTTTCTTTGACATGATAAGAGGAACGAGGAAGTTTGAACCACTGCCTTAGGTAATGGAGAACTTGAAGGACTGAAGTCAGCATTGCTGCAATGACAAAACACAAGGTGAAACCCATTTACCCACGTAAAATGTAAAATGCGCTTCTTTAGCACCATGATTCTGTTACCTCTCTCCACACTTGCATGCATGTACCTCCAGGTCTTTTGGAGGAAACTTTTCTGCACAAATTGGACACACTCTGTTAAACCAGTTAAATGTTTAACATGACATGGGGAGACAAAAAATGATTTTAAAGTATACACTCAAGACTTTGAAACATATCTTCATGTTTGAGGACACCAAAACCACATCTTCCTCTGTTGGCTGTCAAGAGGAATGAAAAAAGATAAAAGAAAAATAAATTCTGGCTTTAAAGACAACAATAATAGATTTGTGATGTGATGCTGATATTCATCTAGCTTGATTGTATAGATATCTGACTGCTGTTTTTTAGCTTTCAACATGGGTTTTTGCATAACTGTTCATTAGGTAACATAGCCTAGACCTATTGTAAAGCGGAGCAAACACAAATGGCAACTGATAATTTCATTAGTCAACGATGATGAAATAAAAAGAACTAGTGTAGACATGTCTCATGTTAAGATATGTCCAGGAAATCTCTGTAATTGAGTAATATGTCCCTTGAAATTTGTCCAAACACTTTTTAACTCAACCAGAATACCATTGATGCTTGAAAGGTAATTACTTCACCTTCTGATTTGAGTTTATTTTCAAGTCTTCCATATCAGGCTTGGAGTATGGAAGCGAATCGTTACCAAAATTTAAATCTAAATGCATTTGCCGAAATGCCTTTTCATTTTAAGAATGTGGCTGCATTATTTGACTCATAAATAAAATTAATAATCAATCATCCTATTTGCATTTTAATTTTCTTCTTCAAGACTGCTCATTCTTTTACTTAATTAAAATGAAAAAGAAAAAGACATTTGAGATTTAATTTTCAAAATATGCCCTAGCAAATAGATACCAAAATTCAATTTGAAATGTAAAATTAGAAAATTAAAATGCATTTGCAGAAATGCCTTTTCATTTTAAGAATGTGGCTGCATTATCTGACTCATAAATAAAATAAGTTATCAATCATCCTATTTGCATTTGCATTTTCTTCTTAACTGCACATTTTATGCCATCATCAAAAAGAAAACAAAGAGGAGATTGCTATTTCGTTTTTTGTGGTCTGCCCCGCAAAAAAGTGCCGATAATTCGAAAAGGATTTGGCAATCTGAGCGGCACAGGAGAGTGACGTCAGTAGCCGCTCAGCTCCGTGCTGACCGTGCTACCCACAAGACAGACCAGTGTCTTTTGCGCCCCTAGTGGTAGTGACCACTGGTCCGTGCCAGGTTGGAGCTGGTCGCGAGGAGCTGGTCAGGACTGTGCGGCAGGTCACGAACACACTGACCTGCATAATCGATAGTACTACTCTTACAACTACGATTAATAATAATAATTTAATCATTGTTATTATGATTTCTATTAATAATAGTGATCAATAACATTGGATAGACAAACGATTATGGCTTCTCACATTTAGGCTATTATGCTAACACAGTGAGAAACGGGAAAAGTTGTATTAAAAATAAATAAATACAAACACTCCACAGATCACTCAACTGGTCTAAACAACAGAACAGATCACATAGGAGGTGGTCAGGACCAGTCATTTTAGTGCCCTTTGTGCCAGGTCGCGACCAGTGTCTTTTTGTCTTCCTTCTAAGAGTGTTGGATCCACTCGTTATTTATTCTCGCTCTTACTTATAATTTCCGTACTTTATTTTACTTTGTTTGCGACACGTGTTGAATTTTTCCTCAAGTAATAACATGCTGTGCTAAAGAACTTTTCTAAGTACTTTTATTTTGAAAGCTCAAGACACAAACGAATTTCTTCTTTTATATTTTTGTAGTCTTATCGTCAAGTATTGTCGCCTGATTCACAGAAAGTGAATTTAGTTTAATTCTTGGACTTAGTTACGACGGAGAATTCGCCAGGCCAGCGTTTCATCCTCCAGTTATTTTCAAACAAGAAGCTGAATTAGTTTACAATCAAAGCTGAAGACCAACCACTCTAAGACATTTATCATCAGCCAGAAGGACGTTGCAGTAGTTGACTGCTCAAGAAGACGTATAAATGTTTCCAGCCGAACAAAGACATTATTCTCCAGCCACCTTGCCCCCAACGCTCACTAGCACACACGCCACGCTGGGCCTTTTGGAGAGATTGCCACTGGTACCAGGGACGAGACGCAACTTCCTTCGGCCTGTTGGATCAGTGACGCAAAGCCGCAGTTGAGCTAAAAGCCAAGGACCTGGAATCCTTCCAAGTTCCATCTACAAACAAAGTAGGCTGACTCTCCAGTACGTGGCCGGATTCACACACATGAAAGAGAGCTGGTGTCTGTCTGTAAGCTTTGATTCCCATCTTTTAAGTTAAAGAGAATTTTCGATTATGGCCTCGTAGTTCTAAAATTTAATCTCGTAATATTTTAAACTTACTGCCGCATCGCAAAATCCACCATCGCTCCTGAATCACCTAATAGTAATAATTAATTTACTGTCCACATATTCTGTTACTTGTTGTCATTTGTTTGCATTATCATTTCATGCTATTTACTCTGCATTAGTTTAGTTAATAAACATATATAACTGTATGTCCTTGTCGGTGCCGGTTTGATTTGATGCGGGAAAATCGATGAATCGTGTAAAAGAAATCACTACTTTAGAAATATCAGCTTACATATAGATTTTGAAATTTTATAAATTGATTTGAAATTGATTTAATTAGATCTGTGGAATAATTTCCTCCGGATTATTCCAGTAGCTAAACAACGGAGATGGTGCCCCATTTACGAGTGTATTATTAATCTTCAGTGATTAATTACCTTTCTAATTAAATAGTAGTGTAACCCCTACACCACCCTCTTCCTGTGAGAACAGGACCAATTCAATTCAATTTTATTTGTATAGTGCCAATTCATAACAGAAGTTATCTCAGGACACTTTTCAAATAGAGCAGGTCTGTTAAAAGGCAGAAACCTAGGACAGATCCTTCGGCTCTAGGTGGGTGGTCGTCTGTCTCGACCAATTGGGGTGAGAGAGAGAGAGAGACAGACAGACAGACAGACAGACAGACAGACAGAGAGAGAGAGAGAGAGAGAGAGAGAGAGAAACAGAGACAGAGAGAGACAGACAGGTGCACAGTGACAACAGTATTGGCAATGGCAATCTAGCAGGACCATGAGCAGAAGGCTCCACCAGGATCGATAAGAACCTGCGAGACGAGAAAGCACAAGAACTCCGGGGAAGAAGTGAAGTTAGTAACATGCATTAATGGGACATGAATGAGTGCAGAAAGAGAGAGGAAGAGAGGAGCTCAGTGCACCATGGGAAATCCCCCGATAGTCTTGGCCTATAGCAGCATAACTAAGGGATGGTTCAGGACTCACCTGATCCAGCCCTAACTATAAGCTTTATCAAAGAGGAACGTCTTAAGCCTACTCTCAAATGTGGAGAGGGTGTCTGCCTCCCGAACCACAACTGGAAGCTGGTTCCACAGGAGAGGAGCTTGGTAACTGAAGGCTCTGGCTCCTGTTCTATTTTTAGAGACTATAGGAACCACAAGTAGCCCAGCATTCAGAGAACGTAGTGTTCTAGTGGGGTAATAGGGTACTATGAGCTCTTTAAGATATGAAGGGGCCTGACCATGAAGAGCTTTATAGGTGAGGAGGAGGATTTTAAATTCTATTCTACATTTTACAGGGAGCCAGCGCAGAGAAGCTAGTACAGGAGAGATGTGATCTCTTTTTCTAGTTCCTGTCAGTACTCGTGCTGCAGCGTTCTGAATTAATTGGAGCGTTTTAATGGACTTATTGGAGCAACCTGATAATAAAGAGTTGCAGTAATCCAGCCTAGAAGTAACAAATGCATGGATTAGTTTTTCTGCATCTGTCTGCGATGGATGTGAGGAGGTGTCTAATTTTTGTAATATTATGTAAATGAAAGAAGGAAGTCCTAGAGGTCTGCTTCATGTGGGAATTAAATGACAAATCCTGATCAAAGATAACTCCAAGATTCCTGACAGTGGTGCTAGAGGCCAAGGTAATGCCATTTAGAGTAACTATATCTTTCGACAGTGAGTCTCTAAGGTTTTTGGGGCCAAGAACAAGAATTTAGTTTATCATCAGAAAATTGTAGCTCATCCAGGATTTTATGTCCTTAAGACTGAAAATCCTCAAATAAACTATTGTTATGTAAAAAGTCACACAACTCTTTGGCGACTACTTTCTCCAGAATCTTAGAGAGGAAGGGGAGGTTAGAGATCGGTCTATAGTTGGCTAAAACCCCTTGGTCAAGAGTGGGCTTTTTAAGAAGGGGTTTAATTACAGCTACTTTAAAGGACTGTGGTACATATCCTGATAATAAAGAAAGATTAATCATATCCAGTAAAGAAGTTCCAATCAAGGGTACGACTTCTTTAAGCAGCCTAGTTGGGATGGGGTCTAACAGGTTGACAGGTTGATGGCATCGATGTAGAAATTATTGAAGTCACTGATAACTGTTGATGGCAGTTGGTGATTGATTTTCTCTCTAATAGTAATAATTTTATTATAAAAGAAGCTCATAAAGTGGTAGTTACTTAAGTTTATGGGGATATGTGGCTCAATAGAGCTGTGACTCTCTGTCAGCCTGGCTACAGTGCTGAAGAGAAACCTAGGGTTATTCTTCTTTTCTTCTATTAGTGCTGAATAATAGGCTCCTCTAGCGTTACGGAGGGCCTTTCTATAGGTTTTAAGATTATCTTGCCAAATTGAGCGATATTCTGATAATTTGGAATAGCTCCATTTCCTTTCAGATTTCCTAGCTTTTTGCTTTAATTGGCGGGTTTGGTGGTTGTACCACGGTGCTAGTTTCCTATGTTTTAATAATTTCCTTTTATAGGAGCGATAGAGTCTAATGTTGATCGTAGTGAGCCTGCAGCACTATCGACAAGATTATCAATTTCAGAGGGACTAAAGTCGTTATAGGACTCTGTTAAATTCAGACATGGCATTGAATTAAACACTGAAGGAATCTCCTCCTTAAATTTAGCTACAGCACTGTCAGATAGACATCTGCTGTAGGAAGTTTTGCGTAATGGCTTATAATCTAATAATATGAATTCAAAAGTTATTAAATAATGGTCAGATAGGAAAGGATTATGTGGGAAGACTATTAAATGTTCAATATCAATGCCATATGATAGAACAAGGTCAAGAGTGTGATTAAAACAATGAGTTGGTTTATTTACACTCTGACAGAAGCCAATTGAGTCTATTAATGATATAAATGCATTACTAAGGCTGTCATTGTTAACATCCACATGAATATTAAAATCACCTACAATAATTACTTTATCTGATTTAAGGACTAAACTTGATAAAAACTCTGAGAATTCAGATATAAAATCAGAGTACGGTCCAAGAGCGCGGTACACTCGTCCAACACTCGTTGGACAACCAGGTCTCAGTAAGACAAAGTAAATAAATAATAATCTGATATTAATTCATTCACTAAAACAGCTTTTGAAGACAGAGACCTGATATTTAACAGTCCCCATTTCATACTCTTATTTTTTGCAACTGCGGAGTTCATTTTAATTTTTATTAGATTTTTATGTTTAACTTTTTATTTCTTTAAATAATTTAGTGGGGGGGGCAGACACAGTCTCTGTGGGGTTATGGGTGGGTGACTGTTCTAAAGAAAGCGCAGAGAAGTGTGTAAGACAGCAGGTCTGCTTCCTGGTCCCAACTCTGGATTGTCAGGTTTTAGAAATAAACTTTGCCATATTTCTAGGTAAGAGAGCCACTCCATCCAAATCGGGATGGATGCCGTCTCTCCTAATCAGACTAGGTTTTCCCCAAAAAGGCTGCCAGTTATCAATGAAGCCCACATCATTTGCTGGACACCACCTCGACAGCCAGCGGTGGAAGTCCGACATGGGGCTACACATGTCATCACTGGTCACATTGGGGAGGGGTCCAGAGAAAACTACGGAGTCCGACATAGTTTTAGCATAATTACACATCGACTCCACATTAATTTTAGTGACCTCCGATTGGCGTAAACGGGTGTCATTACCGCCGACGTGGATAACAATCTTACTATATTTACGTTTATCTTTAGCCAGCAATTTTAAAAGGATTCAATGTCGCCCGCTCTTGCCCCAGGGATACATTTAACTTCGCTAACTTAACGTTTCTGACTATGGAGCTGCCAATAATCAGAGTTGGTTACTCAGCGGGTGTATCGCTGAGTGGGGAAAATTTATTAGAAACGTGAATGGGTTGGTGGTGACCTGTGGGCTTCAGTGTTTTAGTCTTCCTTCGCTCAGTCACCCAGCTTCCCTGTTTCCTGGCTGCTCGGGAACTACCGGAGGAACTACCGGGGGAACTACCGGAGGACAGCTAGCAGAAGCTACCTTCGGTCGGACCGCACCGGCTACTGGGGGCTGGCTAACTATAGCGGCTAAAGATAACTCTGTGGTGCGGTACTGTTCCTCTAACTTACTAAGCCTTTCCTCCAGCGCAGTAAATAAACTACACTTAATACATGTACCATTATCATTAAAGGAGGCAGAGGAATAACTGAACATCTGGCACACTGAGCAGGACAGAGCAGAGGGAGAGGGAGAAGCCATAGCTAACTGCTAATGTTAATGAAGCTAGCATGTATGAAAAACTTTTGAAAATAGCGAAAAGTCGCCAAAAGAAGGAGTAACTCTGAGTGTTTAGATAGAACGAGTCTACGTTTAATTGTTAAGCTGGAAAATAACCGCTGTAAGGAGTTAAACAAATTTAGATTTAGCATTCACTGGACAGAGCTACAGCACCAAACAGTGTACACAGAGCAGGAAGTAAACCGGAAATGAGTCAGTACGCTTACCGTAGCGAAGCCAAACAAGTGTCACAGTCCTTATTTTCTTATGTTCGTAGGACGAAGCGGGATTCACAGACTGCTCTCTCCCCACAGACAGAAACACCATATGGAGAAAATTTAGAAAAGGTTTTTCTGCTTACCTTTTGAATGAGCTCATACAGTGGTCGGTCTGTGGTGGAGTGAGGGCCGTCCGCCCGGAACCGTGACCCGTCTTGTCCTCCTGGCTGGCTCTCCAAATGCTGTGGTTTAATTTTTCTTGTCTCAATGCACCTCAATGGACACCTATCTGACATAAACTTTTAGCTATCTGACTGTAGTGAGAGACCACAAACTCCCACTGAAGGAACCCAGAATGGTGACACAGACTCACAGAAAGCAAAGAGAATTGCCCGTTTCACTTCACGTGCAAGATTTATTTGCATCAACACAGGAAACAAGCAAACCGAGTTGTCTTGAGAATAAACTAACTAAAACAAAGAAAATCACTCCATTATAAGCCTCTTTCCCAAAGGGTGTCTATTGGTGACGTCTAATGTCCGATAACCAGTAGACATAACACATCTGATGCCCTACTCTCCAGGAGACAGCCTTTTCTGAATGCATTTTCAGAAATGAAAATGATTAAAAGGATCAGAAGAAACTCTGATCCTTTTAATCATTGCTTACTTTCCAGGAAGTCTTCTGCTGATAATCCTCGTGAGACTTTGTCAACAGATTTCAACTTGGTTCCAATTTGTTTCCACTGAGTGACATCTTCAGCCTGATGATGATCCTACAGTTATCCAGTCTGGATGTCTATCTTTGTGTTTACTGTGTCCTGCAGACGTCCAGCAGCTGTCAGTGATTAAAGAAGAGGTTCCCCCTGAGCAGCAGCAGGAGTGGAGACCCAGTCTGGACCAGGAGGACCCAGAGCCCCCACACATTAAAGAAGAACAGGAGGAAGTCAGGACCAGTCAGGAGGGAGAGCAGCTTCAAGGGTTCACATTGACTCATGTCCCTGTGAAGAGTGAAGATGATGATGATGATGAAGAGAAACCTCAGTCCTCACAGCTTCATCAAAGACAAACTGAACAGATGGAAACAGATGATGGAGAGGACTATGGAGGACCAGAACCAGCCAGAAACTCAGATCCAGATACACACTTACAACCAGATACTGATGACAGACTGAAGACTCTTCTGACCCTGAGACTGATGTGATGATGAAACTGACGGTGATAATAATTGTAAAGAGACCAGAGAATCTCAGCCAGGTTCAAACTCTCTGAATAATAAGGAAGTCCCTGTAAGTGATGTAGAGTGTAATGGTGGAAAGAAACCTTTCAGTTGCTCTGAATGTGGTAAACGCTTTGGTCAGAAGTCATATCTGCAGGTGCATTTCAAGTGTCATACAGGAGTAAAACCTTACAGTTGTTCACTTTGTACTAAACGTTTTTTACGGTCGGAGCATTTACAGTTACACATGAGAACCCACACAGGGGAGAAACCATTCAGCTGCAACGTTTGTGCCAAAAGATTCAGTTGGGGTCAACAGCTTAAAAGACATAAGTGTGTACCTCAGCCAGTTTGTAGCAATAAAAAAGCTGTTCAGATATTCAATTTGTAAAAAACATTTCTCACAGAGAAAAAGTTTTGATGACATGAAAACTCAAGGAGGAGGGAAACCGTTCAGCATAGTGTGCGGTAAATGCTTAATCAGTAAGTGTCAGCTGCAAGAACAAAAGAGAAAGCACACAGGTGAGAAACCATTCAGCTGCCCAGTCTATGATAAAAGCTTCCACAGGGAGGCTCATCTGGAGAGACACATGATAACTCACAAACTAGGTAAACCATTCAGCTGCTCAGTCTGTCGTAAAAGCTTTGTTTGTAAGAGCACTCTGCAGGGACACAATACATTTCACACAAGAGAGAAACCATTCTGCTGCTGTATGTGTGATAAAAGCTTCTTCAGAAAGGCTCATCTGCAGAGACACATGAAAACTCACACAGGAGAGAAACCATTCAGCTGCTCAGTGTGCAATAAAGGCTTTGTTGGAAAGATTAGTCTGCAGAGACACATGAGAACTCACACAGGTGCAGCAGGAGGTGAAGTAGCCTGTTCAACTATTACAGACAAAAAACAAGTTAGAGATGCGTCTTAATATCAGAACAGAAAAGTCTGGTGGTTAGCGCCAACGCTCATTTTCTGTTTCTCCCAGTCTTTGAATGTGTATTGATTATATATTGTTTGCCATTTGTGCCTTTGTTACGGTTTTATAACTAATTGTGATACATTATTAAATAAATATCTAGGAAAAGTTATGCGTTGTTTACTGCTAGCTGCTAACTGTCTAGCTTTGAATAACCTGCAACTTATTATTTTACCAGCACAGTAAAGCATAAGTTAGCATTTAGGAACTAAGGATACAAATTGTTGAAGTAAGAGATGTGTTACATCCCTTTTGACAAATGAAGGAAAAAAAAGAAAAACATGACAACCAAAACAAATGCTAAGTCAAAGTAGTTGACTTAAAAAATATATATTTTACTCAAATCTTGATAGTTAAAGTGGTGAGACTCGAAAAAGCAAGTGGACGTTTCAAATATTATAAATATTATGACAATGATAACCTGCAAGTAATTCAGTTCATGTAGGCCTACATACACTCCTCTCTTGAGCACCTCAGTGCTATTATAACCTGTTAACTATTGAGACTCTACATAACTGGCGACCAAACAAAATCTACTACATGTTTATTATAAACCTTTGAATTTAAAAATTACTCAATGAAATCGGTTGAGAAATTGAGTAGAAATTTTTTATACATTAAAAAACGCTTGTTTACAGGTCAGTCTAGCCTGGTCCAATATGGCGCCGATGTTGATGTACAATCCAGCAGCCACTGTGGTGTCCATGTATATATGTCTATGCTTGTTAGCACCTAGAGAGGACACAGGGGAGGGGAGAGAAAGAGAAGCAGGAAGATAAAAACACAACAGGCCCTGCTTGGCACGTAACAGGTGCAATGGATCACAATATAACTAAAGGATGGTTCAAGACTCACCTGATCCAGCCCTAACTATAAGCTTTATCAAAGAGGAATGTCTTAAGCCTACTCTTGAATGTGGTGAGGGTGTCTGCCTCCTGAACCACAACTGGAAGCTGGTTCCACAGGAGAGGAGCTTGGTAACTGAAGGCTCTGGCTCCTGTTCTACTTTTTGAGACTACAGGAACCACAAGTAGCCCAGCATTCAGAGAACGTAGTGTTCTAGTGGGGTAATAGGGTACTATGAGCTCTTTAAGATATGAAGGGGCCTGACCATGAAGAGCTTTGTAGGTGAGGAGGAGGATTTTAAACTCTATTCTAAATTTTACAGGGAGCCAGTGCAGAGAAGCTAGTACAGGAGAGATGTGATCTCTTTTTCTAGTTTCTGTCAGTACTTGTGCTGCAGCGTTTTGAATTAATTGGAGCATCTTGATGGACTTATTGGGGCAACCTGATAATAAAGAGTTGCAGTAATCCAGCCTTAAAGTAACAAATGCATGGACTAGTAATATCATCTGGAATAACTGTTTCTTTAGATAATGAGTTTCTGAGATGTTTGGGGCGAAGTACAAAAACCTTTCATTTTTGTCTGAGTTTAACATCAGAAAATTGCATTTTTATGTCTGTAAAGGTCCATTGTGTAACACTGAGGAGGGTTTATTGTCAGAAATGTAATATAATATTTATAGGTATGTTTTCATTAGTGTATAATCAGCTGAAAATTAGAATCTTTGCCTTTGTATTTTTGCGCACTTTACGCCCACCATAGTTTCTCCTTTAGAAACTTCCGAGGCAGTTGTGATCTGCAATTAACACAATTTGATGCCACTAACCTCTGCCACCTCTGTTATCTCAGTTAGCCATGCAGCTCGCACTCTTGTGGCCGGTGTGTAAGATTTAGTGCCATTTCAGATTGCAACAAACTAAACAACACTTGGAATGAGAACAGGCTTTGAAGTGTGTATGAGAAACTATGGTGGCTGCAAAACTCGCGAAAAACACGCAAGTCTATATCGAGAGTCAGTGTTTGGTTTGTCCATTCTGGACTACTGTAGAGACATGATAGTTCAACATGGCGGACTCCGTAGAAGACGACCCGCTCAATGACGATAAAAACGTTTCATTCTAAGGTAACAAAAAAACAACTGGATCACATTTTACACTATTCCGTCGGACATCCTCTGGTTGCTCTGCCTGGACGGTGCATGAAGTTGAAGTTCCCTGATGGAAAGATCGCTAACTTGTTGGCGGTTACTTTAGCCGCTAGCTCAGTTCCAGTGCCATTATGACCACAGCTGATACTATAATTAATTTTAATATAATGATATAATCTCTGTAAATAATGTTATAAAGAGTTCGGTCGAGACCTGCTCTATTTGAAAAGTGTCCTGAGATAACTTCTGTTATGAATTGGTGCTATACAAATAAAATTGAATTGAATATAATTGAATGTCATTCATGCCTGAAAGTACAAAAGTCCAACAAAAGCAACGCACATTGAACCCTGGAGGTAGCTACCAACAGGAACATGGCTGGCCAAGAAGTAACTAGACTTGGCTAACCAGGCCAAGCTAGCTGACAGGTCAGGACAGCGGCCTGGCTCAAGTGCATGTTCCAAAACAGTCCAGCAGCTGGTCAAAACCAAAATATATGTAACAGTGCAGATTATCTGAAATCAAACTCGGGTATAGCTGAAGTAACCATGGCTGACCAGGAAACAACCAAGCTAAGCTAACTAACCTTTTGTAACCTTTATTTGTATCCTTCATAAAAAGTAAACAGAAGAAGGTAATAAGATAAATTTAACTGACTGCATATGAGGGTGAAAGACAAACCAGACAAAATCACTGTGGGTCCATTATAGATTTATTTAAAGAATAAAATAACAGAATTGTATGAGCACTGTTAACTATGCAAGTCAAGTTACAGTATGAATTCAAGCACACTATATTAAACATCAGATTTTCCTTTTGGAAAACATTGAAATGAACATGTTCATGCAGTAGACATTTGAGTTTATAGTAACAGTTTATAATCTCGACTGCAACTAAACGTTAAGGACTAACTGTAGTTCACAATTAAGATTATTGTAAGAATCATTTGGAAATTTCAAAATATGTAATAACCAAGAATAATTGCCAAAAATAATTCATTATTTAAATAATTAATTCTGTTGTTGCTGTGCACCTGTCTGTCTGTCTCTCTCTCTCTCTCACCCCAACTGGTCGAGACAGACGACCACCCACCTAGAGCCGAAGGATCTGTCCTAGGTTTCTGCCTTTTAACAGGCAGTGTTTCCTTGCCCTTGTCTCCAAGTGCTTGCTCATGGTGGTACTGTTGGGTCTCTGTAAATAATGTTTTAAAGAGTTCGGTCTAGACCTGCTCTATTTGAAAAGTGTCCTGAGATAACTTCTGTTATGAATTGGCGCTATACAAATAAAACTGAATTTAATTAAATTGAATTAATAAAATTATCATGTTTAGTGATGACTGCTACATAATTCATCAGTTTCATTACAGAGGATAGTCTTCACATCTCAAATCAGTCTATAAAAATGAAACCTCATACATCCTCAGCAATTATCAGACCCAAGAAGTTAAACTGTGAACTGCCACTTAATTCACTGGACTGGAAACAGCAGTTTATGGCTGAAATTTGAAAAATAATTTCAACCCTTCAAGATCTCATCCTCAGTTATATTGTTCCTGTATTTAACAATTTATGCCAAAAACAATCAGAAAAACTCAAATTCTTTGTATTTTTATATCAAATCCAATCATTGTGTCTTCCTGTGAAACTAAATGTGACGCATGCTTACGTCAGCATGAACTTACTAATTTCAACCAATAATAGCAGACATTCACCCGTCAATCAGTCTTCAACTTTTAGCGACACAGAGCGAAGATTCATTAATTAGCTAGCTAGCTAACAGCATGGCTAGCTAGCCAACAGCAACGAGCTCACTGATTACTATACAAACACAACTTTATCAGTGATTTGGGTGAAACTGGATCATATTTTATGGAGAGAATATTGTCTGGTTTCCCCTCTGACGTCCTCCGCTAACTGCTAATGTAGTTGCTGTTAGCTAACTGCTAATGTAGCTGCCGTTAGTGTTAGCAACCAAATGGGTCACAGCAGCCTCCCAGTGAACACAACCTCCGAGGAAAGTTTGACGACAGCGGTACCAAGGTTATTTATGGAGTTTCCTGATGGACTAAAAGAAGCTAACTTCGCCAACTGTAATGTACATGCTGTTAGCTAGTTGGCCTACTCAGCCCTCCCCAAAAAACCCAACCGTCCTTGATTCCCTGCAGTCAAACTGTCCTCCGTCAGCATCAGATGCTGCATTCAGTCCCGGTCTGGACCTGCTGTTCACTGGGAGCTGCCAGTCCAAAAGAGTCCGCTAATGGATCCACTACAGCTGCTGGACTGGGGGGACGTAAGTCCCTCCGTAACTGCCTGTTGTTACAAGAAATATGTAAATATGAGGAAGCAAACAGCGTTCTGATTTACTATTATAAAAACTGAAAGAATCGAAAAGATTTTAGCAGTTTTCACTTTCTCACACAATTGCATTGCAAAGAAAACAGTAACAAACACTTGCATGCAACACAACAAGCGTCGCAATCTTCTAGAAAATCTTCCATGAAATTAGGCACAAAATTAAAATTCAGTTGCTGTAGTGGAGCTGATCTGTCTGAGAGTACGTAAAATAAACTCCAGGAACACAATTAGTTTTCACAAAGACTGATGAAGTAAATGTTGAATGAGGGATTGTGTCAAGTTACACAAGCTGGTGGAACAGAAGGCTGAATAAAAATAAATGTTCTCACTTTAAAAACTGAATACATTTTTAAAATGATATAAATTCAGTGGTATTTTAAATTCAAATTAAAGATTCCTAGTGGTTACATTTCCCAATAAGGTTGCTCTTATTAACCTTTATTTGCCTCTGTACAGGAAAATTATGTTCACAAATAAACTCTGCTTCGGCTGCACTACATGCTAAAAGAAATGTATTTATTTTGCATTTTTACAGATATTCTGATTTTATTCACAATTAGTGGAATGATTTTAGCATACAATTTGCATTTTCACTGAAAGAACTATTAAACTCACAATGCTGTGACATTGGTTTGTACTAAACAAACATTTGGAGAACATTGTAAGCAGAATTTAATTATAATACTGTTTACCAAACTGTGATGGATATTGCACTGGCCATATTGCGATTTTGATAATATTTGGATTAATTGTGCAGCTCTACCGAGGATTAAACACACATATGGTTTTTAACAAGTAACTTCTTATTGAATCCTTTGCCACAAATGCTGCATTTATACAGTTTTTCACCTGTGTGAATCGTCATGTGCTCAGTAAGATGTACATTTTGTTTAAAACTTTTGCCACACACTGAGCAACTAAATGGTTTCTCACCTGTGTGAATTCTCATATGTGTTTTAAGATTGCCCTTAAGGCTAAACTTTTTACCACACTCAGTGCAGCTAAACAATTCCTTGGGAGGAGGCTTTTTCTCAGTTTGGCTCTGACGAAGCTGCGAAGACTCACCGACACACTTGTGAGTTTTAAGCTGCGTATACCAAGTGAATCTTTTGTCACAAGCACTGCAGCTGAAGCGTTTCTCCTCCGTGTGGACTGACATGTGCAGCGTCATGCGTCTTTTGTGTGCAAATCTTTTCTCACAAAATGGGCAACTGAATGGTTTCTCTCCTGTGTGAATTCTCATGTGTAACTGCAAAGTTCCTTTCTGGCTGAAACTTTTGCCACAAAAGGAGCATTCAAATGGTTTCTCTCCTGTGTGAATTCTCATGTGTGCCAAAATGTTCCCACTGCAGCTGAAACGTTTCTGACAAACTGGGCAACTAAATGGTTTCTCTCCTGTGTGCGTTCTCATGTGGCTCATCAGATGGTCCCTGCGGCAGAATGTTCTCCCACACTCAGAGCAGCTGAAGGACTCTTTGTCAGTATTACCTCTCACATCACTAACAGAGACTTCATCATTTCTTAAGCCTGACTCATGTTCCCTGCTCTCCTTCCAACCATCATCATCATCGACTTCAGTCTCAGGATCTGAAGGTTTATCATGAGGAACCGGTTGTAAATGTCTGTCTGGATCTAATCTCCTGACTGGTTCTGATTCTGTGTGAGAATCAGCGCTGGGATTCGATGTTTTCTTTCCTGTATGGATTCTCATGTGTCTGCTTACATCGCCGCTGTATCTGAAACGTTTTTTACAGACGGAGCAGCTGAACGGTTTTTCTCCTGTGTGAAGTCTCATGTGACTGATTGAGTTTCCCTTCTGAGAAAATCTTTTACCACAAAAGGAGCAACTAAATGGTTTCTCTCCTGTGTGAATTCTCATGTGTGCATTCAGATGTGGTTTGCGACCAAATCTCTGACCGCACTCAGAGCAGCTAAATGATCTCTCAACAGTGTTACAGTTTATATCACCAACAGTGACATCAGTACTTTTCTGAGAGTTTGAACCTGACTGAGGTTCTCTGGTCTCCTCCCAGTCTTCATCACTGACATCAGTCACAGAGGAGTCTGAAGCCTTGTAATCCGTATCAGGTTGTAAATGTGTATCTGGGTCTGAGTTTCTGGCTGATTCTGGTCCTCCACAGTCCTCTCCATCAGCTTCTGTTTTTATCTGTTCAGTTTGTCTTTGATGAAGCTGTGAGGACTGAGGTTTCTCTTCATCATCATCATCTTCACTCTTCACAGGAGTGAATGTGAACCCTTGAAGCTTATCTTCCTCATGACTGGTCCAGAGTTCCTCCTCTTTAATATGTGGGGGCTCTGGGTCCTCCTGGTCCAGACGTGGGCTCCACTGCTGCTGCTCTTCTTCACCGACGATCACTTTTCGGACATCAGAAGGTAAAGCTGAAACAGAGAAGGAGCTTTCATTAAATCTATAATCATTACAGTGTATAAACTCTAGAGCTATGTTCTATATGTAGTTAATAAATCAATAATCAATAATCGATGGCGTCATATCCCCTTTGTGTCTGCGTCAGCGTTGTGGTTGTCTGCCAGAAGCTGTCATACATTGACTGTTTACCATCCACTGTTTAGATCTTGGTGCTTTGTAACTCTAGATTTGAACCGGATGAAGGATTTTAGTCATCGGACGTCTGGATCTTAAGGAGAAGCAGTGATTGTTAAGGTGGAACTGCTTTATTCAGTGTGTTTAAGGTGGAACTGCTTTATTCAGTGTGTTTGGTGGTTTTAATCAGTGGATCTGTTTGTTTTCGAGAGGAGGAGACCTCTGTGGATAATTGGGCTCCCGGTAGAAACCTCCTGAACCATGAACACTGAAGGAATCCTAACCGGGAGAAGCTGACTGCAATGACGCCAATGGTGGTGAAGGTTTGTGGCTGTTCTCTGACGTTGTCCTCCAGCTGCTCCAGGTCTTTGAACAGCTTCCTCCTTTTTAGGGATTCATAACCGTAATGTACAATGCATTTTATAGACATAGTATCAAACAATCAGTTGGTATTGAAGTTAAGGTTTTGGTATTGAATATGTTATACGTTGTAAGTCTGCCTCTGAATAATGAGCGAGAGAGAGAATATTTATTTTATTATTATTTATTAACTAACTCAGACACTCGGACACCAGAGCTGCTCATTGTGGTAAAGATGAGTTTAGCTTAAGCTAATTAACGTTAGCTTGGTTGAAGACTTTCTTATATTGTACATATTAATAATTATTATAATTTATATAATATCTTACTTCCTGTTGTTAATGTTTCTTGTTCATATCTTTTTATCTTCTGATTGAGAATGTGAAACATAAAGTGGTCAAATGACATATTACTATATTCAATATATGATTGTATTGATTATTAGAGTGAACACTTCCAGTAACTGACCTCAGTTATTGGATTGATATTGATATGGACGTTTGTACATGTTGGATTATATTTTAAATATAGAATCAATAATCAATAACAACAACATAAAAGTTGAAATTAAGAGTGAAATTGAACCATGGCCACGCTGCACACATCACCTCCGATCCAATATGGATTTATTACCAATAACCAATAACTGATAATTTCACATTGTTCACTTTTCACACAGCTGAGAGAGAAATATAGATGATCTGACAACAACAACAACAGCAACAGCAGTCCTGACTCTTCATATGTTCATTTATTTTATAGTGAAATTCATTAAAACGTCACAAACAATATTTTAATTTCATAGAAAATAAAATCAGTTTTGCACAAGATTCCAAATAAATGATCAATAAACAGATATCAGATAAATATTATAATTAATAATAAACAGATATTATCAGATAAATATTATAATTAATAATAAACAGATATCAGACTATAGACAGACAGAAGAGAGATGGCGCCGGGTCAAAGAGCTATGGCTTACATTAGGACCTTATGTTTTATCGAACTCATCCCTCCTTACTGGTGTCTTTCCAGCTTGTTTCAAAACTGCTGTGGTTAAACCCCTACTAAAGACGCCTAGCTTTGGATGCAGACTGCCTGACCAACTATAGACCTGTTTCAAACCTTGCTCTCCTGTCAAAAATGTTTGAGAAAGTGGTCTCAAATCAGCTTTTAAATTATCTGTCACTAAATAAGCGATTTGAGCCATTTCAGTCTGCTTTTCGGGTAAATCATTCCACAGAAACTGCACTTAAAAAAGTGGTGAATTACTTGCTACTGTCTATAGATTCAGGGTCAACAAGTGTTTTATTGCTGTTGGATCTTAGCGCTGCTTACGATACGGTGGACCACTGTATACTATTGGATAGACTTGAGAATTTCTTTGGCATCTCAGGACAAGGTCTACAGTGGTTAAGATCATACCTGTCAGAAAGATTTCAATGTGTTTTATATGACAGCATACTCTCGGAGTCCTGTGCCGTCAAGCACGGGGTTCCCCAGGGGTCTGTACTGGGTCCATTGCTTTTTTCACTTTACCTATCCCCATTGGGTCAGATTTTCCGTTCTTTTGGGATTGCTTTTCATTGTTATGCTGACGATATGCAGCTGTATATGCCATTAGGTGTAGGAAGCGAGTCTAATATAGCTAAACTTGAGGCCTGTCTTGCAGCTGTTAAGAGCTGGTTATCAACAATTTCTTGCTGCTTAATTCTGCTAAGACAGAAATGATGGTTATCGGACCAGCAAAACTAGGTGATCCTTTTGATCACATTACTTTGTCTCTCGATGATTGTGCAATCAATCGCAGAGACCAAGTTAAAGATCTTGGTGTGCATTTCGATCAGACACTTTTGTTTGATTTACACATAAAGGAGGTGACCAGAGTTGCTTTTTTCCATCTAGAAACATCTCCAAGATCAGATCAATACTGTCGTTTAAGGACTCTGAGGTCCTCATTCATGCCTTTGTATCATCTAGGCTAGATTATTGTAATGTCCTTCTGTCGGGTCTGCCAAAGAAAAGTCTTTGGGGTCTGCAGATGGTTCAGAATGCTGCAGCTCGTGTTCTGACCGGAGCCTCCAGATATGAACATATTACACCAGTGTTATCCTCTCTTCATTGGCTCCCTGTTCCTGCCAGAGCAGACTTTAAGGTGTTGCTGCTAACCTATAAAATATTAGATGGCAGCGCACCGTTGTATCTTAAAGATCTAGTGAACCCCTATGTGCCTGCTCGAGCCCTGCGTTCTCAGGGGACGGGTCTTCTGAGTGTCCCAAAGGTAAAAAAGAAGACAATTGGTGAATGGGCTTTTTCTTTCCGTGCACCGACATTGTGGAACAGTTTACCTCAGGACATCAGGCAGGCTTGTTCTGTTGAGGCTTTTAAAGCAAAGCTAAAGACCCATCTGTTTACTGTTGTGTATGAGTCCTAATTTCTCTGTATGTTTTCCTGAGAGTCCGAGTGTGTGTTTAATTTTGTTTTAGTTATTTGAAATGTTTTTAAATTGTATTTTCTATCCTCAGGACAGCACTTTGACCTGAAAGTGCTTTACAAATAAATGTATTATTATTATTATTATTATTATTATTATTATATAAATTTTATTATAGATAAATATTGTAATTAATAATAAACAGATATTATCAGATAAATATTATAATTACAATAAACAGTTATTATCAGATATTACAAATATTAATAAACAATCAATCACTTTAGAAAAGTTTGTCTGAATATTGATTTGGGGGTCAAACATAGAAAAGTTCTCGTTGAAGAACATAAAGTTACATTCAGAGGAACAACACAGATAATGCAGCTTCTATCTATCAATATCAATATCTATATCAATATCAATATCTATCAATATCTATCTATATCAATATCAATATCATATCAATATCTATAATATCTATATCAATATCAATATCAATATCTATATATATCAATATCTATCTATATCAATATCTATATCAATATCTATATATATCTATATCTATATCTATATCTATCTATATCTATCAGGATCAATAACACAGCGAGCTGCAGCCAATCAGAGCAGTCTCTACAGCAGACAGGAAGCAGTAGTTACTATGGTAATGTCTCTCACACACACACACACACACACACACACACACACACACACACACACACACACAGACAGACGGTGAATGAACAACCAGCTGATTGTACTGATGATCAATATTGATCAGATTACACTGTATCTGTATGGATTATTGATCAGTATACAGTGTATCTTTATGGATGATATTGATCAGTATACACTGTATCTTTATGGATGATATTGATCAGTATACACTGTATCTTTATTGATTATTGATCAGTATACACTGTATCTTTATTGATTATTGATCAGTATACACTGTATCTGTATGGATTATTGATCAGTATACACTGTATCTTTATGGATGATATTGATCAGTATACACTGTATCTGTATGGATGATATTGATCAGTATACACTGTATCTTTATGGATGATATTGATCAGTATACACTGTATCTTTCTGGATTATTGATCAGTATACACTGTATCTTTATGGATGATATTGATCAGTATACACTGTATCTTTCTGGATTATTGATCAGTATACACTGTATCTTTATGGATTATTGATCAGTATACACTGTATCTTTATGGATGATATTGATCAGAATACACTGTATCTTTATGGATGATATTGATCAGTATACACTGTATCTTTATGGATGATATTGATCAGAATACACTGTATCTTTATAGATGATATTGATCAGTATACACTGTATCTTTATGGATGATATTGATCAGTATACACTGTATCTTTATGGATGATATTGATCCTGTATTGACAGTCAGACTGTGGACATATGACGGCCTTTAGCTCGTGTTTCTAGAGTTACGTGTTGTTACGAACACGTTAGGAATTGTTAAAATGTGATATTTCTTAAAGGGAGTTTGGTGCAGGGAGCTTTTAGTTGGATTCAAACTGCTGATATGGATCATTGTTAACGTTTAGTCTCCACTACAGAAACACTAGCTGACTGCTGAAGGCTGATCAGGTTGATTGATGCTTTAATAATGGGAGTATTGATTACTGATCAGACTGTGCTCGTTATTATTGATTGGTCCTGTGTGAGTCACCATTAACCATACAAACACAATCATTAACATATGAAGCCGTAATTGCTCGCTAGCTGCGGCTAACAGGCTAACGTTAGCTTAGCAACATTAGCAGAGAGAGAACCAACCTTCTCCTCGTAGCTTCCTTTCAGCTTTCAAATCCGCGTCCAGCAGGTCCCGGTGGTCCCGGTGGTCCCGGTCCCGGTGGCCCCGGTCCCGGTGTCGGTCCATCTGTGAATAATCCACGGGGTTTCTTTCTCCTGGTTAACGGACAGTTTGCTCGCGCTGTGAACGGAAGTCACACACGAGTACTTCCGGGGCGCTGTTTCAAAATAAATCTTTCTGTTTATGTTTTTACTTTATAGCCGAATATAAATCCTCCGGTTCAGGTTCGGGGAGTAACGGAGTAACGGAGTAACGGACACTGTTGGGCTAGTTACTCCAAAAAATGTTATAAATTATTCATTACACTTTTCAAAAGTAATATTATTACATAACTTGTAACTCCCTGCTATTATACTATAATACAGCATACACACACACACACACACACTGTGTCTGTTTGTCTCCTCTGGTGGTTAAAGCTAATGTGGGGTTGACCTTTGCTCCCTTACATAAATGTTGGGTGGACACGTAACCCAACTGTTTGTATATCTCAAAACTATAACCCTCCGAACTTAAGAACGAAATATATATATATTATAACACTCTTAACTTAAGAACATAGTAATATATAAATATATATATATATTTTATAACATATAAAACCTGGGGATGACGCACAGCAAAGGGTCGGAGGACGGATTTGAACCCTGGGCTGCTGCAGTGACTCCGTACATGGGTTGCCAGCTCTACTGACTCTGCTAAAGCTGGGGAGCATTCATTTGTATAAGAAGGGGAAGGAGAGGGCAAAGGGGAAGAAAAGGGAAAGAAATTCCAGCAAATTACAGGTTCGAATCCAGACCAGAGCAAGAGCAAATAAACAGATTTCATTTTTAAATTTGCTTGTTTTACAATCAATTCCTTATCTATTCATAAGGTTTTGTCATTTTTGAAGTAAATTATTAAAAACTTTGTCCAAAATAAAAATATTTGTCCATTTAAAGGCATTTACTTATGCAATTGTGTCCTATATGTTAATTTGGGGAATATCATTCATACCATATTGTAATTGTAAAGTCTCATTCAAGATGCAAGCAGCTTCTTGATATTAGAACGTACTGTAAATGAATACAACACAACATAATCAATTCCACAAGGATATATATTTATTAACACAACACTATGCCCAACATTTCACATTTTCTAGGCAAAAGGGCAATTAGATCAGGTCAGTTGGTTATTTCAGTCAGGTCAGTGATTACTTTCTGACTGAAAAGGAACCAGAATAATAAAACATACATTTTAGATTTATAAAGATATAAAGATTCATAAAAATATTATAAAGATATTGATATACAAGACCAACAATAACCACAGATAAATAGGCCTATACCGTACAAACAGTCGAGTGGATCCCAGCGCATCTAAGCAATCAAGAAAAACTGTAATGTGATTTATTGATAGAACAATTATTAACACTAGATGGTAATAAAAAACATTTATTAATATTAAAGTAATAAGTTAAACTACTTCAATATCCTCATACTTTGTAGCCACTCCTCTTTTGTAACTGCCCCAGTGTTTGGGCAAAATATTTTGCCTTTATACTGACTGTGGCCAGTTTCCACAGTGCGAAACTGGCCACATTTACGACATGCATTTGAGGTCACAGTCCGTGTATACTTGCGTTTTGTGTCTGTAGGTGGAAGGGTGGGTGTTTGTTGTGTGTCTGCAGGTGCCTGGGTGGGTGTTTGCTGTGTGTATGCAGGTGGGTGGGCCAATGGGGTAGCAGAGGGCAGCAACAAAATGGGTGTCCCACAAACTGGCTGTGCTGGCTTGGGCTGTAGACAAGGCAACTGACGGACAAAGGTGACAGAAGTAGTTGAGGCAGACGGGAAGGTAGCAGAGGGCAGAATCTTTTTAAATTTAGTCTTTGCCTGACCTGCTGTGTTGAGTGGCAACTGGTGGCCGTAAGTTGGTGCCACGACAGACTGCTCTCTTGCAGGGCGAGAGCCTGCACTGCAACAGGTCTTGCCGCAGGTAGCTGCAGTCCTTGTACGAGAACTGACACTACCTGACCCTTTAACCGCTGATTGTGCCACGTTACCAGGGTCCGTTGGTTGACCTCAACAAGCTGCAGAGTTGTGTGCTGCATTATTTGTCCACTGCCCAGAATAAGTTGCCTGATTCTCCTGTACTCTCTCAGGATCAGATCCCATCTCAAATGTGAAACAGTGCCCTGTTTTTTAGGAGATATGTGGAGGTCACACAGCAGTATGAAGATTAACTCAACACAGTTGGGCCATTGTGCTGGAGACCCTGTGGAGCCGAGCACACACCTTTTGGTGCTGTCTACACCTGGTGTAAAGACAGCCTTCTTCTTCGGCGACCTAAAACGGAGTGACTAGCCGGTCTTGGTGATGTGCTGCATATATTACCCTGTCCTTGTCAAACTGTTCCAGGTTGTCCCACAGACTGACGATGGTAGCCACTTGCTGGTTGGTGAGTGTTAAAGCTGTCTGACTGCGCAGTTCCACCAAGTACTCTGCCAACACGTCCACCCTGTCCATACCGGGAACCCCTTGCTCAGCAACAGCCTGGAAAAATATAACTGCTGGTTAGGTGTGTTATGTACATTCAAAACTGATTCATTTGCAATTTGAAATGATATGATTTGTGGATTTAATTTGACAAACAGAAAATCTCACCATTGCTGAGGGAACAGGAAAGGGTGAGGGTCTGTGCAGCAGTACCCCAGAAGAAGGCATAGCACTGGGAAGAGACGTAGCCGGTGATGGAAGGTGAGTAGACAGGAGTGCAGCGGAGTGAGTTGGATTCCTGGGCAGTTCTGGAGACTGGACAGCCTGGAAAGATATAACTGCTGGTTAGGTTGGTTTTGTACATGTAAATCTGATTTTAATATTTGCAATTTGAAATTATATGATGTGATTTTTGGATTTAATTTGACAGAAAATCTTACCATTGCTGAGGGAACAGGAAAGGGTGAGGGTCTGTGCAGCAGTGCCCCAGAAGGAGGCATGGCACTGGGCAGAGAAGGGGGTGGCAGGTTAGTTGGTGAAGGTACCACTAGACTTTCTACAATGCCTTACTCTCCCAGTGTGTCAACAAATTCCTCATCCTTCTCCCCTTGCTCCTCCTCTGTTATCTCCTCCAGCAACTGTGAGGTCCTGTCTGAGTCTGGAGACATGTCCTCCAGGGCCTCATTGTTTTGCCTGAACAGGTATTGCATTCCAATCAACTCTCCTGAAGAGATATTGTAATAGGAGACAAATTAAAGCAAGTTCAAAAAGTAAAAACTGTGTTCTTTGAAATAAAAAATAACTGTCAACAATGCAACGTAATCAACTTTTCATTAAGATCATGACATTTAATTGACACTTTAAAGAACCATCTACTCGGCCTGTGTAGGTTCCCGGTGGAGTGAATCCAGGCACCAGTTTTGTGCCGAACAATTTTTCATGGTTTTCATTGACTGCATACACTGCATACATACTCTCCAGAGTACGTACGCAGGAATGGACCGCTGTCTCTCACTGCAGCTTTTGCCCAATCCTTGATCTGATAAATTCCCTAGGAGTTTGTTCGTTCAAATACAAGACCACGGAATTCAAAATGGATGAATTTGACAGCACGCCACAGACACGCCCTTTAAAGTACAGTCACAAAAAGAACAGTGTTCATTCAGCAACATTGTTTGACTGTACTGACCAATTTTGAAGCAGATCAGATAAATTCCCTAGGAGGAGTTCGTTCAAATGCAAGGCGAAAATTCACCAAAAATTACCACGGAATTCAAAATGGCCAACTTTGACGGCACGCCACGGACACGCCCTTCAACGTACAGTCACAAGTAGCACAACTTGTAATCAGAAACATTTCTTAAGTGTACTGTCCAATTTTGAAGCAGATCTGATAAATTCCCTAGGAGTTCGTTAGTTCAAATACACGCCCAAAAAGTCAAAATGACCACAAAATGGTGAAAATTTAAATCAAAATAGCAGACTTCTGGTGGGTTTTGGGACATGGGTCCAAGAGGCTTTTTTGTACGTCTCGGCATGTTACACATGCCCACCAAGTTTCATACATATTGGTGAAACGTGGCGTCGGGGCTGCTTTTTTAAAATCCTGTAGGGGGCACTACAAACATGACAAACACGATTTTTGGTATGTGAGCTTCAGACACCAGTCTACACGTGTCCTGTGAATTTCATATTCATAACTATTACGGTGTTTTTTGTCAGGACGGTCTCCAGATGCTACGTGCAAAATTTCGTGCGAATCGGACTAAAAGCGCATGCATGGAGCACAATCACATAGTTTTTGGACATTTCGCGCTCTAGTGAAAAAAAATCTAGGCGGAACTGGGCGTGGCCTATATGGGGAGGTTCAGCTCCATTCACCAAACGCGTGGATATAAGGTTTTTGAATGTGAGACAAAGTATGCACGAGTTATTAGCCTAAACGCATTTTTTATGATAGTAGCGCCACCTAGTGGCCGACTTGAATGTGACGCATAGAATATCCGATTTTACACCAGGCCCGACAACTTTGCCGAATAAAATTCACGAAAAGTATACGTTCAGGGGGTCAGAAATGCAGTGAAAGGTCCTAAACGTAATAATAAACAGACCAATAACAATAGGGACCTTCCAGTTGTCACTGGATGGTCCCTAATGATAGGCAATAAGTGTCATAATAAGTGATAATGTGGTTACAGATGTGATGATGTGGTTACAGATGTGATAATGTGGTTGCAGATGTGATAATGTGGTTCCAGATGTGATAATGTGGTTGCAGATGTGATAATGTATCTGCAGATGTGATAATGTATCTACAGATATGATAATGTATCTACAGATGTGATCATGTGTCTGCAGATGTGATCATGTGTCTGCAGATGCGATAATGTATCCAGAGATGCGATAATGTATCTGCAGATGCAATAATGTTTCTGCATATGTGATAATGTATCCACAGATGTGATAATGTGGTTGCAGATGTGATAATGTATCCACAGATGTGATAATGTTTCTGCAGATGTGATAAGTAATGGTTCTCTTCTCCGTGAGACAACCATTTGGTTTGATGGTTTGTGTAATGGCAGTTGGTGTGCGTTAGCGCCACCAACTGGTATGAGTGTGTATGGTAACTATACATTCACTTATTATACTAATAAATAAAAGAAAATATGGAAATATAAAGTCATATTCTCTCTATCAACTGTTTCTTCAACAGTTAATGAGGCTCAACACATGTTGCTGTTGCCTCTGACAGCGGTCAGAAACCTGCTGTGATCAGTTCTGGTGGTACACGTGTTGTTTGTAGATTCAACTGTTGGCTTCATTTTTGTTGATGTTCTGCCCTCTAGTGTCAGAAACCAGCAACTACACTCTGTGTTGACAGTGTGAGAAAAGATCATATCTGTAACAGTTTCAGTTTCTTACATAATATAATACAATATAATATAATATAATACAATATAATATAATATAGTATGTTTGTTGATAACATTTAATGCCGTTTGAAAAAACAAAGAAACAAGACTTTTCTAAAATAAACTTTACTGATTGCAACATGAAACTTTAGGATACATGGAACCATAAACTGACATTAATGTTTATGTTTTATAATTTTTCCTGTTAGTTACAATATGGATTCAACACATCAAACACCACACAGGGTAATCGATAAAACAAAGACAAAATAAAGTACAGAAAATACAACCATCATTATTCTACTAATTAAACAGGCAAAGAATAAAAAATATTCACCAAAAGTAAGAAACGTTAAAGGGAAGTTCCTGTATCGTAATGTAAATAATAAGTGATATGAGGGGTGGAGTCATCAGAGACAACAGAAATGTATTAACCCTCAGATAGTTTATAATGTGGTTTGGTGATATCCATTTGTCTCGTAAATACCCCGCCCGAGTTGCTCTGACGCGAGAATGTGACGTAATTGCCTGGCTTGTACCACTTATAGCGTTCCATTTGTCTTTGGGCATTACGAGTCAGAAAGATCATGGACGCCACCAGTGCTGGTTGACATTAACATCTGCCTATAATATTTACCTTTGCCTAAAATATGTGTCTTTATTCAATGTACATCACTATATGATTTTATATAAAACATATTGTCATCTAGGGCTTCACAATTCATCAAAATATTATCCAAATCGTAGAAGCTGCCATCTTTTGATAAAACATGACTTTATGTGGCGCTGCCTATAAATCTCCTCCAGATGTGATAAAGAAAGAAAAGGATCATTCCCACATACTGCAAATATCGCAATTCTAATATCTGTCAAAATAAACTCAATATGATAGTTTACCATAACGTGCAGCCTTCATTTCATCCACTCATTTTATGTGATGTTATTGGTCAACTGCTTCAGTGTATTGTTTTGGTGGTATTAATGATTGTCAATAATTAATCAACATTATAATACTAAAATATAAACTGCAGCTTTAACTATAGCTGCAAGTGTTCACAGCCTCATGGAAGTGATATCTCACAGTTCTAAATTGGCATTTCCAAAGTCATTCTAATAATCTGATCTAATAATCTGATAATCTGATCTAATAATCTAATAATCTCACTCTGCTGTCTGAATCTGGTCTGAAGTGCGTCTCTGACCTCCTGCTCAGTGGAGTCCCATCAGCTTTAATGAGAGGAGAGGACTCAACTCCCTGTTTCATTGCTTTCAGACAGGAACTGTTTATATCTAACTATAAGGCTTTATAACATCTGTGACACCATCTGGCTCTGTGACCTTTAAACCCGACTGAGGATGTTTCAGAAGCATCTATGTTTGGCACTGTGTGCATACTGAGGGCCGTATTAACTGGATCATTTTAATGTGAAATCTAAAAACATCTACAATGTTGCCCTGCTGTGTCGCACTGCCTCTGTGTATTTAACACTGTAGTGGTTGTATTATATGTTTTTTTATCTGTTTGAGGGTAAAAGAAACTAAAAAAAGAGATGAGTAGCATGTCTTAAATCAAAGTAAATTGATTCACAGTGGATTTGTTTGTTTATAACAATCAGTAAATGTTTAATAACTGTTGGCGGTTAGTTGATCTGTGCAGTGACACACATTTCTGCAAAAGGTTCACATACAGCTAACCTGCGCCGACTGGATCGGCTTCTTGACAAAGATGAGGGAGAAAGTTGTGTGAACAGCACAGAGATCTCACAACTTTACATGAACACAAGCTGTGCCTGAGAAGTATTTACAACTCTGACTAGAAGAGTTTGACTCTTCCTGAATATCATAATGCATCCCTAGTTCATTTCTCTGGTTGTTCCTGTATGATACTTCATGTGGTTATTGAAGCTTTGCCTCCAGGTAAAACATTTACCACAAACTGAACAACTGAATGGTTTCTCTCCCGTGTGAGTTCTCATGTGTACCTTCAGATGTCCACTTTCAGTAAAACGGTTACCACACACAGAGCAACTGAAGGGTTTCTCTCCTGTGTGGATTCTCAGGTGTTTTCGTAACGATCCGCTGCAAGAAAAATATTTCATACACACTGAACAACCATATGGTTTTTCTCCAGTATGAATTCTCATGTGTTCCTGCAGATTTTTCTTTCGCCGAAATCTTTTAGCGCACTGAGAGCAGCTGAATGGTCTCTCTGCAATATCACTTATATCACTGTCAAGGGCTTCATCATTTTTCTGAGAGTTTAAACTTGATTGTAATTCCCTGGTCTCGTTACAATCATCAGCACCGACTTCAATCTGAAGATTACAAGAGTCTGAGGTTTTTGAGCTGCTGGCTAGAGACTCTACCTCTCTGTTCTCCGTCTGGCTCTGCTGAAGGTGTGAGGACTCACTGACACACTTGTGCTTTTTGAGATTATAACGCCAAGCAAATCTTTTGCCACAAACGCAGTAAAGGAATCGTTTCTCCTCCGTGTGGCCTGTCAGGTGGTTTGTCAGATATCTTTTTTGAGTGAACCCTTTCTCACAAAATGAGCAGCTGAATGGTTTCTCTCCCGCATGAGTTCTCATGTGCGTCTTCAGATTTTCCTCACCACAGAACGTTTTGCCACACTCACAACAGATAAAAGATTTGTTATCAATGCTACTTCCTGCATCACTTACAGGGACTACATTATTTGTTGCAGAGTTTAAAACTGACTGAGTTTCCCTGGTCTGTTTCCCATCATCGTCTCTGACTTTAGTCTCAGGTTCTGAAGAGTCTGAAGTCTTGTCATCAGACTCCGATCCTCCAGAGTCCTCTCCAGCAGCTCCTGTTTCCCTCCGTTCAGTAGAGCTGCTGGCTAGAAACTCTCTGTTCCCCTCACTTTGGCTCTGAAAAGGCTGTGATGAATCACCAACACACTTGTGGCTCTTGAGCTCATGACGCCAAGCAAATCTTTTGTCACAAACACAGCAGCGGAATCGGATCTTCCCTGTGTGGCGTGCCATATGTTGCATCAGATATCCCCTCTGTGTGAATTTTCTACTACAAACTGAACAACTGAATAGATTCTCGTCCGTCCCCATGTCTTTCTTCAGGTGATGACTGTAGCAAAGTCTTTTATCACACTCACTTTTATCACAGTTATGGCATTCGACTCCCGAGTGCCAAACCAGTCTTTTGTTACAAATGCTGCAGGTTTGTTGTTGTTTCTCCCCACTGTGGACGGCCATGTGTTGGAGCAAATATCTGTATATTGTATATTTCTTCCCACACACTGAGCAACTAAACTGTTTCTCCCCTGTGTGTGTTCGCATGTGTGTCTCCAGGAAGCCGTTTTTGGCAAATTTCTTCCCACACTCAGAGCAGCTGAATGGTTTCTCCACATTATTACTTTTCTTCTCACTCACAGGGTTTTCGTTCACAGAATTCAGACCTGACAGAGGTTCTATGCTCTCTTCCCAATCGTCGCAACTGATTTCAATCTCAGCCACAGAAAATTCTGACGTCTTGTAATCGATGTCTGGTTGTAAATCTGGATCTGAGTTCCTGCCTGGTTCTATTCCTCCACAGTCCTCTCCATCATCTGTTTCCATCTGTTCAGTTTGTCTTTGATGAAGCTGTGAGGATTGAGGTTTTTCTTCATCATCATCATCTTCACTCTTCACAGGGACAGGAGTGAATGTGAAACCTTGAAGCTGCTCTCCCTCCTGACTGGTCCTGACTTCCTCCTGTTCCTCTTTAATGTGTGGGGGCTCTGGGTCCTCCTGGTCCAGACTGGGTCTCCACTCCTGCTGCTGCTCAGGGGGAACCTCTTCTTTAATCACCGACAGCTGCTGGACGTCTGCAGGACACAGTAAACACAGACAGACACACAGACATTATGTATGATTTGCACCCATCCTCATGACCAGAGAGTAAGAACCAGTTCTAACTATTTATTTATTTATTTCCTGATGAAACAGAATTAGAGAGCTGTTTGCTTCCTCATATTTATGTATTTAAGAACAGGCAGTTAGGGACATGTCGCTGTAGCTAACAGCGCTGTCTCCCCCCCACTTCATACAATGGATCAGTTTATCTATCGGAGCATAAATCCTGTGGTTGCAACTAGAGTTGTTCCGATTCCGATACCAGTATCGGGAATGCCTCCAGTACTGCCGAAAATGCTGGCATCGGTATCGACGAGTACTGGAGTCCAGGCACCGATCCGATACCATGTAATTCATTAGAAATAGGAATCTATTTATTGGTTAGCTCCGTTAGCTCTGACACAGTTCTTCTTTACCGCTGTCATCGGCAGTGGCTGTTTTAGAGGGGGCGAAGAGAAATTGATCACCTGACAACGGCCCTTGTCGCCAAGGTCTTACTCATGGTGGTACTGTTGGGTCTCTGTAAATAATGTTATAAAGAGTTCGGTCTAGACCTGCTCTATTTGAAAAGTGTCCTGAAATAACTTCTGTTATGAATTTTCACTATACAAATAAAATTTTATTGAATTTAATTGAATTGACTTGACTTGACTTAGGACGTTAGGGCATCATGTCGGTGGTTTGGCAGTACTTTACAGTGGATGTTCCCACCAGTAAGACGGTGACATGCAACATATGCAAAGAAGCAATTTCGAGGGGTGGCATGAGTGTTGCAAATTTCAACACCAGCAACTTAATCAAACATTTGAAGACGCGATAATCATATCACAGCAGTGGCGGACAGGCCTACGGGAGCACCGGGACATTTCCCGGTGGCCAGTCCACCGAACTGGCCCACTCGGCGATTGCCGATGGTCTGGTCGCGCTTGATTTTTAAATAAACAATCCGTCGTGCAGCTCATTAGGGTATCTGCCTCACTGAAGCTCACACAGACTGAGCAGCAACGTTGGGCACAAACACACCCCCCTTCTCTTTTTCTGAGGCTCTCTGTCACAGCACTGCAGACCCCCCCCCCCCCCACCTGTAGTTCTACATGCTTTAAAAATGGAGCGAGATCGACAGCCCAAGAGAAAAGGTGGAGCAGAGAGGGAGAGGCTAAAAGCTAAAAGCACTGGCCACAGATCAGCGAAGTGCTGTAAAATAACTGACATGTTTGTCAGTAGGGAGCAGGTAAGACATTAAACACTAGTGGTGACAACAGACAACCTGACAACTGACAACCATAGCCTATCCAGCATGACCAGCTTAATGAGGAGGTTAGTTCCACTTTGTGGAAGCTGATGGGGCTAAAACTGACTTTAAGTTGTAACAAAGGATGTTGCAAATTTCTTTCTGTGTGTTTGAAGTTTCCTTGTTTAATGTAACAGAATAAACCTACACATCTACATCTTTATTTAATCTACTACTACACTGTTAAATGTGCAGCCTGCACATTAAAAGTGTCGTAGTAAATTAAACAGAATAGAAATTATGTGATTTGAGTTCAGGTTATTGCAGCACAACAGAAACATTTATTTTGTAGGGGAAAGAAACAGAAAAAGCTGTGTGTGCGCGCATGTGGAGCCTTTGCTTTATTATTTTACACTCTTACATCAGTAGGCGCCAAACTATCTCACTCTTGGTGTTTCGCGTTAATCCGGTGGTGGGGATCCTGGGATGGGATCAAACTCCCGGTCTGAATTATTGTCCCAGTCCGTCCCTGAATCACAGTCATGCAGGCGTAGTATGATTTTTTCTTTTTTTTTTTAAACACACTGGTATCGGTATCGGTACTCGGTATCGGCCGATACCCACAGCACCAGTATCGGAATCGGTATCGGGAGGGAAAAAATGGTATCGGAACATCTCTAATTGCAACCATCAACTTCACAGACCAACCTGCTCAGAAACATTACTTTTATTTTAACAAACTAAACTTTAATCTTCATCATCAGGAAAAGGACACAATTATTCAAACACACAGAGGGCCCCTAACCCTAACGCAGCAGGGCCCCGAATGTTTCATAGTTTACACTGAGTCCTGGTCCCCAGTGAAGGAGCTCCTCCTCACCGACGTCATCATCAGCAGCAATACCCTCAATATCACCGACTCCATTCAAACATCACGTTATATTTATATTATATATGATTAGTTATTATTAGTGTATCATTATATAATAGTTAATATAATGTGCTTTTAGTAATTATTAATAATCAGACCAGCTGTAATCAGATTACTGCTGGATTACTCCGTGCCAGCAGTAATCTGATTACTCCCTGCTAATCTGATAACTGAACAGTAAAAGGGGGCGTGGCCATTCTGAAGACAAGGAAGTGATCTAGTCCTCATCTATAAGTAGCAACTGTTAGCTTCATTAGCTTAGCAACCACAGAGCTCGTAGCTTTAAACCAGCTTCCGGTGTAACGTCAGTGCTTCCGGTCGCGGGAAGGCGGAAGAACGAGACTAACTAGTGTTTGCTAACAGTTAGCATTAGCTGTCTCCGGGTCCTCCGGGTCCTCCGGGGGCAGACAGCAGGGACTGACCCGCTCTGTGCAGCTTCACTTGGGGCTTCAGCACGGCATCGAGCAGCCTCCTCTGGCGGCAGATCTCCCGCTCTGACCGCTCCACTCTGTCTTCGTACTCCGCCACGGTTTCCTCAAACAGACCGACAATCTCCTCCGCAGCCGCCGTTAGCCGCTCGGTGAGCAGCGCTCTCAGCGACACCGGGACTTCTGCCGTTAATTCTCCTTTTCCCGCCTGCAGCAGAAAGTCTTCAGCGGCGGCGCTGATCCGCTCATGTACCGACACCCGCAGCAGCTGCACCGTGGCGCACATTTTACCGCTTTTCTGCGGACTTTAGTGCCTCAGCGGAGCAACGGGAGGGGAACTGCGCAGGCGCACTTCTGTCAGCAGTTTCGGGTCGACGAACGCGAGCAGCGACCTCTGGCGGTCGGGAGGAGAAACTGCACCGATCGATTATTGTATACAATAATGAATTTAATATTTCTCATATTTGTTTTAATTGTTTTATTCCTAATTAAGAAATTACAATAAAATGTGACTCAAGTTAATGATGTGAATTTAATTTGCAGAGAATTTTGGATTCTTAAATGTAATAAAAAGTAATAAATCAATAATCAGTAATAAATGTAATAAAAAGTAATAAATCAATAATCAGTAATAAATGTAATAAACAGTAATAAATCAATAATCAGTAATAAATGTAATAAACAGTAATAAATCAATGATCAGTAATAAATGTAATAAAAAGTAAGTGTGATGTCATATAGATGGTATTATCATTAGTTTGTCGACTCTAGTTGAAGATGGGGCATGTATGTGCGGGCAGGAGTCACCGTAGGTCCATGGGAGTCACTTGCAGGTTGGAGGTTCTCGAGGGAGTTCGAAGTATCTCGATAATTCAGAAAAAAAATCACTCCGAAAAACGTGAATGCAATACGCTTCTGTAATAATCAGTATTATATCAATAATCAGTAATAAATGTAAAAAAAAGTAATATATCAATATTTGTTACTAAATTGTTTTTTAAAATCAATGAATACACGATCAATAGTTCCTCCTTCAGTCTGTTGGAAGACGGTTTAATAATCAGACATTGGCAGGTTACAAGTAACTGAGTTTATTCACGTTACAGTTACAAAATAAAGGTGTAATCAGATTACAGTTACATTCAGTAATGAGGCAGCAGTGACGATGAGCAGCTTTAAATATAAATAAAGATACAATGTGTACAATATTATTTAAATAGTTCATTCTTTATTAGAATATAAATAATAATAGAGCATTAATATATTGATTCATCAATACTTCGTATGGATATTTATTGTCTCTTGTTTTTATTTACATATTTGATGTTGAGCTCAAAAAGTAATCAATTGACTTTAATATTGTGGTACTAGGATTAGGTACCGTCACTACTAAGTGGATTACATGTTTAAAGTAATCCTCCCACTTCAAGCTGAAACATGAAATGTTTTTGAGTTCAGAAACTAAAATGCCTAAAAATTAATTTTGTGTAAAAATATATACGAATAAAATATAAAAACAGAACAAAACAAATCTGACTATAAATCAGAAATAGTTTATCACAGAACTGAAGAACGATGTTGGTTGAAGTCCAGAACGGATGCCAGTGGAAGTATTGATCATGTATTGATCACGTGCAGGGTCCAATCAGAGCAAAACAGCAGTTTCTGTTCGTGGGTCTGTTTTAACTTTACTGTCAGTAAAAACACTGAAAGAGGAATAATCAGCAGGAATATCATAGTGTTATGACTCTAGTATTATTATTACGGTAATATACTGTAATATTACACTATTATTACTGATTATTATTACTGTATTACAGTATTATTACTATAATTTTATTATTATTTAATCACTACAGTGGATCTGTTGCTGTACTTCATTAATGTTTATGATGTAAACAAAGCGAGCGGGAGATTCTTGGGGCCCTTGAGGAGGAATAATCCTTCCGTCAAATGAAACCTCAACAAATGAAATTCCTTCCAAACATTTTAACGTCTGACCGACTCGTCGTCTCCTCGGGGGCAGAGCGTCCATCCAGGCCCCGACCTGTACTGAGCATGTGCAGCTCTCACCCATTAGCTGCTAACAGCTCTGGAACAACAACGTGTTCAATCAGAACATTAATAAGACTTTTTATAAAACAAGCGTGTTGTGGATGACGGGGAATGTCTGTTTATAAACTGAATGAGACAATAAGTACTGTAGTTCTGAAGAGGGGTCCTGCTCTACGCCAGGAGGAAGAAATGTCTTTGTTTTGTACAAACACTCAAAATGTTATAATATAAAATAATAATCGAGATTGAGATTAAAAACTGATCCTACCAAAATAATTACAATATAATGTTTTTACCCTTTTGGAGCAGCACTACTTCTTTATTGTCATACGTCAGATTATTCAGTAAATACAGTAAAAGAATCTGATCTATGACACAGTATGTGAACTACATCCAGTACAGCTATGATACAGATGTGATGTACATATTAGTCTATTATAAAGCTTGCGTCGGATTACACGCATGGACCACAGAGTGGAACACAACCTGGCAACTTCCTGTTTCAGGGGCCACTATAAGTGGATATGTTTGTTAAAATAAAACTCAGGATTTAAAAACTAAATCTAAAGTTGATTCAATCAGTTCTCTAAAACAAGCTACAACAGACAGAATGAACTCTTCCAGCTTTAGACTTCAGATAAATACTTTAATGTTCATGTTTATCTCTTAAATAAAACTTTTACCAGGATAATTATATTTTTACTGTATATAGTTACATGCTGTGATTAGTGCCGACTTCTTTCCTTTCCAATATAATAATAATAATAATAATAATAATATAATAACGTCAGTTCACCGATCAGAATCACAGAAAACAGAAATCAGTCAATAAAAAGGTTCCAGATAAAAGTTCATCTGAAGCTTCTTCCTGTCGCAGTTTGTCCGACTCTTCTCATCTTTGACTGTAAAACATCACATGATTCTATTAAAATACAATAAATACAGAATTATTGATCAGGGAGCAGAGAACTAGTGGTTACTATGGTAACAGATAGTGTCTCACACATACAGACGATGAATGAACAGTTCAGTTGGATCAATATCTGATCCACAACCAGCTCTGATTGTACTCAGACATGATCAATATTGATCAGTGTACACTGTATCTTTATGGATGATATTGATCCTGTATTGACAGTCAGACTGTGGACATATGACGGCCTTTAGCTCGTGTTTTTAGAGTTACGTGTTGTTACGAACACGTTAGGAATTGTTAAAATGTGATATTTCTTAAAGGGAGTTTGGTGCAGGGAGCTTTTAGTTGGATTCAAACTGCTGATATGGATCATTGTTAACGTTTAGTCTCCACTACAGAAACACTAGCTAACTGCTGAAGGCTGATCAGGTTGATTAATGCTTTAATAATGGGAGTATTGATTACTGATCAGGCTGACATGCTGGAAATGGTTGGTTTGTGTGCCTGTTTTAAAACTACTGTCCTAATGAATGATGTGCTCATTATTAAAGACTCCTGATGAAACAGACTCTGGGATTACTCCTGAAAGATACGTAGTGTTTGACCTCCTGCTGGCGATCAGTCACGTAGTGTGAAACAACACGTTGACTTCAAGACTCCGGATTTCAGACAGGAAGCTGTGTAGTGTGAACAGTACAAAGATCAAACAACTTTGAAAGTCATGTAGTGTGTCAAAGGCTCAACATTTTCCTTCATTAACAAGCTGTGTGTGAGCAGGAAATCTGTCTCGACTGCCTCAAATACTCAAATACTACTTATTCCTTGTCTATTGTGCGACTGAGTTTTAGTGTCACGTTGTGTGTGAGTCCTGGTTGGATAACAGAACGTTACTTCAGATGAAGAGTGTGCTGTTCACCTCACCAGCCAACCAGGAGCTCAGAAGTACCAAAGTGAAACAACTTGGCAACAGCAGCTAATAAAAGTTCCTCTCACTTTCGGGGGCCGATCACACAGAAACATCCTGTGGTAAGACTCTTTTCTAGCAGTTTTAGACGTACATTAATGTTTAAATATTTTCAGCTCAAGGTACAAAGTCGTACCACTCGTCACTGTCAAACTTTTAGTTTTGGAAATTATAAAAACATTCCTAATTTAGTATTTTGTTTTCACAGTACAAGCAAAAATTACACAATTAAATCAGTGTGACTTACAATTTCTACAACTACTTGATCAAAAATGTTTTTCTAACTTACATTTAGTTTTGCTTAATAATGTCAATGTAATCAGTTTCTACAATGTGTTGAGTTAACTGGTTTTACAGTGTAACTATTATCCTTCGTTTGATATCAATGTAGAGCTCAACGCCTGCTTCATTACATTTGATCACCGGTTGCAGGCGCTGCCTCGCTCCACACGCGCTGGGTCTCTGTGTGATCAGCCGCTAAGACCCACTAACATCTGAAAACATCGGCACTCTGGGCTTCACTCTCATACTCTACATTATCAATGAACATTGATTAAATCATTCTAACAGTCAAATAAAGAACCTCCCTGGACCACATGAGTCTGAGGAGCTCGGTGAAGATCCGACAGTATCCTAAACCACCTCGGTGACTCCAAGGTTCCTCCTGACTGACGGAACCATCAGGATGCGTTTAAAGGTTCAATAGCATCAACTTCCTGTTGTACTTTGGCTGAATTTGTATCCGTAGCCTCCGGACCGTCCGCCGTGTGCAGCTTCATGTGTCTCTTCAGATGTCCTGTAACGGTGAAACATTTCCCACACACTGAGCAGCTGAACGGTTTCTCTCCTGTGTGAACTCTCATGTGAATCTTTAAGCTCCCCTTTTGGGCGCAACTTTTCCCGCAGATATTGCAACTGAAGGGTTTCTCTCCCGTGTGAACTCGCATGTGTTTGGTCAAGTCTCCTTTTTCGGCACAACACTTACCACAGAACGGACAACTGAACGGTTTCTCCCCTGTGTGGACTCTCATGTGTTTCTTCAGGTCTGTTTTCTGAGCACAACCTTTCCCGCAGACGGTGCAGCTGAACGGTTTCTCCCCTGTGTGATACTTCATGTGTCTGTTGAGGTGTTCCTTCACGTGGAAGCTTTTGCTACACACAGAGCAGGTGAACGGTTTCTCTCCTGTGTGGATCCTCATGTGTCTGGTCATGTTGCCCCTCCCACTGAAGTTCTTCCCACAGAATAAGCAGCTGTATGGTTGCTCTCCGGTGTGACACCTCATGTGTGCCGTTAGAGACCCGCTGTCTTTAAAGGATTTATCACAACCGGTGCAGGGAAACGGTCTCTCGCCTGTGTGGTCTCTGATGTGTCTGTTCAGGTTCCCTTTCAGACTAAATCTCTTCCCACAGTACGAGCAGGGGAACGGACGCTCCTTCGCTCCGATATCAGGGGCTTCGCTGTTTGTCTGACCCTCCATACCCGACGGGGTTTTGTTTGCTTGCATCCAATCACAATCACTGTCGTCAGTGTCAGTGGAGTCTGGAGAATTGTCTTCACTAACGGGTTGTAAATGTTCATCTGGATCTGAGTTTCTGGCTGGTTCTGGTCCTCCACAGTCCTCTCCATCATCTGTTTCCATCTGTTCAGTTTGTCTTTGATGAAGCTGTGAGGACTGAGGTTTCTCTTCATCATCATCATCTTCACTCTTCACAGGGACAGGAGTGAATGTGAACCCTTGAAGCTGCTCTCCCTCCTGACTGGTCCTGACTTCCTCCTGTTCCTCTTTAATGTGTGGGGGCTCCTCCTGGTCCAGACTGGGTCTCCACTCCTGCTGCTGCTCAGGGGGAACCTCTTCTTTAATCACTGACAGCTGCTGGACGTCTGCAGGGAACCCTGAAATACAGAAACACATCATCTATGGATCAATAAAGTGTTTTATTGATCTGCTGACTGAATTATGTCAGAACATTTGTCTCTTACCATTGTGACTAATTACTGAGCTGAAACATTTTACAGTGTAAAAATAAAACAGATTTTCTGGTGGACAAACTACAAGATGGTGAAACTGTTTATTAGAAATGTTCCTGCTGACTCATCTCACTCATTTAAAAGTAATTTAACACTCAGAAGAGAATGAAATTGATCAGGTTCACTGTCTGTTTATGGAACACAGACAGACAGACAGACACACAGACACAAACAGTAACACACACATATCCATTGATTAATCGATCAAATTCAAACATTCAAACGTTAATATTAGAGGAAGATCAAATAATCTCTCCTACACTGAGCAACAAAACAACAATAACAGTCTCCAAATGATTGTGTCCAAGAGTCAAAGATTAAAGTAGAAAGTTGCTCTAACAATCTTTTACAAATGATCTAAATAGTGAATTTAAATAAAGATTATTTTAGTAATTATAGTCTGAATATTAGTTTGACAATATCAATAATAATAATAATAATAATAATAATGGATGATGCAGATAATGAGACATTTATATTATTAAGACTTATTGGGATAATTAAATTACAGCTGATAAATGATCAATAAATTCTTATGTAAACATCTGATAACTTTATGTCATATGATCTGCTTGTTTTTAATATGACAATAAACAAACATTTGAACTGTTGTTTGTTGTTGTGGTGTAAACAACAGTTCTGTCAGTTATTAATTATTTAAATGAGTAATTCAGATCATCAAAGATAAACCAACCAGGTGTACGAAAAACTACAGCTCCAATGAGGCTTTGCTGTCGCTGCTGGCTCTAAGACTCATGGGAGTTGTAGTTGTTATGTGTAAACAAAGTATTTGTTGACTTATTGTCACTGTAATGAATATATGTTGACGTTTTACTGTCTCCGGTGGCAGTGAACTTCCGGTTGTGTCTGAGAGAAAATGTTTCACTTTAGTAACAACTGATGTTTGCTGCAGTTCTAGAAGCGCTGCAGAGAGTGGCAGCTCGACGCAACAGCTCCCGCTCTGCCACTTATTTTGTCGCCTTAAATCTTAATATTTTATTCCTTCTTAAACAGCACTGTGTTTATTGTTGTAAATAGACCTCCAGTGTTGGTAGTTAATTTTTTACTTTTTTAGCCGTAGTTGAACTTAGTTTTTTAAATATAAACAATGTGTAGGAATGTGGACACAACAACCACCACACAACAAAACACCGGAGGTTATTCACTTGAGGACTTCCTACGGTATTGGGATTTATGTGTCGCATGCCCGAGGGAGATCCCGGTGGAGTTAAGGAGATGAAGGAGAGGAAGCAGAGCAGGCACGTTGGTGAGGACCAAGCAGACAGAGAGGCGGTGGAGAAACAAGCCATGTCTTCCCTCTGTTGTCATGGGAAACGTACGGTCGCTGAGCAACAAGACGGACGAGCTCTCGGCCCTGGTCAACGGACAGCGAGAGTATCGGGAGTGCAGCATATTATGTCTGACGGAGACATGGCTGAATGACATTACACCAGACTGTTCAGTGGAACTAGCCGGCTTTTCACTAGTTCAGGCAGACAGGAAGAAAGCGGTAAAAAGTCAGGAGGGGGGCTCGCTGTCTTTGTGAACTCTAAATGGTGTAAACCTGGACATGTTTTCAACAAGGCAGAAATCTGCACACCTGATATTGAACTGCTGGCCATCGGGTTAAGGCCATACTATCTGCCCCGTGAGTTTACGGCCACTATTGTCGTCACTGTTTACATTCCTCCATCGGCAGTAGTGGCGCACGCCTGTGACGTCACCCACTCCACTGTTGCAGATCTGCCATCATGAACAGCCCCCGTCATCCAGGAGCATCTTCAGCTACAGACTGACCCAGCCCCGAGCCTCAAAGCGGTTTGGAGGCTCATTTGTACCATCTGCCATCAGACTCCACAACGCCACTGCTCCCAGTTCCTCCAACCTCCACTGCTCCCAGTTCCTCCAACCTCCACTGCTCCCAGTTCCTCCAACCTCCAATGCTCTCAGTTCCTCCAACCTCCACAACCACAGCTCCCAGTTCCTCCAACCTCCACTGCTCCCAGTTCCTCCAACCTCCACTGCTCCCAGTTCCTCCAACCTCCACAACCACAGCTCCCAGTTCCTCCAACCTCCACTGCTCTCAGTTCCTCCAACCTCCACAACCAATGCTCCCAGTTCCTCCAACCTCCACAACCAATGCTCCCAGTACCTCCAACCTCCACAACCACAGCTCCCAGTTCCTCCAACCTCCACTGCTCCCAGTTCCTCCAACCTCCACAACCACAGCTCCCAGTTCCTCCAACCTCCACTGCTCCCAGTTCCTCCAACCTCCAATGCTCCCAGTACCTCCAACCCCAGCAGACTGTTTTAGAACTCCTACCTACAACGCACAAACCTTTTGCACTATTTACATTTAATTTCCACTTTAGTAGTTTAGTTTTAGTCAAGTTTAATTTTCTGCACATATTTTGGACTCCATGTCCTATTCGAACAACAAACAGTGTATATACTTTAATTTATAGTTTTTATATCTTCTAAAATTAATAATATTAGCAATATTTTTACTGTGATATTCTTTGTTGTCTGTTTTCGTGCTGCTTTGCCTTATTGCTGCTGTGTCAACCTGAATTTCTCCTCAGGGGGATAAATAAAGGAATATCTATCTATCTAGCATTAGCATTAGCATTAGCATTAGCCTGCTGTCTCCGGGTCCTCCGGGTCCTCCGGGGGCAGACAGCAGGGACTGACCCGCTCTGTGCAGCTTCACTTGGGGCTTCAGCACGGCATCGAGCAGCCTCCTCTGGCGGCAGATCTCCCGCTCTGACCGCTCCACTCTGTCTTCGTACTCCGCCACGGTTTCCTCAAACAGACCGACAATCTCCTCCGCAGCCGCCGTTAGCCGCTCGGTGAGCAGCGCTCTCAGCGACACCGGGACTTCTGCCGTTAATTCTCCTTTTCCCGCCTGCAGCAGAAAGTCTTCAGCGGCGGCGCTGATCCGCTCATGTACCGACACCCGCAGCAGCTGCACCGTGGCGCACATTTTACCGCTTTTCTGCGGACAAAGAGAGCCAGCGGGGACGTAAACACACACCGAGTTCCGCGTCGACGACAGTTCGCTGAGAAGAGAGCGAAGCGGAGCGGCGAACAGTGACCCCTGCAGGACCGGAGCAGAACCAGCTGCGGGTCTGAGACTCTACAGCAGGGGTCACTTCATGGGTACTGAGTCATACGAAGGGTTACCAGATACACTCTTCTGATCTTTAATTATATATATTGATTAATGATCAATGATACTCATCTATATGAGGACACTGATCATGTTAATGATTTCTCACAATAATTATCAGCAATGACTTAACAAGGTGGGAAACAGATAATATCAATATTATATTTTCATTTTTAGAACCGGCCTGAGCGCGACTCATGTGGTCCTTGGGGGCTACCCTGGTTGGTGACCTCTGCTCTAGAGCATCAGACAGCAGCCAATCAGCTGTTGGTCTATGAATGTTAAATAACAGTTTGATCTTGTCTCTCTGAACGGACTCAACTGTCTCACTCTCACTGTATGTGAGACAGGAAGCAGACTCAACATGTTGTTGCTGTGCACCTGTCTGTCTGTCTGTCGCTCTCTCTCTCTCTCTCTCTCTCTCTCTCTCTCTCACCCCAACTGGTCGAGACAGACGACCACCCACCTAGAGCCGAAGGATCTGTCCTAGGTTTCTGCCTTTTAACAGGCAGTGTTTCCTTGCCCTTGTCGCCAAGTGCTTGCTCATGGTGGTACTGTTGGGTCTCTGTAATTAATGTTAAAGAGTTCGGTCTAGACCTGCTCTATTTGAAAAGTGTCCTGAGATAACTTCTGTTATGAATTGGCGCTATACAAATAAAATTGAATTGAATTGAATTGAATTAACAGCTGAAGACAGAGTGCAGTTCCCCCCCTTCATCCTCAACCCTCCTCCTTCATCTCCTGTATGTCTGACAGACCAACACATCAGTTGCTTCCTGCTCAGTAACAAAGAACCAGTGACAGAGACAGGTAGAGACAGAGAGACAGAGAGAGGGAGAGAGAGACAGAGAGACAGACAGACGGAGAGAGAGAAAACATGAAGAAAACCAATGTCATGATCTTTCAAAAACGCAGATGTCATGAGAATAAACACCAATTTACCATCAATAATCATGTCATTGAACACAGCATGAGTTATACCTACCTTGGTATAACCATAACAGCATCAGAGAGTTTCAACATGGCAGTGAATGCACTAAAAGAAAAAGCTCGAAGAGCTCTATATGCAATTAAGAGAAAATTTTAGAATTTCCATATTTCAATAAAAATCTGGCTTAAAATATTTGATAGTGTCATCCAGCCCATTGCGCTGTACGGTAGTGAAGTATGGGGTCCACTCAGTCATCAGAGCTTTACCCGTTGGGACAAACATCCAACAGAATCTCTACATGCAGAATTCTGCAGATACATTTTACACGCACACAGAAACACACCAACAAATGCATGTAGAGCAGAATTAGACAGATACCCACTGATAATTAACATTCAGAAGAGAACGCTCAACTTCTTTAACCACCTGAAATCCAGCCCCAGAGACACCCTCCACTCCAAAGCCCTCCAAACCCAAGAGCTGAGCCCAGAAAAGAGTCCCCTATGTCAGTTGGTACTGAGGCTAACTGCCCCCTCTCAGACACACTCTGACCAGCCTCACAACAACACTGCTCTACAAACAGTAATCAGAGTAAATGATAGCACAATGTAAAGAAAGCTATCTGGACCATTGGGAAGAAACAACTAAAAGCCAAAGTAGATTGGAATGTTATCTTGCCCTTAAAAGAGATTATGAATGAGCAGAATATCTCTCTACTGTCAGAGATAGAAAGCAGAGACAGATCCTAACCAAGTACAGGCTCAGTGACCACAAACTGCCAATCCAAACAGGAAGACACAAAACATCATGGCAACCAAAAGAAAACAGAAAATGTGGTCACTGTTGGACAGGTGAGGTTGAGACAGAGATGCACTTTCTCCTACAATGTACAACATTAAATAACAATAGAAACATTTATTTAAGTTCAGCTCTTTGGTTCCAGATTTCAAAGAGCTGAACGACCTCTCCAAATTAAAAATACTCCTCAGAGAAGGAGAGCGAGCACACCTTGTTGCCCAGTATGTATTAACATGCCACAACCTGAGGGACACACACACACACACACACAGACAGACAGACAGACAGACAGACACACTGTATATAACTAATATAATGTTCATACAGTTTATATCTTTGATTTATTGTATTGTATTTGAATACTTTCCTTTGGCAATATTGTTTTTTTTTTTAAAAAAACTTTTATGCCAATAAAGCCCATTTTGAATTTGAATTTGAAGTTGAGAGAGAAAGAGGAAGAGAGAGACAGACAGACAGAGATAACCCTAACCCTAAATTCAAAACTTTAAGAGAAAAACAATTCGCAAACATTTCCGAAATATACCCCGAATTCGAATTTATATCAGACACACAGAAACTCCCCTACTTACTTGGAGAAATGCCCAAAAGTCAAATTATTGCAGCAAAATATGTCTCCTCATGCCACGAACTGAGGACCACCAGTGGAAACTCAGACGGAACAATATATAAAATAATGGATTTTTTAGTTGTTTGTTGTTTAAAATTATTTTCATTTTCTAACACACACACACGCTTACTATTTTATTTATTTATTTTCATTTTTAATATATTATTTTCATTTTCTAACTTTCTTTCATTTTTTATTTTACTTTTTATTATTATTACTTTACTTTTTATTAAACACACACAAACAACTTACTGTTTTATTTACTTATTTAATGAAATGTATGAAATTGTTTGTATGTAATTTATTTGTAGCTTTGGCAATATTGTTGTTTTACATTCATGCCAATAAAGCTGATTTGAATTTGAGAGAGAGACAGAGAGAGAGAGACAGAAAGACAGATAGAGACACAGACAAACAGAGAGCGAGAGAGAGACAGACAGTTGAACACTAATAAAGACGGTTTGTTGAGTTTTAAGAATTCAGAAGGTTTGTTACATTATTGTTTTTATTAAAGCTGCTGGAGCTCATTGACAAACACACACACTGCACTCTGATAGTATTGAGTCTTATGGAGAAGTTGATTGATGAGCTCAGTAAACAGTTTCATGATGAGTTTCTAGTCTCAGTCTCTAGTTTCAGTCTTCTTCCATACAGCATGATGTTCATTTATTAACTGATGGTCCCATTTAGAGTAAAACAGACCATAAAGCAGGGTATGCTTTAGGGCGGGGCTACCTTGTGATTGACAGCTCATTCTCAGTGAGTCCGTCCAGCTCAACGCACCAAACTCAGATCAAACTGTCAAACAGCGCTGATCAGATATGGATCCAGATTCTGTTGTTGACTATTTCTCTCCTCAAATCTGTTCACAAACAAATTTTACTGTTTATCCGGAATACCAGCTCTTGTGTGAGCAGGAGAGCAGCTCAACTCGCTGTACGTGACCTCCGTTGGCTGCTTAACACCAACATGGAGATGACTGTAAAGCCCAACTGGAGGTTCAGAGCTCTACAGACCGATGGGGGATGATACTCCCAGTTCACTCACTTGCTCTGATCCTGCGGTTGGAAACACAAGTAAGTTCCGAAATAAGTTCCTGAGCTCCTGGAAGAGGTCAGTTCCTCTGTAGGTCACAGCTGGAAGACGTCAGTTCATCTGTAGGTCACAGCTGGATGAAGTCATTTTGAACTCCTTCCTGTCGTTTCAGGTTCGGCGTAACAGTCGACTCTTTTGCGGCTCGTTCTCCGGTGTGAACCTTCATGTGTGAGTCCACTGAGCGTTTCTCCTGATAGCTCTTCCCACAGATCCGGCAGCTGTATGGTTTCTCCCCGGTGTGCGTCAGCATGTGTCTCTTCAGGTCAATCTTCTGGACGAAGCCCTTGCTGCAGAGCTGGCAGCTGAACGGTTTCTCCTTCTTGTGGAACCGCTCGTGCGTCTCCAGCGAGATCTTCTGGCGAAACCTCTTCCCGCAGAGGCTGCAGATGAACGGCTTCTCGCCCGTGTGGATCCTCATGTGGGAGTCCAGGTTGCCGATCTGCCGGAAGTTTTTCCCACAGACTCTGCAGGTGTACGGTTTCTCCCCAGTGTGGATCCTCTTGTGCACGTCCAGGTGCTGGCTCATGGTGAACTTCTTGCCGCAGACTTCGCAGGAGTAGATCCTAGGCTTCCCTCCCGTGTGGCTCTTGATGTGTCTCTTCAGGACGGTGTTTTCTATGAACGTCTTCCCACAGAACTCACAGATGTATGGCCTCTCGCCGGCGTGCAGCTTCATGTGTCTCTCCAGAGAGCCCTTCCTGGGGAAGTCCTTGCCGCAGTCTTTGCAGCTGAAGGGTTTCTGGCCAGTGTGCGTCCTCATGTGGATCTCCATGTCCCTGAAGCTGATGCCGCAGATGTCACAGATCCTGCTGGTTTCTCTGTGGATCTGGATGTGAAGCTGCAGACTCTCAGAGGACTCGGACTGCTCTCCACAGACGCCGCAGCGACATTCAGGATCATTTAAATGAGTCTCCGCGTGCCGCACAAAGTTACCTTTATTGTGAAAGGCGTTCCCGCAGACCTTGCAGCAGTGAGATGGAGTCAGACTCGGCTTCCTGCGTCGGCTACTGGCGGCGGGCGCATCGTCGGACTCGTGGCTCCGGATGTGTCGCCTCAGCTCAGCACTCTTGCTGAAGCCTTTCCCGCATACTTTGCAGCTGAACGGCGTCTGTCCGTCGTGGGTCTTCATGTGCCGCTCCAGAGAGCCGGTGTGGCTGAACTCTTTGTGGCAGACGCTGCACCTGAACGGCTTCTCCGACGTGTGGATCCTCATGTGCGTCACCATGTTGCCCTTCTGGTTGAAGACTTTGCCGCAGACGTGGCAGCTGAAGGGTTTCTCTCCGGTGTGCAGCCGCAGGTGCGTCTCCTGAGCGCGGATCGAGGGGAACTTTTTGCCGCAGATGTCGCAGGTCCGGCTGCTGTCGCGGTGCGTTTGTAGGTGCAGCCTCAGACCGTCACTGGACTCCAAACGCTCGCCGCACAGACCACAAAGACACTCCGCCTCCTTCAGGTGTTTCTCCACGTGCTTCATCAGAAAGCCTTTCCTGTCAAAGGACTTCCCACAGACCCTGCAGCAGTGAGATGCCTCCTCGTCATTGTCGTCCTCTTCCTCTTCCTCATGACCAGCCGGACAGTCTGGAGACGCCGCCGTGCAGTGGTCCGGTTCAGAAACGTCCTCCGGTCCAGAGGAAGTACCGGGCTGAGGTTCCTTCAGTCGGTCGTCTACAGAGACGTTCAGAGGCTTTCCAGCTTTGAGACTCCGGACGCCGACTGACAGACACAACTCTGCAGAGAAAAACACACAGACAGGTTTACTGCACAGAAAGTGTCTGTCTGTCTGTCTGTCTGTCACACCTGGATGAGAGTTATTCTTTTATTTTAACTTCTGCAATATCTTAACGCTGTAATAATGTTTGTATTTATTATTGACGCTGGCTGATCAGGATTATAAGTATTTTATTGCTCTGTGTTTTATATGATATAAATATATATATTTATAAAAAATAAGATAATATTAACATATATTTATTGAATAAAGAACATTTGAGTGTGTTCTCTCTGGCGCCCCCTGGTGGACACAACCAGTTATGAACCAGATATGAAATGAGCCTGTGAGGAATGAACACCTTGAACACCTTTAACACCTTGAACACCTTTATCTCTGACTTTTTATTTTGTCCTTTAAAGGAAACCATCTCCTCTGACTTTCTGTCAAATTTGACCCGGAGTCTGCACACAGTATTTTATTTTGAAAACTGACTGCATTCTCTGAGTCTGACTTCCTGTCAGCGTGCTCATGCCAGTGGGTCTCATTCCTTCAGAAATAGACCAGCTGTGTTTTCAATGCGGAGCAGAGAGAGGAGTTATGTGCTTGGCTCAAGGGAACCTCTCCAGTCCTCCATACTGTGACCAGTGCTGGACTTAAACCCAAGACCCTTCGGTTCCCAAACCCAGTCCCCCTGCGGGCTGAGCTGCCCCCGAACATTATATTATATATAATATATATTATAATCCATATATATTGATTATATATCAGCATCAGCTACTGATTAACACACATCAGAGGAGGCTGCTGTTGTGATCTGATTGATAATCAATGGGATCGATTACAATTCAAATCATTGAAGGACCTTTGTTGGTCTGTAAATGTGAACAATTAGTCGAACTACAGAACTTATAATATTTAATATAATATATTATATTATATATTAGCTCATTAAACTCTGTTCATTAGATTAAAGTAGAAACACATCAGTAATAAAGTGATGTAGAATAATATTTATATTATTATAGGATTATAATAAATGGCTTTAGTGATGCAGCTGCTCCATTACTGACTTTATATAGTTTATTATTAATAATATTAATAATATTAATAATGTATTCTTTTATTATAGGAATCATCGGTAAAGTTATTAAAGTAAAAAGAACAACGTCAGCCTCCAGAATAAGTAACAGAGTACTTCAGTAAATGTACTTCGTTACTCACCGGGCTCCTCCGGTCCTCTCTCGGCCGCTCTGGACGCCTCGAAGGCGGTGAAGATGTGTTGTACGGCGGCATTGATCCGCTGCTCCACCCGCTCCCGGAGCTGCTCCACCGCCTGATGACGCTCCTCCAGCAGACAGAAGATCTCCTCCGCCGCCGCCGCGAGCTGCCGGTCGATGACCGCCCGCAGGCTGCGGCTCGCGCTGCTCTTCGACCGTTTTTTGGACATTTTGGCGGAATTTCCTCCGAACAAAGACAGGATGTAAACAATGTGAGCACGCTTCCGGGTTCCCCAATGCAGCGTCCTTACGTCGGACGCAGACGTTTCCTCACGCTCTGATATTACGTCATGTGCTGCGTCAGCGGGAACGTGGCTCCAGTGTTGTGAGCGTGCTGCGCGTGAAGACACTCGTTGATTCGGCGGGTTTTTGTATGTTTTTCGGGTTTTTACGAAGTTTTTAACGTGTTTTCTGTTGTTGTTTTAACTCATTTCTGAAAACACAGCAACGAGTACTTCACTGCTACAGCAGGTACGAACTTAAACCAAACTCCATTTAAAAATCTGTGTGTTTAATGTTTCCTTCCTAATCTATAGAGATACACAACCTCAGACACATTCATTACTTTACATTGGGAAACACTATTGTCTTTTTATGAATTCGGCCGTTAATTAAAACACCAATAAGCACTGTTAAGCACAAGTTGTCATACATTTGTACTTTTTTGGAAGTTATTGACGCTGCTCGCTACCGGTAATTACAATATAACCAACATCAGATAAGATAGATAGATGATAGATAGATAGATAGATAGATACTTTATTCATCCCCAAGGGGAAATTCACAATTTACCTCGTGTAGCAGAAGTAAGTCAATTAAGGACAGAATTGTAAACCAAAATCTGTGTGTTTAATATTTCCTTCCTAATCTGTAGAGATACACAATGTGTCTGAGGTAAAACTGTGATATTAATATTAGTTGACTGAAATTAGGTGGTAATAGGGTGATATAATAGGTTATAGAGAGTTGAACCTAAATTAACTTCTGCTAGTTGGACTTTGTTAAGAGGGTGGGCTAAAGATTATATAAATGAGTGTCCACTAAGAATAAGTTTGTATTCTAAGATGGTCATAATTAGTCAAATAAATGCTGATCAGTGAATCAGTTGGATTCATTGAAATAAAAGTGTTAATTTGGTTCAAACTGGTGCATCTATTTTCAAAAGAGTGAGGTATCCTTAAATCAGTAGATTTCTGACTGGAGTTTGGTGTGATTGTTGTTTGTGATGATTCAGGTGAACAGACTTCAGCTGAGATGCCTCATGATAAAAAGAAGAAGAGGAAGAAGACCGGGGTACCGGACCGGTGGCTGGACTACCGTCCTGTAGGACAGAGGATACCTGGGACTCGATTCATCGCCTTCAAGGTGCCGTTAAAACCATCTCTGAACCGCCAAGTCCCTGCGTCGCAGTCCTTCGGCCTCTGGGACCTGCTGGACCAAGTGGAGAGCCAGAACCAGGAGCTGGGTCTGATCATCGACCTGACCTTCACCACGAGGTACTACGGACTGTCAGACGTCCCGCAGTCCTGTTCTTACGTCAAGATCCTCACCGAGGGACGCCACGTTCCCTCTGATGCCACGATTCTGAGCTTCAAGCGGGCGGTGAGACGGTTCCTGAAAGAGAACTGGGACAACGACAAGCTGATCGGGGTCCACTGCACCCACGGCCTGAACCGCACTGGGTACCTGGTCTGCAGGTACCTCATAGACGTGGAAGGGATGGACGCTGCAACGGCGCTGGAGCTCTTCAACTCCTGCAGAGGTCACCACATCGAGAGGCAAAACTACCTGAACGACCTGCAGCGAGGAGCCAAGAGGAGCAACGCCGGCATCAACGAGCCAGAGGAGGAAGCGGCCAGAGGGCTCGCTGCAGAGAAACCGCCGCAGACTGGAACCACTGATGGCGAGAGGCCGCCGCAGACTGGAACCACTGATGGCGAGAGGCCGCCGCAGACTGGAACCACTGATGGCGAGAGGCCGCCGCAGACTGGAACCACTGATGGCGAGAGGCCGCCGCAGACTGGAACCGGGGACGAGAGACGACCAGCAGGCGACGACTCGACTGAGGAGAAACGAGCTGGAAGCCGCCGGGGACCTCGACATCGGCGGCAGGTGGGCCAGGCAGCAATGGGCGGCCTCCACCCTACACCTGCCTTACTCCCCACGCCCCTGGTCTCCTACGTCTGGAGCCCCTCCGCCCCCGCCACCCTCGCCAGGTACAGCTGGAGCGACATGCTGAGTGGCGGGAAACAGTCGGAGGACCCGAAACCTCAGAGACACAAACTGTGACGTCAGCGAGACCCAATAATGAGCGACAGGAAGTTGGGGGGTGTTGTGAGTTGGTGAACAAATAAAACTGAACTGAAAATGTATTTAATTACGACGTCACCATAGCAACGTATGTTTTGTTTTGCTGTCCGTCTGAATCCAAGCAGGAACCAAACATGGCCGACGTCCGCCAGCTGAACTCCCTCCTGAAAGACGTGTTCACAGGTTAAAGGTTAAAAGTCACTGTAATAATATCAGCTGTGAACTTAGAATGAGACCTACAGAGGGAGCGGGTCCACTTCTGGCCGCCATGTTGAACTGCCATGTTTCTACAGTAGCCAAGAACGGACAAACTCAAACACTGACTGTAGATGGAGACTTTTGACCGAGCTGTACTCAGTTTGTTTCAGCCTTTAACGGCGATTGTATGAGTGATGTTCAGTTAATATTTGGAGTTTCTCATTATTGTCTCGTTGATGGAACTGAGCTTCCATTATAGATTACTGATCAATTACCAATTACTGATCAGACCTGATTGATCTTTTCTTTCCTGTTTGAGAGGAAACCGTCTCTGTTGTGCTTCAGTGGTTCCTGTTGGACTTTATATCGAGATTAAAATGAGAATAAAACATGTTTTCACTGTATTATTAATATTATTATGAAGTACTCATCAGCAAGCACCCAGATGTTAAATCACCTGTACTTGAACAGGTGTTATGGGCGTGTCCCTGCTGCGCGCCCTCCGCTGGCTACCACCGTACGGCAGCCGCTTTCACTTTATCAAACACAGACTGACAGAAAATGTCTTTATTGGAATGTGACAGCTGATTATCAGAACCAATAATCAATAAACACAATATTACAACATTCCCACTGAGCTCAGGGAGAGAAACCGAACCAATAAAGATGTTACCATGGAAACTGAAGGAGAAACTGTTTTCTACCTGTTGACTTTCTTAAAGTAACAAATTACACTTAAAGTATCAAAGTCTTTAAAGTTTCTCTAAAGTTACAAAAATCTCAAAAATAAAATATCTCCAAATATAAAATGTGTTTTTCTACAAATATTACAACTTTATTGTCAGATATCTGAAAACAACATAAAAATATTTTGAGAATAAAGTTTAAATTTGGAGAAAATGAGTTTTTAATCAAAAAATACTTTTTATTCTGATTTGTTGCATTTAACAACTTTATTCTCAAAAATGTGTAATTAAAATATTGTTTTTCTCCAAATATTAAAAACAAAAACAAATCTGACAATAAAAATAAGATTATTAAAGAAAATAAACTAAACTACAGAAACTGGACTCCTTTAAGTTCTGGTCCTGTGTACAGTCCCCTGCGGACCCTCCTGGCCCAGTCTCGGGGGATGGCACCGGTGCTTCCTCTTCCTCCAGACCTGCAGGAACCTCTTCCCGCACTCGCCACAGGTGTGTGGTTCTGGGCTTGTCTTCGTGTTGGGTCGGTGAGACCGCCTCTCTCCGCTCCGGGTCCTGGTCTGGACCTCCGGCTCCCCCCTCTTTCTCTGAGGGGTCCGGTGAGTCTGGATGTGGATCTTGAGACTCTCAGCAGCTTCGAAGCGGCCCCCACACACCCCGCAGACCGCCTCCTGCAGGTGGGCCCTGAGGTGCCTGAACAGAGCCCGGCGGGCCCTGAAGGTCCGGTTGCAGACTCTGCAGCTCAGTGGTCCTCCTGGTCTGCGGCCCTGTTTTGCTTTAGACCGGCTCAAAGCAGTTCTGGTGTCGGAGTCTCTGCTGTAGTCGTCGCTGTCCTCGGTCTCAGACGACACCAGCTGGATCTCCGGATCTGGATCCGGTTCTTCTCCGAGAGCAGACAGCCGATCCACATCCTGACCCAGCCTGGGTCCAGGCTTGGTGCTGTAGGTGAACTGGATGATGTCTGCCTCGTCCAGGTCTAGAAGCGGCTCTCGCTCCGGTTCCTCTCTGATGCGTGATGGCTCTGGGTCCTCCTGGTCATGGTGCTGAGAGGGGACCACCAGCTGCTGACTGAAGGAGTCTGCAGGGACAGAGAGGGGGGTCAGACCAGAACCAGAACACAAGATCAGGTTTAGTGGATCCCCTAAATCTATAATGATCAATAAATACAGTGTATTCTGATCAATAATCAATAAAGATACAGTGTATTCTGATCAATAATCAATAAAGATACAGTGTATACTGATCAATATCATCCATAAAGATACAGTGTATTCTGATCAATAATCCATAAAGATACAGTGTATTCTGATCAATATCGTCCATACAGATACAGTGAATACTGATCAATAATCAATAAAGATACAGTGTATTCTGATCAATATCATCCATAAAGATACAGGCTATTCTGATCAATATCATCCATAAAGATACAGTGCATACTGATCAATATCATCCATAAAGATAGTGTATTCTGATCAATATCATCCATAAAGATAGTGTATTCTGATCAATATCATCCATAAAGATACAGTGTATACTGATCGATAATCAATAAAGATACAGTGTATACTGATCGATAATCAATAAAGATAGTGTATACTGATCAATATCATCCATAAAAATAGTGTATTCTGATCAATAATCAGTAAAGATACAGTGTATTCTGATCAATAATCAATAAAGATACAGTGTATACTGATCAATATCATCCATAAAGATACAGTGTATACTGATCAATAATCCATACAGATACAGTGTATACTGATCGATAATCAATAAAGATAGTGTATACTGATCAATATCCATAAAAATAGTGTATTCTGATCAATAATCAGTAAAGATACAGTGTATTCTGATCAATAATCAATAAAGATACAGTGTATACTGATCAATATCATCCATAAAGATACAGTGTATACTGATCAATAATCCATACAGATACAGTGTATACTGATCAATATCATCCATAAAGATACAGTGTATTCTGATCAATAATCAGTAAAGATACAGTGT